ACTTGTTCCATACTTCTGATGCAAATCCTGTCAAACATAGAAAAAAAAAATTAAAGAAAAAAAAACAGTCATGGACTAACAAATTGCAATATGTTAAAAAAAAAGATAAATAAATGAGTGAAACAGTCTAAAAACAAAATAAAAAACTGGGACAAGTATAACCAACCGTGGCAAGATTGAAATCAATGAGGTAACCCTTGCTGGCCTTACAAGAGAAAAGGAAGTTACCAGGTTTAACATCTCTATGCACTATGCCCTGTGAATGTTGAAACAAATATTTTAGAACCTTTTATGAAATGCTCTTGAATCCTAATATAATATACATAGCAAATAGGCCTACCTGTTTATGAAGGCTTGCCAGCGCTTTAAACAAGCAATAGCCATACCATTGGAGATGAAAAAGATCTATCTCTTTCTTTAAAACCTAAAGGTAAAATCAACATTAAATAAAAGGCTCAAAAGGAAGAGAAGAAAAAAGGAAGCTAGAGAAATGTCCAATAATCACCTCAGGCCTATCATGCTCAACGTGCTGCAATACAAAGCAATTTGAATTTCCATTCGTGATACAGCCTTCATATTTTATCACGAAGTTTTTGCCCCTAAATTACAAAATTCACTGGGATGTAAAATTTCACCACTTCGTGTCTCTAAAGCACAAAATTTCTTTAAGTGGAACTTAAAACACTTACCCAAACCTTTCCAGCATCCTTAACTCATTGTTAACATGATGCTTATGAGCATTAGCATGCGGGCCTGCAGAGCCGTTAAAGCAATATGAGATCAGGAACTTCATTTTGGGTTCAACTCAAAGGGGTTCGAGTAACACAATTCATAATTTACAGAGTTGCATTCTACCTAAAAATATAAGGAAACTAGTCTACGCATGTTTATATTGACAGGACAGTTTAAGCCCAAATGGTTCCCGACTTATGCCAATTAAAATATTAAGCAAAAAATTATCAATAATAAACCAAGACCTTAGGTACATTCTATCAATGACAACAAAGTTTTAGATTTTAGTTTTCGTTTATTAACTTTTTATAGGTAGAAGGTAGCACATATTTACATTGCACAGGTAAGTAGATTTCGTCATCAGAGGAGGCAACAGTTTGACCCTGACATAAAATTCTTTTATATGACAGCTGACAAATAAAAATTATGTGTTACTTACATTTAATAGCAACCTTTGTCCCGTCATTCTTGCTTTGTGCCCTGTAAACAGTGCCATAACCTCCTACCAGTTTGGGAAACAAACAAAATCCATAATGACAAACAGGTTGATGGGGATGTGAAAAATCCAATATATAATCAAAGCTTTACATACCTGAACCTTCTTCTTCGTCTACAATGTAAGATTCGAAAATAGGAAGTTCTTTTTTCTCTGGTTGATCCTACAAAGCGTCACATGCTTAATAAATATAAGATTGTCAATTAAAGCATACTTGCACACATTGAAACTTAGAGTAGGCATTAATTATTCGTATGTGTAGCATACCTTAGGAGAAATAGAGTTATGGCGTCTCTTTCTTTCATTAATATGCTTGTCATCATAATCCTGCTTTGATTTCTGTGCCATGCTGATTGGCTTTTGATCTCTTTTCTGGTGCTGGTTCTCTTTCGGAGTGGCAACAGCCTGATCATGCTCTAAGTAGTGTGATTGCAGTCCTGGAGCCGTCTTATCCTTGTGAATGGCCTTGATTTTGGCAGAGGGCTTCAACAATTGCTTTCGAGTAACAGAGAATTCAGTAGCTTGACATATGTTAGAGCTCTCATGTCTTGTTGTTTGATTTTTATTCGAAGGCATCGTATCTTTACAATTTGCATTTTTCAGTCTGGAGTCACTTTCAGGCAGCATATCAGAAAAAGCAGTATATGGCTGAAATAAATTTCCTATTTCTCCATTACGGCTGGAAGGACCTACTAACAACTGTTCGTCCTCACCTTCCACAATTCTTTCATCTTCAACAAGTCTAAGATTTGTAACTTTACATCTGCCAATAATATTCACATCCACCTCTGCTGATATATTGCTTTGTTCAACTTTCTCTAGGAAATTTGTTCCCGTGCAGTCTAACTCATGTAAGTTAGCTCCTTTGTAAAGGACCACAGCATCGGACATGCTGATGGGATTAGCTGGTTCTGCATCAGCTTGACATGCCATTATTGTTTTGTTAACATTCATTTGCACAATTATATTGGGCCTCATTTCATCTAACATGTTTATGTTTCTGCTGATGTAGTCAGTCATGCGGCAATGTATCTGCAAAACTGATTTGATTTAAAAGCTGCCCAGACAAGTGATTTGTTTGGTTGCACTTCACTTATACAACACAAAAATGCTTTTGAAATGAACTAGAGAAACCTCGAGGGGGGAGTATTCAAAGAAAAGGGAATATATGAAAACAAATAGGTATCTTAGGATGTCAAATTCCATGATCAATTTATTTTACAAACTAAATAAATGAGATAAAGGGGACCCCCAAAATTAACAGAGATCAATTTATTAGCTTTAAAACCTAACATTAAGTCCAACATTTCTGGTTTGAACACTAATATTTGAAGAATAAAACATCAGAAAAAGCAACCAAATTTATAGAACTACAAACTCTATACAACTTTAATTCAATCATACCTTGGGAGCACTAAATCCAACTGATTTCGGCGCTCCAATTTCTTCATTCACTGTAATTTATCACCACAATCACCAACCAAACAAATTAAATCCCCCAAATAAAAACAGAACCATAATTTTTTTTTCTTTTTGAAGCAAACATTACCATTTCCAAAATCCACAATCAATCTCCGCTTGGCCAGAGGACCGAATCCGCAATCCACAACGAACCGCTTTCGCTTCCCCAAGTAGCTTCTCAGTGCATCACCAGCACCGCCACACGAAACGGACTCGACGAAAGCTTCAAAGGAAGCCAGAGACGGCCTGACGCAGAGAGATTCTGATAAGGCGAGAGGCGAGCCGGGAATGGAGCAGAGGTATTGGACCAGGGGAGGCGACGCCGGGAACAGCGTGCATCGGGAGGCGAGCTCGGAGAGGTGAGTTGGGCGGCCTAGTGACAAGAGGAGGGCCAGGAGGTGCCAGGCCTTCTCTGAGTCGGAGATGGCTGTGGCAACGAGAGCTGAGTAGGTGGGGCGAGTCGCCATTTCCGTGTCTGATGAGATTTGGATCGGAGAGAGAGAAGAGAGGGAAAAGAGAGGCGCCAATTTCGCACGTGTAGGGTTTGAGATTCACCTGACGAGTTCCCGCCAAATGTTTCCCCTCTCTTTTTTTCTTAAAAAAGAATTTGAAAGCATAAAATATGTGGATGAGGTTTGGGCCTGTCAAGTTCAAATGAGTTCAGCGGCCCAGGTCCAGATTCAGATGGTGAGATAGTGAGACCCTATCTCTAAAATATTGGATTAAATTGGTTAATCGTATGATCAAATTGGTTAGCCTAGTCCAACGGTTAAGAGATAGGGTCTCACCAAGAACCATATATAAGGCCCTCACTATAAAATTCTGGTTGCTTTAATTTGAGCCTTCAAAAGGTAAATACAGCGCGCTTGCCGCTCCTGTACACATAATCAAACTCGAGCATAAAAAGATGAGCACGCTGTTTTGATCAATTGGTCTAACCCACATTTACTTATTTGGTATAACTTTGCAGTATTTCATGTTGTTAATCACTATAATTATTCATCGAGTACAATGATTGTTTGAAATTTCAATCATATCTCGACATTTATGTTTTTATCGTCTACGGATATTAGATGCAATATTTTTCCAAAAATCGCATTTGGTACATTGTACTTACATGTCGTTTATAAATTTTTTCAATGTCGATAAATTGTTGATATTGTCATTAATATTTTTCTGATATTTTCTTGTAATACATTGTACATAAATCTATTGTCATTAATATTTTTCTAATATTTTCTTGCAATATGGTACATAAACTTCTTTGGAATTCGATATCAACATTTTGTTGATATTTTTGTATTTTCATACCGCAATATATTTCTTTTAGAAAAATGCTAGGAATATCAAATTTATAGACGAGACCAACTTGTATCCGCCACCAATCTAATAGCATTTACTCTTCCGTTTAACATTGATATTTAATTGCGAGAGAAGTTGGTGGAAAGTTTCCTTCCAAAAGTCTATGGTACTGAATTGACCTCTCTTGTAGAGGTATATAACAAAGCTCCATATATAAGATAAGAATAAGACACATACACAAGCATGCTTGATTCTCCAAATACCATTAATGACCGACTTAAATCCTCTTGACTCAGTCTGAATTTCTAACAATGGAGTGTTAGTTGAATTGACCCACGCTTTTGGTGTGCTCTCAAATAATCCTGAGTTCAAATCCCAATGGTACCCTTGTGTGTGAATTTTCCCATTTCCCTTACTAACTTTAGCGAAAAAACCTGAATATGAATTTTCATTGAATTTTTGCTTGAATTACTTCCTTCAAGCCTTCACTGGTATTAGCCCCCACTATTTCCATGCCCAACTTCGAATTACCCTCATAAATTTGAGGGCATTGTAAAAGTAGAAAGGAAAAGGCCATTCGCGTGGGTGCACGATGCTTTATCAGCCAGTGAGATGTGTGTGGCCTATGTGGGCCGCACTGACTCTCACACTAGAAAGCTTCATGCACCCTCGCGAAACTGATGCTAGATAGGACCCCTCAAAGTAGACGAGGTGCTTTCAAGCTGCAAACGAATTTGCCAGACGGGAAGCAGCTCCCCAGAAATGTCAGAAATGTTGCACCATTTAAAATTTGAATATAATAGAATTCGTAGGCACACTAAGGATAGAAGAAGATGGTGAAATAGAAACATATTCAATAAATCAACTAATCACGATGCAAATTTGCAACAATCATCATCAATATACAAAAAAAGGAAGTTAAGTAAACTTTCCATCAAACAGAAGATAAAGAAATTATACAATGAATTTGTCAAGAAAATATTTCCTGATATCCTGAATAAACGTCAATTCATTCTGTAGATGGTGAAGATAATGAAAGGTTCAAGAGGAAGCCAACCATGAGTCCAATGAGTCCCACAAAAATTGCAAAGGTGAAGGAGAAGCCTGGGTCGCCTTTCCGAAATCTTCGCCTCTTCAGTATATCCTGTGGTGAAAAAAAAACAAAAACCCAGAGAATGTCAGTTGGTGAGAGCTGTAAGTAGTTAGAGCATCCACAATGGAGGCTCTAAATGCCCTGTTGAAAATAGGAAAAAAAGAGCATTCGAACTCCCAATACAGAGGAGAGTATGTTATTTCAGATACCAGGTCCTTAACTTCTAGTAATGTTGTAATGTTGTACTGTTCTGTAATTTAATTAGCCACAAAAAACTCCTATTCAATTTTTTCCAGAAACTCCTGAGGTCACCTAATAAAAGTCCTTTTCTTCCTGCTTTATATGGTTGTGACAAATTTTTCTGAACGTTGGATTACATATATGTATAGCTAATCGTGGATCCTTATATCCAAGATTATAACATTTCCATGGTTAGGATTAAAGCACTAACTTTAAATATCAGAAAAAGAGCAAACGATCTAGGATAAGCTACTTAAGTTAACTACTTGAGTCTTTTTGTATGTGTGTGTGTAGAGAAAGCAGAAGAACAACTATACACTGACCAGTTCCTGTTGAAGTTGCTGTGTTTGTCTAACAGCTGCATCTCTTTCATCCTTCAGGCGCTGGAAAGCCTGATTCTACATGTAAAAGAAATATCAAAGAGTAAGAACATGACAAGAATTCAAATATACAATGAATTACTGTAATGAGCCTACCAAGACATGTTATAATGGACTTTTACAAGTTTTCAGTATGCATGAAAGAAGGTAAACTAAACAAATGGAAACACACCGCTGGGCTCTGGCAATTGGAGTCTCTTCCTAGAATCATTTTGTTATCTTATTATGATTCTAAATACACGTTCAAATCGTACACATGATTTCTATCTAAATCACTCGCTATATTCATAGACCACTATTAATCAAAGTCCCAAACTGGTGTTTCTAATTACGCATTCTATTGGAGAAAGTAACACACAATACATTCTTGGATCAAGTTTGTGAAGTAGTGGAATGAATAACTACCCTCAGAAAACCAGAACTATAACATGCACAAGCATGATTGCATTGTTACACAAAAAGACAAACACGTTCTACAAAACACCACAAGGAAAGTAAAACAACACTCACAGAATTAGTATCAAGACCGTGCATGGAGCTCCTTAAAGCTTCGTCTTCTGAGTTTCCTTGAGCTAAACCAGGAGTCATATACACAACTCTAAGCTTGCACTCCTCTAATGCCCTTCCACTTTCCTTGGTGAACTGGATGAAACATTAAAGTGCTTTCCCAATGTCATTGTTATTTCAAAATGATAAATTAAGCAAGTCAAACAGAGAGAATAGTGCCCAATTTAAAACTCTTACAGTATCTTGCGGGAGGTCATCAACATCAGTATTTGGAGGCACTGTTGTACTCTGTAGGAGAAATTTATCTTTGCACTGCATATCTGGAGGATATTCTCGTTGGGCTTGAAGGGTGACTGCAGACCCAGCAGTTAGTTGGAAGCCATTATTACAAAAGCTTTTAAAGAAATAAGGGAGAATATAATAAAACTAATAGAGAATGTACAAACAATTACATTCTTATGATTGGCCAAAGCCAGAAAGTACAGCTCTTAGATTGCCATTTGAAAATAAATATATTGCCTAAGAATCCACAAATCACCACTAGCTAATTTGCTCATTAAAAAGTAAGATAAAGCACCGGGAGATGATTTCTAGGGCGGCTCAAAAGTTTCGTACAATTGAGGTGGTGATAATAAAATTAGAACAATAAAAATGGAAATTTGTAATAATGTAATGAGTAGCACCTCTGATGACACATGAGTCCCAAGCCTGTATAACACCAGTGTTGGGTCGTACAAAGTACTTCTTAGGTGAAGTGGTTTTAACCTAGAAAAAAGAGAATAAAAAAGAAAATGAAAATTGTAACAATGTAACAATGTAACCAAAGAACATGCACTAGCAATTTCCAGATTGGACAAAAGAAAAATACACGCTCAGCAACAAAAATCATAAATACATTCACCAACAGAATTGGTACCTTAAAAGCAACATGGTGTTCTGTGTTGTTGACAACTTTTAGATCACAAAAGCTTTGCTTCTCCAGCTCAACTGAACAATGAATGTCATAATTATAAGTCCATTAGTACTTTATCTAACGATATTATACACGGAAAGAAGAAACTTTTTAAGCCAGACTTTGAAAAGAACCTGACTGGATGTGGCACTACAATCAAAATCATGTGATGACCCAATGTGTTTATCAGATTACACCCTATTAGTCAGAATTCTTTGAATTTTAACCATTCCAAAGACCAACCAGAGAAGTGTTGGCACCAATTATCATATGCATTGGTGTAGGTATAAGCATGTCTTTTCTCTACATATACATGCACACGCAAAAGATAAGTTTGAAAACTCGGGTCAAGCTAATGGGTTCATGTTGTCCAATGCTAGCACTAGTAATTCAAGTTGTTTATAGTGTATTCATCACAATGTGTATTTACACTTGTTTTTAACAATTCCCTACTCAGCTATTCTTATATGGCTTCCAAATTTAACAAGAACTCTTAGTGATATAATCACTAGTTGCCATTACATATATTACCTATTCAGAATAACTACACCATAGCCCAGAGACCTAAAGGAGTACAACTGCTAAGGCGACCATGGAGTCCAGAGACTTGAGGGAGTAATCCCACTCTTTATACATAGTAACCTTCAAAAGCTTTCTATAAGCAAGAGAAACAAATACCCAATAAACCAAGATTCCCACCAAAATCTAGGTTGTATCGTGGAGGTGATATAAAGCCATTCAGCAATTATTAATAAAATTTCACTTAGCTTAAAGAGCGTGGATGTGAATTAAGAAAAGGTTACCAAGTGGAGCTCAAAAACCTAAACGATACAAATCCAGAGGCCCTGGAGTACCCAACAAGAGAAGCAAAATAAAATTAAATACAAAAGAACGAGTGTCTGATTTGAAGTCATAAACACATCTATATTATAGCAGTTAAACTAATCCTCCCTCAACTTTGAACTTAATACACGTTTGACTTCAATATGTTTCGTATGCAAATCTTTGATCACATTCCACCTTGCCTTGGCACCCACCCCCATCAATATAAGACAATCATTTCAACCACATATCTACCATCAATATAAGATATAAGAAATTATATGTGGCCTACTTAGCTTTGCTTCTAGATCATAAACCTTGCTGAGCTATTAAACTAGTCGAATAATTTAATTTGAACTTAAAAAAAAAAGTAACAAAGATGGTTTCTTCCCTTCAATTCACTAAAAACAAAAAATCATTATAAAAGAAATTCCTACTTTTCCTTGACTATCCTCAAATTCTCCAAAAAACAATCTCTATAATCATTTTTCAAGAACAATTTCGCACCATAATTCAACTGCATCCCCTTTTGGTTACCCAAAGCCTGTGTGTGCAAAGAGATAAGGGGAGAGAGAGAGAGAGAGAATACATTGGAATTTGAGCTCATCCGGAACAACAGAGATCATCTGATTACCACCACCAGCACTCATGATGGCCCACCGCCAAAGATGCAACAATTTCCTTTCTTTTCTTTTTCTTTTTTCCCAAAAATTCACCAAACAATCTCAAACCCTGCCATTCACATTACCAGAACAAACCCTAGCTCAGAAAAAACGTAGAGATAGAAACACAGAATTAACGCCTCTGCTAGTACATGACTCAAAGAGAGAGAGAGAGAGAGAGAGAGAGAGAGAGAGAAGAAGAAGAAGAAGAAGAAGAAGAAGAAGAAGAGAGAAGGTGCAAATTAATTGAATTGTGAAAGAAAATGTGTTTGTGTTCGTGAGAGAAAGAAAGAGAGAAATTGAATTGGAGACTAACACATGGTAGAACGTACGTAGAGGAGGAGGTACGGATTGCTCGGTCCAATTGCCAACCTTCTCTGCTTCGAAGATTCAGCCACCAAGATCGGGTTCGGGTCCGAGCGATCTTCAAGACCAACCGAAGAAGAAAGAAACCAAACTCCACCTCCTAATTCAAGCTTCGAATTTCAACGAGAGGGACAGAGGTGGAGAGAGAGAGAGAGAGAGAAGGACATGTGTCAGTAGGAAGGAAGTGGTGACGCCCGCTTCAAAAGGGAGAGAGACGACGACGCTGAGAAGGAGAGGACAGGCAGGAGAAGCTTTTGAGTGAGGGAGTGCGCAGCATAACCTGTCTCTACCTGGATGTGGGACCCTCTGACGTGTCACTCAAAATGATAAAAATGGTGGGCTGACGTGTCCCCTGCTTTTCCAATCCCCTTAATTTAAGGTCGGACCAAAAATCTACAAGAAAATAAGACAAAAATCTATCCCGCCAACATCATATATTGAATGCGAATGCGAATGGGGAAGTAGCTCATTGGTGGGAACAAACTTAGGTGTTATTGAATAGAGATATTTAGTTATATATTCATTATTAGTAATAAAATTATAAATAACTAGATTGAAACTTATTTAGTCATTTAATTACTATCAACACGATTTGTAATAGGTGATGCTTCTACTTTATCTTAATTATTTTTTTACTTTTGCTCGTGGTCGTGGGTTAAATGTCTCTATACCTTGAAGTTTCAGATAAAAAGTTGGGTTGTCTCACTGTCCCTTGTATGCAAAACAATTTCTACCATCTGAGTGTAATTAAAGCGTAGGTAAGGTAGGAAACTGATAACCATTTTGGACCTATTCTGACCTTATTATTATTATTATTTTAAAATCAGGTAAATGCTTACCTTCTATTGTGTTGATAAGAGAAGATAACAAATTAAACACGAATATAAAAGAATTATAAAATTTATCATGGAAATAGGGCAAATTCACATTTATGTATAATAATACTTTACTATTGATCGATCACAAAAGTTCAACAAGAATAAACAATAAATAACAAGTGGTTGTGCCATAAAAAAATGAGTGCCCTAGTTGCCTGTACTGGGGAAGAAAAATGAAAAAGGAAAAAAAAACCTGTATTGCTACGTTTGATTTTTTAAAAACGCGTATTTTAGTGAGTTTTTCAAATGTGTACGGGAACAAAAGTATATTTGAATGAATCTTTTATACGCACGTGTATAATACAGGAAAATGCTAACTAGGGTCAAATAAACTTTTATTTTATTATAATTTTGAAGATTAGTGATGAAATGATTCTTAAGGTAAGGGAGATTGGTATAATTTATTGAATACTTTTTTTTTCTTTCCCTAATATTGTATTGTACCTAACTTATATGAAACTGACACTCCAGATTGTGAAGCGATTTAATTTCTTGTCTTGGAAGACAACCAAAAAACAACAGTAGGCTGATCTAATCTAATCAGCTGACAAGAATCAATATAGTAATGCATGTGTTTGTAGCCATATAAGGAAAGAATCATAAACTAATTGATCAGTGCACAATCATAAACCAATAATGCGGCTCAACAAATACATTCACCAAATGATATTGTTGTATACATCTAACTGTTTTACATGTTAGAAATAAGCCAAATTAAATTTGAATAAATAACACATGTGACAGATAAAATTTGATAAGTGTGGTAATGCTTGTTATAATATACGTGGGATTTTATAATGAGGGGGCTATGTTGAGGGGTTCAATCTGACTGTTAAGGACCCTCTCATTATAACACTTCATTACAATATCTCTAAATCTTCAAGTGAGTTTTTCAAATGTGCACTGGACTCATTAAATTGGACAGTAGTCCTCCTTTTAAAACAAAACAACTCTAAATCTTCGTTTAAATCCCTAAGCCCTAATCTTTAAAATAACTCGAAATTTAGCTCAAAGTTGGGAATTTAAGAGGAGAAATTGACAATTCCCTTGTTTGGCAACTTAAGCGTATAATTTATTAAATGAAGCGCAGAAAAAATTGTGGAAGTTGGGACATCAAATTCCCGAGTTTAATTTTGACAAAAATAGGTGTCATTTCACAATTTTCATAGTGCCATTTTACAAAATTCGACATACATAAATCCAAACACTGAAATCTTCAATTGTCAGAAATTGAAATCATAAAAATCAAAATTCCATCATTTTAGAATTCTATGCAATCTTCAATTTCTTCATCCAAACGGAGGATAAGGGTCTGTTTGGTTCAGGGTTTATGAGCTTGGGAATTGGTTTGAAATTTCATTCCCATGTTTGGTATGTGCAATCTTGGGAATGCAATTTAGAACTCATGGATATGAACTTCCCATGTAGGGGGAATTTCATACCCTTGGCTGAGATTGAGAATTTTTTTCCCCCACTTGGAAAAACATTCAATGTAAAATTTTATGACTAACGTACCCCTGTTCTATTTTTAAAACACCACGTTTTACCCTTAAAAAACCTCTTTGTATTTCTCTCTTTTTAATAAAAAAAAGTTAAGGGAGTTTGAAAACTGAACAATTTTTCAATCCTAATACTACACAAACCAAACATGGGAATGAGATAAATGTCATTTCCTATTCCTCATTTCCCAACGTTTCCAAATATAGAATGAACATCTTTTATTCCTATGTCAATTAGATTATATGTGAGAAGTTCATTTCCAAGAAGTTCAATCCTTAAGCCAAATGGGCCTTAAGTGTGGGACATTATTCAAAGCCCAATTGAGTATTGTCCAGGGTGATCCACCAATATTGGGCTTGTAAAATATTTTTATTTTACTTTATAGGAATCATTTCATCCCAACCTATATAAAATATGAAGTTATAATGCTTCCCATGATTAAACAGAAAGAATGTAGCAACTTCCTGGTGAAATGATGCTTTACCATGAAATTTGGGAACCCTGCCCTAAAAAATGATTTAAAGTTCGGGGGGAGGTTTTGTTTACCTAATAGGGAAGAAATCCAGCGGGGAAGGAAACATAAAATACATGCATTACTGGAAGCTTGACGTCGCAGTTGTTGGAAACTTTTTTTTTCCCCTAATTAATTATGAACTGAAACAACAGAAAAGAAGAAAAAAAATATAGATACAACAAAAAATTGGCGAGAACTGATACGCCTATCAGATTAATGGATTCCAGGGTATATATAGTTCTTACAATGTGAGTATTCCGGGGACTCCTCTGACAGTGAAAACAACCAAACAAGAGACGTGTACTATTTCTCATTTGAAAGTTGAGAACCTTGGAAGCTTGTCTCTCAAATAGTACAGCCTTGCCCTCCTAACCTTCCTGTGGCTCAGTACCTTTAGCTCCTTAATGTTTGGTGAGTACCTGAAATAATGAGGAAAGAAGATATCAAATATTCTTTGCCTTTCAAACTTGAAGGAAGGCTTTAGGGGGAGAAATAACCAGTAAGCTTAAGAACTTTAATTGGAGCCTGAGCATCATTATCAAAAATCAAACACAGTAAGAAAACTGAATTCTACACATTCTGCTGGAGAATTTTCTTTTCCCGTTTCTTTTACTAAATACGAAATACAATAAAAATAAACCATTTTGGGGTGGTTGTGGATGGGAGGAATCCAATCACACAATTAGTGTAAGTTTGCTTGCTCAACATCCTCCCAGCTCATACATGCTTCTAAAATGCTTTTATCATCTATATAAATGTTAAAAGAAACAATGCATCGAACTACAAATATAGAACAAGTTGTTTACATTTCGAAGAATGCAATATATGTTTGCAATGTATCCTAGACTTAAGAAAGTCCTAATAAATAACCATGGGTGAATATTAATATCTCAGATAGATTCTCCACGTTAAGTTCATCAGAGTCATGTCATCAGAATCAAGGGAATCGCATAAAGCCCAACTATTTATTTGTAAAGGGTTATTGAACCACAACACGATAAATATACATGCTCTAGCAAAATCAAGCTGAACTAATAATACACAAAAGAAAACTTACAGTGGGAACACAATCTCAACCCCTATTCCAGCATAATCCTCCGAATGCGAATGGTTGTGTGAATGCCAGCATTTTGTCTTGAAATGACAATGCCTTTATAAACAGACAACCTACGCTTATTTTCAGGAACTTCCTGTAAGTCACACAGAAAAAGAATCACAAAAGATTCACTTCCGAATGGTATTAAAATCTGCAAGAGAAAGTTAGCAGAAACACTATTACCAGTTTGATTTGCACAACGTCTCCAGTTCTAATGTCCGGAACTGGCCTTTCTTGCACTGCTGCCTCAACTGCCCTCTTGTTTAATATCTAACCAAGCAGAAGAATTTTGATCAAAATTAAATTTCAATTTTAACAATCACTTATCATAGGATTGAATGACGAAAAAACAAATGACAAGCAAATTAAGAAAGGTTTGTTTCAGCTTTAGTCACAGTGGCCTGTTTAATTCTACATTCCAGCTCAGATAAGCCAGTGAAAAATGCATATTTTGACATCCCACTTTATTTATTTATGTATTTTCTGAAACTACATTCCTAGTCATCTTCTGAGAGAGAACAGAACTCAACACAACTTCGAAGTCATTCTTATTTCCTGCATTATCTCACCAGCCAAACAAGGCTTAGGCAGCAAAACAGAGAAAAGAAATAACGTACCCCCATTATGTCTCCAAGCTTAACCCGAGACTTTCTGGGCGTCTTCGGCTCTTCAGGCTCAGACTCCACAACTGGTTCAGCTTCAGCTTCTACGATGGCCTCCGAGGCCTCTTCACTTCCAACTGCTTCAGCTTCACCTTCAGTGCTCGAATCTGCTCTCACAACAAAGTCCAGTCTCGACATTGCAGCGACGATGGGACAGAAGCTGGACCCAAATGAGCTCGACGAAACCCTAGAGAGCGAGACCCGGGCGGAATTAGAAGGAGAACGACGAGAGAAGGAAGCGGAAAACCCAAGCTTTACCGGCGGGTGATGGGTAGGGTTTCTTGGCATTGTTATCAGAGCCTGCAAACCACAAATTCATCAATTTTCACTCCAGACATTGCTAAAACACACACACACGCAACATACGCGTTGAGACAGAGAGAATACCTGAGGCAGGGCTTTGGAGGCCATGATTTGGGAATTAGGGTTCTGGGAAATGAAAGATTGTGAGAGAGAGAGAGAGAGAGAGAGAGAGAGAGAGAGAGTAGAGGTAATGGAAGTGTGAATGAATGATGGATTGGTGGGATAGGACGACGACAGAGGTAGCCTCATCTGTTTTATCTTTTTCTCACGTGCGTCGCACGTGATACAATCATGCTCTTATCTTAGCTCGTACATGGCGAGGTCTTCGCTGAACATAAAACGGATATGGAGATAGGTTGGGGAATTTTTTGGGTATGGTGTTTGGGGAGGGATGATGATGGTATTTTAAATGAGAGATTCACTAATATACTCAATATAGGAGCCCAAATTATAAAAAAAACCTATATGAAATGGAATTTATACACACCCAAAGTCCATTTATAACATAACAAAAAGGCTTTTAACTTCTTTTAAATTACAAAATTGCCATTGATTTCTTAAAACAAACCCAACCCAAAATTTCATAAAAAAGCCCAAAACACTCAATAAGGTATCAAAGTAATTTAATAATTAAAATTAAATTTAATAGTACCATTTGTCATTTTTTGGGTTTTTTTTGGGTATGTTTATAAAAATGAAATGATGTAGGGTTTATTTATAGTTTAAGTGCTAAGAATGGGTATATTACTAAATTTACATCCAAAGGTGGGTGACCACAATCTCTTAGACTCCTATAGTTCAAGAGATCAGGATTGTATATATTATAATATATATAAATATGCTATTAAAGTGATTGTACCGACTAAGTTTTATATTTTATATTATTATATTATATATTTATATAATTTATACAAATCTTAAGTCACGCTACTTCCAATTCATATATAAACATTCTTATATTTTCTTGTAAGTATATATATTCATTATTTTGCCTTAATACTTTTTTTTCTTCAACAAAGTAGTTATATATATTTTCTTTTGTAACGGGGTGGGTCAGAGAACCCATTCTCTATCGAAGGTGGGGATGGGGAATCCTCAATATGAATATTGTGGGTATGAAGGTGAGGATGGGGGAAAAAAGCTTAACGGGGATGAGAATGAGAATGACATACCCACCCCCAATTCGACCAATTACCATCCCTAGCTCATAGTTCACCATGTTGTAGTCATTTATAAATTATATCGAAGCATATTTTGTCACACATTATTTCTTCTCAACATGCTGCAATATTTATTTAATGTGTTGTTGTTATTCATATTCAGAAGCTTATTAGAAATTTCTTCTAGGGAACTTCTCCTAAATTCATCCTCTCTCTTGGAAAACAATTTGTAAGCCCAAAAATTTGGAGGTCTTGGAAAACAATTTGTAAGCCCAAAAATTTGGAGGTTTGGGTCTATGTAATTAAATTTTTGTTAATAATGCCTCTCTAGCCTAAATTAGCTTGGAAACTAATTAGGGCTAAATGTAGTCTATGGCTATAATTTTATCCGTCCAAAATATTAATTTTTTAAAGAATAATGTACGGCTAAAATTTTCTCTCTCTAGCCATATTTTAGGGCCCTCCGTATTTTATTATTATTTTAAAAAAAATTTATATACATTTAAACGTAAAAAGAGAGAGAGAGAGAGAGAAAAATTGACTGAACCAATTTTTTTATATATATAAAAATGAATTTAAATACATTTAAAAGATTAAAAGGAAATAATAATAATAATAATAATGGCTAGCTAACATCATCGCTGATGTTAAAGCGCCTTTAATATCAGCCTTTGGATCTGCAGTTACACGAGATATTTCGTGTTCATGCCCATGCGTGATACTTTCTCTTCTTGAGCAACACACGCGTTGGGCCCACACAAACTTTGGCCTGGGCTACAAGTGGCTTGGTTGGAAGGCTAAATGGCTAAATGTGACCCTCCAAATTTGGGAAATTTTTTTTTAGCTCATGGCTAGAGTTGGGTTTTGCATTATTTTAAAGCTATATTTGGCCTATGGCCTATGGTTGGAGATGACCTTACATAGCCTAACAATTGATTGGTACAAACTTATGCATACAAAATATCATATGGACGAGAAGAAGGGAAGCTTTTTGGTTGTTGGTTGGCCTCTGACCAATTGTCATAGTCGGTGGCTTTTTTAAAGCAAAAGAAGGTGCAAAGAAAATGAATTTGCAATGATCGGAGCTATCCAATAAAGATGAACCATAGAAGATAGAAAAGTAGGAGAAAGTGGTTTGACAACATTAAACCACTCCAAAGCATATTGAAAAATGAACTGATGCGGTTCACTAGGCATGACACAATTTTGCTCAAACACACATTTACATCTCCATTTCCATCTAAACCGCAAGCATATAATAAAAACCAACGGCCAAGGCAAACCATTATACTCCTTCCTTTTAGCTTGCAAATTTCTTAACAACCATTCTTCTAAAGCCATCCCATTAGGGATAAACCTATCCTCAACTCGAAAACCATTCCAAATGGCCACAGAGAGAGAGAGAGAGAGAGAGAGAGAGAGGACAATCCTTAAATATGTGAGTAATATTTTCCATAGGATAAGCACATCTAGGGCATGAAGAATTCTGAGTGATTTATTTTTTCTTCCTTTATACATTAGTAAGTAACTTCTGATGGCAAACAATCCAAAGGAAAATTTTAACCTTAGGAGGGAGAAGAAATTCCAAATAAACTGCCAATCCCATTTAGCTACAACCTTATTTAGAAGAAAAGAGCTATATGTTGACTTAACAGAAAATGAACCATTAGGCGTGAATTGCCAAATACATCTATCCACCCCACTGCCAGGAAAATCAACATGAACATTGAAAATCAATTGAATAATATGATCATGGAGACATTCCCTTAAACAATTTAGATCCCAGACCAATCCTCCAAAAAAATCACCAACATTCAATTGATGCATTTCCTCAGAGAGATCAATGAGAGCATAATGAAACAAATGGCCAAAGTCATCAAAATAATATTTGAAGTAAATTTAGGTTTTAGTCACAAAAAAACTTTCACTTTTGGAAAAAGCCAAAACTTTTCCCAAAAATACATAGAAACCCCTCAACTTTCAAAATAAAAATATGCAAATGTAAAGGATTCCTTAGGAAATCCAAAAATAAATAAGGGCATTTTTGTCCATTTTGGCTTCTTTTAAAAATATTTCTCTCTCCTTTGGCCTTTTCCAAAATGTCCCATATTTTTAGAGTTTGAAAAAGCCTTTTAGAGAATGAGAGAAGATGATAAAGGCCCATATATTTCTTGGTTTAGTGAAGATGAACTGGATCTCGAAGATGGGGTGGTTATGTCTCATTACTCTAAAAAGAGGGAAGTGCCATCAACTAATGAGGATTGGAACAACGCTCGTCCCTTTGTGAATTTTTTAAAGGGAAAACGACAACTGTAGTCCCTGTGGTTTCCGACTTTTACCACTAAGGTCCCTGTGGTTTCAATTTCGTCACTTTTACCACTGTAGTTTAAGAGTCTAAGCAATTCGAGGACACTTCTCAATTTCCGTCAAATCTCTTTTAGTTTTGTTAGGGCGCCGTTAGGTATTGAATAAGTGAATGGGCATTAAGGTAAAATCCCATGTATTTCACAAATTTTGTGCGACAGTGGAATAACCCAGCCCAACGTTCTCATTCTTCGTTCTTCAGAGAAAGAGAACACGCAGGCTTGAATCCTCAAATAGAAATTAGGGATTTCTTTTTGGCTGTTTAGGGTTTAATTGAAAATTTCTCATATGTGCATAAAAGTTAATCTATTGAAGGAGCTGGTTACATAACCAAAATGACGAAGAGCATATGAGAAGGCAATGGAAGCTTGAACGAACCAGGTTAGAAAGAGCTTGATTATTTATCTTAGTTTCAATTTAATATAGGGGCTTTCAATGGTTAAAGTGTCTGCTGCTTTCAATGCTTTGTTTTTTGATTGTCTGTATGTGTTTTTTCTTATCCCTGATTCGTAGCCTTAACTTAGTTTCAATTTGATACAGGGGCTTTCAATGGTTAAAGTGTTTGTTGCTTTCAATGCTTTGTTTTTTCAATTGTCTGCACGTGTTATCCCTGATTTGTAGCCTTTTGTATTGGGTTGAGTTTGTCTGTTAGTGGTGGAAAAGTAATGACTTTAGGAAGTAAAAGATTTTTTTGTTGGAATAGGAAGTAAAGGCAGTGGTCTCGTGCATGTTTTCACTACCAAAGACTTTAGGAAGAATAGTGTCCTTGTTTATTTGCATAAGAAAATGATAACTTTCGGCAAGCAAAAGCCAGCACAAGTGTCTCTGTCAAAAACCAAACAGATTTAGATGTGGGATTCATCATTTAGCCATTTTCTCCAAAAACCCCCTTTGATCACTGTCACTGTATTTGGTGGCAGAAGGAAAAAAAAACGCACATTTTCTTCTTGGTTTAGCCTTGAGTCAGATGTTAATTTTTTTTCCAAACAAATCAATATAAATTTTTTAACATTTTGAGAAGATATGATTTTATCTAATATAAATCGTTGGTTTTGTTAGAAAATAAAGCTTGTCATATGATTTGTTGGGCCACCCCAATTACTTTATAGGTAGTTCCAAATGCTAAAGAGTTGTTTTACCGCATCTTGAATGATGTTTTCAACCACGAGCCATACTTTCGCTAGAAAAAAGACGGGCTCTGCCGACAAGGGCTATCCTATAAGTAGAAGTTAATTGTTGTCTTTGGTCTGATGTGACTGAAGTGCATTGTAGATTGGGTGAAAGCACAACTCTTTAATTACTATGTAAGTTTTCTTCCGCTGTTGAAGCCGTGTATGGATAATGGTACCTCAGGTCTCCAAATCCAGCTGACCTTTATAGGCTCTTGCACAAAGCAAGCCGTTGAGGCTTCCTAAGCATTTTACGAAGTCTTGACTACATGCGCTAGGAATGGAAGAATTGGCCATTTGCATGGGCAAGCCAGTTTAACGGTCACAAAAAAAAAAAGCCCACTATTGTGCTAAAGGTTGTGGCCCCGTACAATGATATCAAAATTTTAGCTCGTTCCTCATTGTTCAATGATGTGGTGCATCGAGTGGCTCCCCATATTGAATATATTGTCATTGGAAATCAATGTCATTTGGGCTACTATTTGGCAGATAAGACCCCTGTTGGGCTACTTTGGTGAAGACCATATCTTCTCCTAATAACCCAAATAAGAGACTTTTTACACAAATATAAGAAGCGTACATGAAGAATGTTGAAAGAGCATTTATAATAGGCTTGATGGCCTATTGTTGGGGCCCTTGCACTAACGTGGTGCAAGGATAACCTCGACTCAATCATGATGACGTGTATAATTTTGCACACATGATTGTGGATGATGAGTATGAATATGTTGAAGAGGAATCTGATGATGAGGATATATGTCAGCAACGATCTAGGAGGGCTAGAGCAAGACAATATGAGCTAGAGACAATCATTACATACGAGTACCACCAAGATAGGCAGACTTTCTATAATTACATGATTCGTCATAATAGAGTTCGATTTCCACATGTGCATCAGAGTCTTCGACATGATTTCATCAAGAGTGCTGCTAAACGAACCCTAAAATTAACTGAGTACACCATATAATATAAGTTAACCATAATATTTTAATTAAAATATAAAATTAACTAAGTATACCCAATTTAACTACCAAAAATAGCCCTAGTACAACACTCTAATACCAATCCTAAACCAGGTTTCTCTCTTTACATGAATTTGTGCCCTCTTTTCAGATTTTGGGTTTCATCAAAATCTTTAATTTCGTAATACCAATCCTAAACTAGTACTTGTTGCGTTATTCGTGAGCACCAAGCAATATGAAGACTTTTCTATGTCTGATAAGGGTTGAATATAGTGAGTAAGGTTTACTTATTAAAATTTTATTTGTTTCACAATTCAGTATATCCTTTTTGGTCATTTTATATTAGGGTAAATTAGTAATTCAATAAATAGTTTGGTAGTATGGTGTACTCAATTAATTTTAGGGTTTGTTTAGCAACACTCTTTCATCAATTATCTTTGGAGGAGCTTCGGAGATAGTGAATGAGGTAGACAATTGTTTTAATCATCCTTTTGTGTTTTAATTATGTTGTGTGTTTTCTTTTGGAATAAAATTATATTTGTGAAATTTCAATTTTTTTGCGTCAAATTGTTCATAAATTTTTTTATGAAGTTATTTAAAAATATTAAATGAAGAAAAATTATTCATGAAAAAAAATTAGACTTATACCGTTTTTAAACAATTTAGTAAAGTTACAGAGTCTGGAGGTTTGAGAAAAAACAATTTGAGTCCAGACAAAACCCAAAAATAATTACTTTTTGGAAGAAGGAAATTTGGATTTAGGACCTAATGGGTTGGAGAACTCTTTACCAAGGGCATTTTTGGGAATTGAATGTTTTACTCATCCATCCAACCAAAATCCCCTTCCACTCTTTAGGTTGAAATTATTTCATCAACCAACTCCATCCAGCCGCTCATTCCTCTTTCAAAAACAAACGCATCCTACTCATCTTGCAGTCGACGGCCTTGTCTCCTGATTAAGGTGCACTCCTTAATCCTACTGCACGCTTCTTCTTTCAAAATCTCCACCAAGTCCCAGATCTCCAACCGACCCCACCCGACCGGAGGAGGGCATCTTGACCCTGCAGAGGAGGACCTGGTTGTATAAATTCATAAAGGCGATGAACGCTTCGATAATCGGTAAGCCTCTCTTTCTTTCTCGCTCTCCAGAGTTCACTTTTAATTGAAAGATTTGCCTTTTCTTTTTCTTTTTCCTTGAATGGGTTTTGGAACAAAGTAAAAAAAATAAGTGTGTAATTAATTAATTAATTGTAATTCGTATTTTGTGAAGACCCATTGCAAGGAGATTTCCCAGAAGTGATAGAGGAGTATTTGGAACATGGGGTTATGAAATGCATCGCCTTTAATCGCCGTGGTACCCTTCTTGCTGGTAAAGTTTCTACCTTCCTCCATCCCCTTCGTATTTTTTTAAAAACTTTTTTCATTAGAATGTAAGTGCTTTGGGCAATGTGGCAATGTGGGTATTTCAAAAAATCTGATTTTCTGTTTGTATTCTTTTAGTTTTGTCCTGCTGTTTGTGGGTTCCTTTTTGTTTAAGAAATGGCTTATTCATAAATAAGAAGAAGGCTGTAACTTTGGTTGCACATTGGGTGGAGAAACACCATTGTCAGTTTATACGCCACTCACTTCTTCTTCTTCGTCCACCATTGTCAGTTTATACGCCACTCACGTCTTCTTCTTCGTCCACAATTTGTACTTTTGAAACGAATAGAAGGAGTTGAATCCACAATTTGTGACAAAGTAGAATTGCTAGCTATCCAATTTAAGGATCAAGCAAATGCATTATGGAACCAGAATTTCTTTAGGTGTTGATGCCTTTTAGTGTCAAATTTTGCAGGCTGTAATTTCAGGAAATCTTCAAATTAAATTTATTCTTTGCATTCATTACATTCCTCTTGGCATTTGGTGCACTCAAATCTTTACGGGAGATATTCCAACTATTCTGCTGTGCTGATGCTTCACTTTGATATTCTTGATCAGCTGGGTGCTCTGATGGAAATTGCGTCATATGGGATTTTGAGACCAGGGGTATTGCTAAGGAGCTTCGTGATAAAGACTGTGTTGCTGCCATAACTAGTGTATGTTGGTCAAAGTATGGCCATCGCATTCTCGTGTCTGCTGCTGACAAGTCGTTGACACTATGGGATGTTGTCAGTGGTGAGAAAATCACTCGAACGATACTCCAACAAACCCCTCTACAAGCTCGGCTACATCCTGGTTCCTCTACTCCATCTCTCTGCTTGGCATGCCCCCTCTCATCTGCTCCCATCATTGTTGACTTGAATTCAGGAAGCACAACTGTTCTTCCAGTTTCCATTCCTGACGTTAACCCAGGACTTGCCCCTTCGTCACGGAACAAAATTTCTGATGGTACTCCTCCTTTTTCTCCTACTGCCGCTTGCTTTAATAAGTATGGGGATCTGGTTTATGCAGGGAACTCAAAAGGTGAAATACTTTTAATAGATTACAAAAGTGTCCAAGTGCGTGCCATGATTCCTGTTTCTGGAGGTTCTGTGATTAAGAACATAGTGTTCAGCAGGAATGGACAGTATCTGCTTACAAATTCAAACGATAGAACAATCAGGATCTATGAGAACCTTCTCCCCTCGAAAGATGGACTTAAAGCCCTAGGTGACCTAAATGTGACCCATGATGGGATTGATGATAGTGTTGAGAAGTTGAAAGCAGTTGGATCGAAATGCTTAACCCTTTTCCGTGAGTTCCAAGATGCCATCACAAAGATGCATTGGAAAGCACCTTGTTTCAGTGGTGATGGTGAGTGGGTGATTGGCGGTTCTGCAAGCAAAGGAGAACACAAGATTTACATATGGGATAGGGCTGGGCATCTTGTGAAAATTCTGGAAGGGCCGAAGGAAGCCTTGATAGATTTAGTATGGCATCCTGTTCACCCCATTGTTGTCTCTGTTTCACTGACTGGTTTGGTTTATATCTGGGCCAAAGATTACACTGAGAACTGGAGTGCATTTGCTCCTGATTTCAAAGAGCTTGAGGAAAATGAGGAATATGTAGAACGAGAAGATGAATTTGATCTGATCCCTGAAACTGAAAAGGTGAGAAGAAATTAAAATCTGGGCAGATTTTTTGTTTATTTATGTTGTGTAATATAAAATTATTTTTTCAGGTGAAAGAATCTGATGTTAATGAAGATGATGAAGTTGATATTGTGACAGTGGAAAAGGATTCAGCTTTCAGTGATTCAGATATGTCACAGGAGGAGCTATGCTTTTTACCTGCAATTCCTTATCCTGATGTTCCTGAGCAGCAAGATAAGTGCATAGAAAGTTCATCGAAGTTGGTGGATAGCAATAATTCTGGCTCCCCTATTTCAGAAGAGGGCCGACCAAATGGACGTGCAAATAATCATGCATCAAGTCCACTTGAAGGTAAGCTTATGCATTGCATGCATATTTGTGTTTTTTGAGTTTGGTTTTTTTCAATGGCTTAAATTCAAATTCACAACTCCACAACTCACTCTTTTATTTTATTTTTATTTTAAAAAAAAAGCAATTTTTTTAATGAATATGTGAAACAGTACAATAAAGCTAAACCAGTAGTGCGTCTATCAGGGATAAAATTAACATGCCAATAGGGTGATAACAAACACTAACATTTGGGTTTCACCTTTAAATAATAGATGGTCAAGATTCTTGCATCTGTTTTTCTCATCACACACAAATGAGGTAACAACCAACATTACACACAAATGAGGTAACAACCAACATTAGGCCTTCTCCTTTGAATAATATCACTAAATCAAACCCCACTAGTCAGCTTAATCTATGAGGTTTTGGCGTTGTTGCTTAAAAAAAGAAGCAAAACACTCAGTTCAAAACTCTGATCTTGAGTTTGAAACCCTTGATTACTAATTTGATCCTGTCACCCAACATAAAAAGCTCTCGTGATGATTTAACTACACATTGAGCTTGTAATTAGATTTTAACTGTTCTTTTTTCTCCCATGTTTTACGGGATAAATTGGCTCTTATCCAACAATATATGTCTCCTGTTTTCCTCCCATATATTTATGCGTCTCTATTACAGAGGATGCTGGTGCGACACGGTTGAAAAGAAAACGGAAGCCTTCCGAGAAGGGGATGGAGTTTCAGGCGTAGAAGGTAAGGAAACCCTTTAAAATATTCTGTTAGATCATCATAACTTGAACATAAGCCTGTAGTCAGGATTGTTGTAATAATATTCATGGGGATGATGTAACCAGTAGATTATAGGTTGTTAAAATTTTCTTTTGTATTTTTCTATTTTCTTCAAAGTTAATTACAATCACGTCATTATGAAATTAGGATCTGGTTAAAAGATTTCTAAATTGTAAACCAAAATATATTGAACAACTTTTCTTTTTTGACTCATCAAGTACTAGAATTTTTTCTTTTGGATGCATCAGTGGTTTCTGAGGTATTTAATTTTCATTCAAAATTTCCACATCTTAACAAGTTTTTGTGGATTCCATAAATTTTTATGATATATTCACCATTCTACTACTTGTTTATGTAAATCCAGACTAAAGATGTTTTCTTAAATCTGGACTGCCGATATATCTAACAGTAAAATTTTAACCTAGAGGATGTTGCATCACTGCTGTCATCGCTTTTCTTTCTTTCAAAAAATAAAAATAAAACCTTGCTTACTGTATGAACTTCATTTGAAACTATATGTGCTGGCATTCTAATTTTCATAGATTTGGTTCTGCCATCTGTGTTAGTGATTGTTAGTTTTCTCAAATTTCTGCACACCATGAACTTCATGGTAAGTGGCGGAACTCTTTGTTTACAATCTTCATGCTTGCTCTTTTAACAGTAAAGCTTTTCAGGTTCGTTAGGGTTCTAAATTGTTTGTATCTTGATATTGAGTGGATTGTAACCCAAAGAAAAAAAAACATTTGAGTACATTTTAGCAACATATAGGAAGAACAAGACCTGGGGAAAAAAATTAAGCAACACAAAAAGTTCCAATTATAGATAGGGTCCTTATTGTGGTATTGTACCTTGACAGGTGGCACTTATATTTATATATCCTTCCCAAAGGAAAGGGACCTGTGTTTTATTGGTGTCTGTCTTATTTTTATGTTCTGCAGTCTTCAACAACAGCAAAATGACCACAATTAATGTTACAAGGTATGACAATCTCTTGCATCTCCAAACTTGGTACCTATTACAGTGGCAAGGACAAAATGTTGTGATGACTCATGGGCCAAGTATTACATTGCTCCAGCAAATCAACGTGGAATTCAATCAACTGGCACTCTCGGGTATTCTGCTCTCTCTTTCCACCGATGGGCACCTCGCTCTGTTTTACAGGGAATTTCAAGCTCCCATGAATATAGTACTTTTTGGAACGAGCATAGTGCCAGGGAGGAAGCTCAGTCTCAGAGTTACTTGCGCCATGGTACTGCGATTACTTGGACCGGAAGCTTATGAGCTCTTTTTTTCCAAAGAAAATGTCAGGCATGCCTGTATCTTCACCTCAGTAGCACCCCGTGGACAAATTCCTATTTGGAAAAGTCGATTCGGATTTTGAGCTTTGCAGGCATTTTCTTACAGAATTTAGGGTGATTAGAAGAGCTCTAGATGATTTTTGTGTATGTTGTATGATTAAATCATCTGTGTGTTTGACAAAGCAGCTTACATAAGCTTAGTTCAGTAAAAATGACCAAATTTGATCCTCATAGTATGGATGTATTTCCATTAGGGTTTAGGGTTTTATCTATCGTATCCTTGTACATAAGCTTAGTTCAGTAAAGAATTCGCCAATTTGTTGGAGTTTATTTAGGTTTGGTTTTCAATTAGGTCTCTCTGCCTTAATGACCCACATGCGCCTATTTTGACTAATTGATGGATTCTTTAATAATTTCTTATTAGGAAAATGAAAATGCTAGGCTTACCATATTTTTATACTACATTGTGTACCACCTCTCTAATAGAGATGAGTCTCATTATATTGGTGGGCTCCATCTCCATTAGAGATTTGGTATAAAAATGTGGTAAGCTTAGCATTACTCTTCTTATTAATCATCTTTCTGTAAGAGTCAAGGAGATAAAACATTTCTGATTTTTTTATACGATTTGAATAATATGGATTGCTTAGTGTTAATAGCATTTGCGTGCACATCAATGGTCTCAAGTTTAAACTCCAAAACACTTCCCCTACCCATTCCAATCTTTGACACAAAAAAGCAAAAAAATTGAATTGCTATTTGGAGTGGTTTTTTTAAAATAATTTTTTTTTCAAAAAACACCCATACTCTTTATTTTTTGAGATATTTAGTAATATACCCATTCTTAGCACTAAAACTATAAATAAACCATACATCATTTCATTTTTATAAACATACCCAAAAAAAACCCAAAAAATGACAAATGGTACTATTAAATTTAAATTTAATTATTAAATTACTTTGATATCCTATTGAGTGTTTTGGGCTTTTTTATGAAATTTTGGGTTGGGTTTGTTTTAAGAAATCAATGGTAATTTTGTAATTTAAAAGAAGTTAAAAGCCTTTTTGTTATGTTATAAATGGGTTTTGGGTGTGTTTATAAATTCCATTTCATATATGGTTTTTTTATAATTTGGGCTCCTATATTGGGTATATTAGTGAATCTCATTTATTTTTTTTGGGTCGAATTTAACCCATACTCTTCGATATGTGTGTCTGTAACAACAAAGTTGGCAGAGTGCCGTACTCCGCTGCGACGTTCTGTATCTGCAGTTTTGTTTTTGTACGCATGCGTGATTACGCACACTATTCGATAAGCGATCATCCAACGTTGCACAATTGTCGACATGGTAAATAGCGTGGCGCCAAAGCACAGTAGAACGAGTTCGAATACTCACGCTTCGCCACGTATACTCCTCTTGCTCATGCTCTGCCCCCCGTCCTGTACGCTTTCCCTCTGATCCTCTCGACGATGCAAACCAGTGAAATTTTGGCTCTTAATAGCTTTCACCATGGTTCTTCAATTCAATAAGGTCACGTTTTCTCTCTCTGAACCTTCGTTCTGATATTTCGAAGTATGAAATTTGCGATTTTGCATTGTGGGTTTTCTTGGATTTGAAAGATGAATGTGATATGAAGGTGGTGGCGCAGGGTTTGTGAAAGGAAATCTTTGTTCCCTTTGGTTTTGGTTTTGGTTTTTTCTTGCTTTTTGTGGGGTTTTGAGAGGATGTCTCATAGTTCTGATACAAGGAGAGAAATCCCACCTGGGATTTTGCTTATTAGAAGCATTAGAGGCAAAGATTGGAGTCTTTCTACATATAGATATGTGATTTTGCTTGTTACTTTCATAGCTTATGCATGTTACCATGCTTCAAGAAAACCCAGTAGTATAGTGAAAAGTGTTTTGTATCCTGATTCCAACAAAGGCACAGGCTTAGGCTTGGACCCCTTGTTTGGCAGGGTTTTTGTTAAGGAAGAGTTTGGAGGAAATGGGAATTATAGGTTGATAGAGAAAGGTTGGGCTCCGTTTAATGGAACCGACGGGACGTCGAAGTTGGGAGAGATTGATGTTGCATTTCTTGCATGTTACTCTTTGGGAATGTATGCTGCTGGGCATTTGGGAGATACATTGGACCTCCGGTTGTTCTTGACAGCCGGGATGATTGGGAGTGGCATTTTTGTTGCACTATTTGGGATGGGATACTTTTGGAATGTTCATGTGTTTGGTTTTTATCTTGGGATGCAAATGGTTGCTGGGTTATTCCAAGCAACTGGGTGGCCTTCGGTTGTTGCTGTGATTGGTAATTGGTTTGGAAAGGGGAAGAGGGGTTTGATTATGGGTATATGGAATGCACATACTTCCATTGGGAATATTAGTGGCTCACTTCTTGCTGCTAGTGTTCTGGACTATGGGTGGGGTTGGTGTTTTATAGTTCCAGGTGCTTTTATTGCAGTGGGAGGTGTAATGGTTTTCTTCTTCTTGGCTCCATATCCTGAGGACATTGGATTTTCATTCCCACAAGGTTCACCTTCTGATTTGGAGGCAAACCCTAAGGACGAAGAAGCTAATGTAAGAAAAGAAACTACAGAGGAAGATGAAACACAAACTATTAACCGAGCTGGGTCTGTGAGCAGGACAAGTGTTGGGCTTCTTGAAGCTTGTCTAATACCAGGAGTTATACCCTTTGCGCTGTGCCTCTTCTTCTCAAAGCTTGTGGCCTACACGTTTCTGTACTGGCTGCCATTTTATTTAAGTCAGACAGGTAATTTATCCCTCATAGATTTTATAGACAATCTTGATTGACTGGTATGATTTAAAACTGTAAGATTTTGAAATGCTGTCTGGATTGCCAGATAACTTCAGCTTTTTTCTTTACTATTTAATTTAGAATAGAAGATTCAAAACATTGCAAGTACTATCGGTTGTGGATTGCAATGTCCAATTGTCTGTTCGAAACTTACTTGAATTGAATGTCATCGTCCTCCATAAGTGTTGTTCTTTTCCAGACATTGCTATTGGCAATTGATCACTTCCAGGCAACACCAGTCACATCTTGTTTTTTGAGGTATTATTTAAAATCTTCATGCATCTAATATAAGGTTCCCATCTCGTTCTCTCTTTTGCTTTTGCAGAAATAGGAGGAGAATATGTTTCTGTAAAATCTGCTGGAAACCTCTCCACTTTGTTTGATGTAGGGGGCATAGTTGGTGGAATCCTTGCTGGCTACATATCTGATAAACTTAATGCTCGAGCTACCACGGCAGCCAGCTTCATGTGTGCTGCAATTCCAGCAATGCTTTTATATCGCAGATATGGCAGTATTTCACACAATATCAACATTGCGCTTATGATGGTTGCTGGCTTGTTTATTAATGGGCCCTATGCACTTATCACCACTGCGGTATCTGCAGACCTTGGTACGCACAGTTCGCTTAGAGGGGATTCTCGAGCACTGGCAACAGTTACTGCCATAATTGATGGTACTGGATCAGTTGGTGCAGCTTTTGGCCCTCTTCTTACTGGTTTCCTTTCAACAAAGGGATGGGATGCAGTATTTGTGATGTTAATGATTTGTGCTCTTATTGCGGCACTTCTTTTATCACGTTTGGTTATGGCTGAAATTGCTGAGAAGACTTGCAAACAAGTTCCTGTATCCGGTGGGCGACAAAGTTCCGGAGGTAATACTTCTTGTATTGTTCGCTTTATAAACAACTTCCTTCCCACCTCATCTCCAGCCAACACTGATGATACAAATGTCTGGATGGTCAGTGTAACCAATTCTATCTATTTTCAAAAACCTTATTTTGAGAAATGGACCAGATCATGATTATTACAAAAAAACTTTTTGACTCTAGATAATCTCCTAGTAACCTTAGAGCTTTAATGGTATTTAGCGGTAAGAGTCTCTTAAATGATAGAACCATCCTGGTCAGTGGGGATAGTGTTCAACAAGTAGTGGATTACAATGATAAATAATTTTCAGTTCACAGAACAAAATTTTCACTGTTTGGATGATAATGCTGATTTTGAACTACTGGTATTCTTTTCTTCTGCAGCTCCTGCATCCCAACCACTTCTAAGTGATCGACGATGATACTAAGGGATGCCCTCAAGAAGCTTCATCATATGCCGGAAATCATGAAAAACAAGCTTCGTTATGTTGATAAATTCAAGCACAACTTGTAGGTGATAATTTGTGGTCTTGAGAAACAAATTTCTTTGGCCATATTACAAAACGAAACATAAGCATCAGTTTACGTCAAAGCTGAAAGGCTTCAGAAGTAGAGCTTTTTAAGCACCCATTTTGGTGTTCATTTTCTGTAATATATGCAAAATAATAAGCAGTTTTAGATTTGCTTACTTTGGGTAATTGCTGTCCAATCTGGGTGAATTTTGTTTACAGATAATGCTGAAGATAGAATTCAGTATTTTCCATATTTTCTTTGAACTTACCCTTCTGGGTGACAATCCTTTATTTAGCTTTTAGAAACCAAACTTGGCGGCAGTGATGCTGTTTGGTTTTCTGTCAAGCTCAAAGCATTTATATTTGTAGGGTTAAAACTTTGCTTTTTATACCTGTCAACATTTTCTCCAAGCTCAATTGTCATTTATACATATTAATTGAGGTTTGGAAGTAATTGTTTGCCAAACCTCATTAACTCCTTCTATTGCCTTCTTTTTTATGTTTTTTTTGGTTGGGAATACAAGAGATGGTCTAAATTACAAGGAGGGAGGATTTCTCACACACTATCAAGGTGTCATGAGGGTTCGAATCTGAGACCGTTGGTTTGCAAGTCAATGTCTCTTTTTATTGGGCTAGACCCTGTTGACTCCTTTTGATGTTTAAGTAACAAGTAAGTTGCTGTTGAAAATTGACTGTAAAAAACGTTGTTAATTGTGTTACACTTTCAGAGTGATAATGAAAACAAATAGTAATGGGATTAACAATCACGGACCAATTCCCATAAGTCAAGTCAATTGAAAACTTACCTCCCACATTTACCCTGACAATTTGATACTTTACTAAATAAAACAAAAAGGAGAACAGAAAAGAGAACTAATGTTTACTGAATTAATTTGCAAGCTGTGAAACTAAACGAACACTTTAATAGCAATCATGGAACTTAAAAAAGAAAGAACTTCTGCAATAAAATCACATAAGTAAAGCTTAGCTCTGTTTAGGAGACTGAAACTTTATTAAAAATCTAAAGATGGGTGCATAAAAAACCAGACATAGCTCAATCACGATTAATCATATTGTTTTCTGTGGCAAGTAATATTCCTCTTCTTCCCCTTTCAATTCATGAATATGTTCTCTAATCTGTGGTCCTACCATTGTGATGACACCTCATTAAAATGCTACAAACCCTACATTTGGCTCAAAATAATGGGCGGCATAAAAGTTCTTATTCCAACCCAAAGACAAAAGATATATGCATATCTTTGTTCACCCCAAAAAAATTTCTTAGGATGGTGAAGATATTGTGAAATGCAGATAAATACACAATCTCTAAGTGCAGATGCTCGGGATTATGTCGATATTGCAGATGCTGTCATTATTGTCAATTTTCTACAGTAATAGTTCCTGTTTGAGAACACTCTTGTAGCTTCTATTGAAGAAATTTTTTAACTTTCCCCTAAATTTGAACAAAGACTTTGGAAAAACCCAAAGGAGAGAGAAATTTTGTAAAAGAAGTCAAAATGGACAAATTTGCCCTTATTTATTTTTGGATTTCCTTAGAAATCATTTACACTTGCATGTCTTTGATTTGAAAGTTGAGATGTTTTTCTGTCTTTTTTGAAAAAGCTTTGGCTTTTTCCAAAAGTGAAAATTTTTTTATAGGTAAAACCTAAATTTACTTAATAAAAATCTAAAAACAAGATGCCATTTGTGGGGCCTAGTAGCTACCAGCTAGGACTTGAATTGGTGTAAAAAGTTTTGTGTTGGATCTTGTCTTAGTCAAGGAAAGCATTTTAGTGCTCTTTCATATGCCAAATAGTTAAGAGTATTTCACTCGTATCCCGTGCCCGTAGGCTGTAGCAATAGAGAAAGCATGTCGTTTTGAAAGCTTCAACTCAGACATAGCCATCAATCCCTATCATGAATGTTGGAGATTAAAATAAATAAATAAACAAATCATCCCCTTTTTCCCATCGTTGTATACAATTATTGGTTTTTAAAAATCATTATTTTTTAAACTTAACTATGTAGACATTATCCCATCTTTCACAAATAGTAATCTTTATAAAACTTTACATGAATAGGGAAATTTGCATCTTCGTGGGGATGTGCCAAATCCAAGTTACCAAAAAAGATGTTACGATGAAGTGGAGACATGTCGCCATGCAGACTGTGTAAGGTCATGCAATTGTCTACTTATTACCGGTTGACATGCCTCTCACAATATGTCGTCACTTTCTTCTTATTAAAAAGAAAAGAGAAAACTATATTATATATTATAATTTACTTCAAGATTGCTAGATTCAAGGCTAGATATCCATCGAATTTCCATACATGCAAATCAAAATCCAAAGCACAAATTCTAATTTTTCCTCAACACCTCCACATGAAAATTTCATTTGGAAATTTTATACCATTGTCTAGTTAAAACATAACATACTAAGATGGCAAGTATTTTATGTTAACTGAAGTAACTATGGCGCATTGACGCATCGCAAGAAAGTCCCCACTCCATTTTTTCTATGGTTGACAACACAAACAAACGCATGACACATGCTGGCTAGTTGCATTGCATCCCCAGGGTCTATGGCCATTAGAATCTGATGACTTCGGCCTTGGGGCAAAAATTGTGGCCACATATCACTGTACTTGCATCCTCCTTCTCGAGCTTTCTTAGCACAACATTGTCAAAACTAGGGCAAAGGTAGAGCAAGTGGACTGGTATGGGTGTAAAGGTGACTATTCTCCCATGGTAATCATTGAAAAGCAAACTTTACAAACATGTGAATATTATATATACACAAATAAACTTATTTGAGGGATACGTTTGTAGGGCTCATCAAATGTTGTTTTTCAATGATCCGAACCCTAGTGTTAGTCTTTTTTTGAAACACCATGTTTATCTATTTTGTTGCTAGCAATCAGATACCTTGGCAATTTTCAATTTTTCAGATTTTTTACAAGGATGACCTATGAATGAAGACTTGAAAAATAGACGGTTTGCATTGTCAAAAATAATTCATAAGGTACCCTAAAGGGTGTCTCTCAATAGAAGGGGACTCTATATAATGAAATCGTAAAGCCTAATACGTTTTTATATGAATCGACGATCTTAATTAATTCATAATCTGACAACATAATCACTGGCAAAACACTATGGGCTACAACCCATAGAGGTTTTTGGGGAAAAAAAAATAAAACTTATATTTTGACTTGTTTTATATATAACTTAGCATGTATTAACTTATTAAGGTTCAAAAAAGTCCAATTCTTTATAAATTTAGTTGCAGGGCAACAATAAAAATAGGTACATTTTCAATTCTTGTTGAAAATATTTTTATTTTGATAATATATTTTTTGGTTGCATTTATTATATTTTGTTTATATAATTTAATGTATACTGTTATTTCTAAAAAGATGATATAAACTGTAAGTAAAAAAATAAAGATTTCCGTAGAAAAATTCATGATTCCGCCCCTTCTACATAATATCTACTTCAGGACTACATATCAGAACAGAAAAAGAAAACAGATGAAGCAATTAATGATTTATTATATGCCTGAATGAATACTTGCAAGCTCATTGATGTGAGTTATACCAAAATGTAGGGTTTTCCTCAAATTATTGTATGCTGGTGGCTGCTTTTGTCACTGTGATTCCCGTGCAAGTTTGGTGGGACAAAGTTACCCAGAAAGTCTCTATGGTGTGTGCCCATAACACAATGCGCAAGACGAAGTCCCCAAATGACTTTTATAATTTACAGAGTCCCCAACAACAAGTGAGTGGACACATTAAAAAGAAAAAGAAAAAGAAAAATTATACAATCAATCAATGTCCACCACAATTTTGAGCAGCTTCCTCTCTGTCTCTCTTTATTCTGTGATGGGATTGCTTTTGGGACGGGTTGGTTCATGGCAGTTTCACGCTTTTAAGTTCTGTGGGAAAATAAAATATTTTCTTGTTGGGTAAATGATGCATGCCAAAGTCATACACCTATATGTTGATAATGAACGCATAGGTCCATTCTTTTGCTGTGCAAATTTTGTATCCATATAGTCTCGCTATCATAAAGACAGTCCATCCTTTAATAATGAACGAATATCATGTCTGAAAAAGAATTGATATTTTTAATAAAACATCGCTACATTTACGATTATACTTATAATCTCATTGATATCTCGATATTTACCATTAGAATTCGACTCCCGTCGTCTCTTATTTTGTAAACTAGTGTTATCAAAATAATTTGTACAACATTGACAAAACCAAAAAAGGTCATTCTCAATGCATAGGTGTCAACCAGCTGCCCTTGTGCTATGAAATTCCAAGCACTCAAATGTTTGCCACAATAAAGATTCTGTACTCCTTTACTCTATAGAGTCTATATATCAACCTCACCTCTCCAACCCCTATTCCTCACATAATTCTCACTCTCTCTCTCTCTCTCTCTCACTGTGTCTCAGCTCTTGCTCCATCCAACCTTATTTTCCATTTCTGTGGCACTCCAGTTTCACAGAGCCATGGCTCTCACACGTGCCATGCTCACCCTCACAATGTTACTAGCTCTTGTAGCGTTGTCCGTGGCTCAAGGCCCAGCCTCGGCACCAAAATATTTCACCCCCTCCAAGCCAAAGCCGCCGCCGACCGCCGCCCCACCGATGACCACCGCCTCTCCACCGATGACCACCGCCTCTCCACCGACATATATGGCGGCACCACCTCCATCAACCACCGCATCGCCGCCACCTAATACCGTTGGAGCTACTCCTCCCACCACCTCAGCCACCCCACCAACCACCGCAACGCCCCCGTCCACGGTGGCTACACCACCAACTGCTGCCACCCCACCTATGGAAGCAAGAAGCCCAACAAGCCCAGGCCCAGTAAGCCCAGGCCCAGAAAGTAGCACACCACCTTCACCAACTGTACCGGGACCCGGCTCACCTTCACCAGCTGTACCGGGACCCGGCTCATCTCCAGGATCCTCCATTGCAGAGCCACCAGCCCCAGTCCCATCCAGTCCAGACTCAGGTGCTTTTGTTCATGGGATTAGCATGGCCTTGGTGGCATTCTTGGGTGGAGTTGCGCTAGTCCTTGCTTAGAACACGGGCTGTCCTTTGAAATTAATTTATGTAGATTTAGATTAATTAGTATATCTGTGTATTCTTTGTTTTCCTAAAATTTATTGTTACCCTTCTTCTTTTCTTTTTTAAATTTTCTTTTGGGTTTGGGTTGGTTTTGTTGATGGTTTTTGGGAGCTCCATTGTGATTTATGAGAGGAGGGTGCAGGAGGGTGTATGGACACATTTGTTGGATCTACTTAATAGCTCTTCTTTTGTAACATTTTCATGATGACCAGACGAATAATAAGAGAGATCCATGATTCTTGTTTGTGTTTCCTAAGTTTTAATTAACTCTACATTTATAAATCCGGTTATACATAATAATTCCGATTCACAGTCTAACAGTCTAACATATTTAATTAATAGTTGGATTCACGGTCTAACGAAAAAACATTAATTTTAATCTTATGTTGCCACACAGTACTAAGCAGGCTTCAGAATCTAATCTAAGTTTACCCAAATCATTCTTCTTCCTATGTACTTTATTTTTATCATTATTAAGGGGGTTTTTTCTTCTTTTTTTTCATGTCACAAAAAGATGTTTTTGGACTCCTGGCTCTAGTAGTTGGATGGATATCATGGATACTTATTGAATTGTAATGTATCTTTTGCATAAGACCATTTGATACATACACTGATACACATAATCATACACTAAAACTGTGAGATAAAGGTGCATGGGAGAATATACCAAACAGCTTTAAAAAAACTCAACCAATTGATTACAAAAGGAAAAAAAAAGGAGGAAAAAGAAAAAGATATTTTAGATGCCCTAGGAAAAAGGGTAGTTGGCTTGCTGGAATTGGTAGATGGAGAAGTGATGAATTGGTGCAAATGGTGTCATTGGTGTGTAGTGGAATTGGTGGGGAAGGAATGAGGGAGGAAAAGTTTTTATTTTTATTATTTTTCCATATTTTTTTTCTTGGGTTTCTTGAGGGAGGAAAAGGGTTAGGTGGTAGGATTATGTGGAAGAAATGGGATGGTGAAATGGTTTTGGGGATAGGACTTTGGATTTTTATTTTTCAATTTTTGTTATTGTGGGTTAGAAGGGTTAAAGGAGAATGGGCCTCCGGTGGTGAAAGCACAGGGAATGAATGGTTATTGAAGGTGGGGCAAAGTACGCATGTGACATAAGAACATGAATTGGAAAGTGATGTGCACATGGTTTTTTAGATAAGAGAGAGAGAGAGAGAGAGAGAGAGAGAGAGAGAGAGAGAGAGAGAGAGTTTCCCAGTTCTAGCTCACATGGCTTGTAAATCGATTCAAATACAGCTTGATGTTGTACTGTGTTTTGGGATTTAGTTGTTGTGCATTTTGGTGTATTTATGGAAAATACTTTCCTTTTTTCTCGGTATGAACTCTTATTTTTCTGTCAATCACAGTTTGATATGTGTATAAATTTTTCTTTTTATGTTTTTCATGAATTATTTTTGCATATGTGTCAAACTGTACTTTGCAAAAAGTTGGAATGCCTCCTTCCCAAGCAATGTCCTTTCATCAATACAACTTAAGATCATGTGTTTAGTTCATCTCATCTTAAGAATTTGAGGTTCTGTTGGGACCTCAAAATTCCGACCTAGATACTCCAAATTCTAAATTTAAACCATAGCTTGAAACCTCAAATATGATTAGATCTTGTGTTTGAATTCCCAATATATATAGGTTGGACATGAAAATTCAATTTGGTCACTGAGAAATTTTTTTAGCCAAATTGGTCACTGTGTTTCCCAAAGTTTACAATTTATAGACATTTTGTTATCTTCTATAAGTGCAGTTTTTATTTTTATTTTTTTAGGAAGCACTTTCAATATTCTTCCTCTAACTCAACGACTTAGGGTATGTTGTGCTATTAAGGTTTAACAAAGTTGGGGAAAGCTTGGGTTCAAATCAAAATTGTGAGGTATAAGGTCACGGATTGGATGCTATATTGAAGCCTGAATCGATTGAGTGATGACCGTATTGTGACTTTAGATGGCAAGGAGATGTAATGAAGGTGATACAGCACCAAAATATATTGTTAAGTGCCAGTTTGACATTGCTTATTTGGGGTGATAAGTGATTTTTTAAAAATTTTGAGAAGCCCAACCCGTTTGGTAAACTGTGAGAAAATTACTTATTGTTAAAAATTGCTGTGAGAGAAAGTTATAAGGGAAAGTAGCTAATGAAGTACTTTCATTTTCTGATTATGCAGGAATCAGTTTCGAAGATGCGCTGGGTTGAATGATTATGCAACAATCATTTTCTGATTATGCGTAAAATTAATACCAACAACACTTTTAACAAAAAATTTACCAAACGCCAAACTGCTTTCTCTCACAGCAAATTTGACAACGATTATTTTCACAGCACAGCAATGCCAAACTGGCCCTAAGTTGTTGATTTCATTTTAATTTGGTTTGGTTTTTTTATTTTTCCTTACATACTTCACAATTTTGATTTCAACCCAAGATTTACCTCAATTTGTTAACGAAATGTTTATAAATTGTAAATTTTGAGAAACACAGTGACCAATTTGGTTAAATTTTTTTCTCAGTGACCAAATTGAATTTTCGCATAAAACCCAATGACCAAAAAAGTATTTCACTCCAAAAAAAAACTTGTATTGTTCATTACATTAATAATTTCAATTTTTTCCAACCAAACAATAGAATCACTTTCATTCCATTCCCGTTCTTCTATATTCTATACCAACCAAACACCACCTTATTTCTGCAATTGGATTATGGGAAGTACCCGTCATGGTGGAGATGTTAATTTATATAAGTCACAAGGAAAGGATGCGTTCCATGCTTTGGTGATTAGATTCTTAAAGCAAATATGAGTTGTGTCGTTTCATGAGAAAGAAAAATTATTAAGCATTGGATACCATTTGAAAAAGCCAACACTCAAGATTCATCCTTTGCCTTTTTCTAGCTATGAAGAAAATAACACCAAAACCAATCGTTCTCTCTAAAAGCCTTTAGAAAACATGTCAAGCTAAACATGCATGGTTTGATTTGGGACCCGGAGTTGCTCCTCACTAAGGTACAAACCAACGTCTCCTTCTTCCTCCTCTTGTTTGGGACACCATAGCATGGAACCCATGACTAATAGGCATGTTTTCATGGAACCTAAGGAGCTTATTTTTGCTTTGAACATATACGCCCTTAACTTTGTCAAATTGAAACGTTAAAACTTTTCCAAATGAAACTAGTATGAGCTTGATCCTCTACATTGATGTCACATAGTGCATGTGACAATGCAAGGGTGAGCCTTATGCTAGGTTGCCGTTCACTTATTATATATACTGGTCTCTCAATTCGCGCTTATGGACGTGTCAATAGGTTTATTTTATTCTTATCGATATAGAATTTTTGTTAAACATAGACTCTTGTTATTATTATTATAATTATTTTCACTTTAATAGACTATGGTTTACGCATGTCTTGTGTGGATGGATGATGCCACAATGCTCGTACGGTGAGACAGACAGCACTTAATGTAGTGGCATTTTCAATGTTGATGGGTTTTACTTAGTTGGACAGCAGGGCAAGACCTCACATCAAATAAAGGTGCTCAATGCAAATTTGTTTTTGGTCAAAAGGAAAATTTCATTGCCAAGTAAAGAGCATCCAACTCTGCCACATAGGAGCTCAATTTCGAAAGTCGGTAAAAGAAAAGCAGGTGTTTAATGCATTTACATGTAGGATAGGAGAAATTTTTATATGTTCCGAGTATACCACGTGGCTGGTGTATCATCCAATAAACATAGGACATGTGGAATCATTGTCTAACTTACTGCAATTCTTTTTATAACATATGGCGGGCTGTATTACAAATATTTCATATGTCTTCCGTCTATTGGATGGTACACCAACCACGTGGTGTACCTGGAACACCCAAAAATTACTCGTAAAATAGGAATACATTTGCTGAGTTGAATTATGTGACTGGATAAGATTTATAATCCCAGTTAAATATTTGATGGCTTAAAAACAATATCAATTGAAAAATATATAATTTTACTGAGTTTAAATGTAGTAGGATTATAAATCCCGTCAAAATATTAAGATTAAGTTGAATTGGATTATGTCTGCTAGGCCATGCAATAGCATATTTTAGTTAATTCAGTCCCTTAATCATAAATAGTACGAAATACAGGATTGGATTAATGTTATCTTCTCTAATCCAGTGTACCTCCAATCCAATTCCAGTATCCAAACATGGCCATAGGGATATCTCATGGTTTCTGCTCAAAACAGCCAAACCTTCAAAGAGACATTTGGAGGCTTTAGGCTTGGCTACTCTGAATCATATGACAACAGTCAATAAGCAAGAAACAAGTAATGGTAGGAGAGAGTTTCAAACCACTTTCGTTAATCACTTTATTATGACTAATTATTAATTGAGTAACGTAACACACCCAGTTTTTTTCACCAAAAGTTCAAAAGTATTCAGAATGTTTTCCAAGCCGAATGTCTTGTGCTTAAAACATTTGAACTTGTTCAACATTGCACGTGAGCACTTGTGCTTAGGTTGGGCATGTGTGGATGATGTGTTGCATAAATCTCTCTTTAAAATTCAGGAAAAACTCCATACTTGTCGATCACATTACCCTGTCATTTACATGTCGGGACCGCGCAGAAAATGAAACCAGCAATATGAATAAATCAGAGATAATACAGTGACATGATCTGCTAAATTTTGATTTTGGAACCAGCAACATGGATAAAAATTGCCAGCACAGAAAATGAAAGCTGAACTCAATTTACCAAGAAATGCACTCTGCTGTGCCTCACAAACATGTTAAATGTAAAGAACAGAGGTATCTGAAAACAAGAAGGTTGATTTACCCCAGAAGTTTAACCGGTGCACCTCAATGGTTTGTATATGTAATTCTTATCTTGTTGAATACATTTCTTTGTAAGGTAACTTGGACTCTACCTGTATCTCTTTAATTAGTTTGTCACCCACTGAACCCATCTCATGCTCCTTACATGGTTGGGCAACCAAGCCATGAAGGCCCAAACTCCAGTCAAGGGGTATCGCTGTATCAGTTAATATCATTCTTTTGGTCAAGGCACTTGAACTCTAACAGAATCATTATACCTCATCTATTTTTTTCTCTGTTTTCTACGACACTCAAAACAATCTGTACATGGAGATTTGTTTTTACTTGAAAAACTTGCTTGCAGCTTGCTAGGCGGTATTTTCAGGTCTTCCACTAGTACATGGCGAAGCTTCTCGTTTTCCTCCATGAGCTCTTCAATGACTTGCTGGTGTTTCAATATCTGATGCATAGGCAATTTCAATTTGACAATTCTAAGTATAAAAAAAAGAGAGAAAGGATATTAACATGACTTGAGCCCTCTTAAAGAATGCTTTCCATAAATTTAGACTTTTCCAGTGGTTACTGATATTTTACCAGGCAATATCATCATATCAAACATGTATCTAAGATCAATTTCTTAAAAACAAGGAAAACAAAATAAACACAACCAAAAATTTGCATGAAAATAAACTGGAAGCTATGAGCTGATATTAAACATTACCATCTGAAGCATTTTGTTCTCCAACCTCAAGCGTCCAGCCTACACAGGTAAAACCAAAAATTAGATAATCACAGAAAAGATTAGATAATGAGGGATCAGCCAGCCCACCCACCCACCAACATGAGAATCATGGGTTCAGTTGAACTTCCCATGAAATGGATAAATGTAGTTCTACACTTTTGAACATCCTTTTTAAGGAAAAAAAGAACCACCCATTGCTAGTAGGCAGACAAGTAATTCCCCAAGCGTTTAGATATATTGACCAAGAACTTTACAGTAATCACTGCTGCAAGTGATTATAGTTGGAATCAAAACAAACTACTGCAAACACCTCCCCAAAGAAAATGAAGCAGAAAATTAGAAGACAAACATGCCCCCTGGCTCTCCTGTAAGATTGGAACAAGTTACTTTAGAATGCAATCTTCGTATCACACATTTTCATAACAATTTTATATGGTTTTTTGACAAATAATCATGTTCCATCTGTCACATACCGCTTCATTTGGTTCACTTTCCTCTCCTTTCAGAACTGGATTCTGAAGAAAACTGCTGAGAACTTTTTCTGTTCGACTGCCAAAAGGTGTATCAACTGGAGAGCCTTTTGATGTAAAATTTTCATAGGCTGAAGCAGTACCAGTATTCCCATATCCAGGTAAACCTTGAGATTTATGGTCTGGTGGCTTTGTAGCCAACTGCATGCTACTTCCCATTGGATTTTGGCTTGATGGATCATTTACAATGCCTATGGCCCTTTGCAAAGAACTTGGGATGGCACCTTGACCAATGGCTAAATTGGGAGCAACTCCAAACTTCACCATCATCTTTGTGATCCCTTGCTAGAGAATATAGAGTTAATGAATCAGTAGACTGTAACAAGCAACAACTCATGACAAGAGAAACTAATACTCACTACAAGATGAAATTGAATTTGATGTAACACCCCTGGCTTCACAGCAAGGCCTGCAATTGGAAATCAACAATTCAGCTATCACAAACGAATATTGTTAAAATGCATGAATTACAGAGCACTGATGTATTATCTTATTCCATGAGGTCAAAGGATATAATGCCGATTGGATTTTTTAAAGACTGTGCAATGTACATTTTGGAACAATGTCATGAAGTCACTATTCAAATAATTGCAACCAGTAAAAATCTAAACAGAAGAATCTGTTCTTGTTGAAACGTGAATACTGTTCTGTTATGACTCCAGAAATCTGCACCCCTGATCAAATTCCTTCCACTGGACAAAGAGTTTGAACAGTGCAAGACTCCCAAATGTAAAATATGTACTGTTATCAAGAATGCACATAAACAACTACATAGGCTGAAGGGCTGTTGTGAATGCCAGATAGCCTGTCCAAGGAACTCAGCTAAAACTTTCTTTCACATGCATGAAATTGCACTACTTAAATAAAACATGAATCCCTTCTACAACTCATCAATATATAGTGATAAATCTGTTTGCATCACCAAATATTCTGATTATAAATTAGGCAAGACATATCATACAGAATGAAAAACCAAGCACCAGCTGGCACAACGCATTTCACCAGGAACTAGTCAACATTAGTCTCCATAATAGTGCATCAGAAAATGCAAATATATGAAACAAAACGTACTATTGAATTCCCTAGAAATGCATAACCTCACATACCAACTCCAAAACCATGGCCAATACCAACTCCACATCCAATGCCTGCTTCAATGTTCTTTGCTCCCAGCTTCCTCAACTGAAGAATGATAAATGGGAATAAGAGCTTGAGGAAGTCTTTGAGTGTTAGTAATCATTTTATCTTCCTCTTTTCATGACAATGACAATGATACTCACAAAACTGAAAAATGAAAAGAAGAAGATATTTGACTTACAGAGTTATTTACATGTCTGCTAACGCCAGATAATGCATCAGTAGCACCTCGTGTGGCACCCATGACTTGATTTAGTACTGGTATTGCACCTGGTGTACATAATTTAAATCAACAAGTGGGTTAACTAATATCTGCTACAAAGATAACAACCAAAGAAGAGAAATTTGATAGTATTGTTGTCAATAGCATCTCCACTTGAAAAGATACAAAGTTGCACAACTTAAACGCTCATCACTTATCAATCATTCAAATACTGAATTGCATGGATCAAGATATTTTTGCAAAATAGAATTGTCTCTTGCCAACCTATTCCTTTCTCTAGATTTAACTCTTTAAAAACATATGTGCTGAAAGCATGCTTGAAAATAACTGATATCTAAAGGTATTAGCTGACAGACAATCCATAGCTTGAGAATGGACACTGCTCATGAATACACATTGATTAAGATAACAATGCACAAACTTCAGATTCAGAACAACCAAATTCTAACTTCACAAACATTACACGCATATTAGCAACAAATCAAATTCAAAATCCGAACCAACCAACCATCCGTGCAGTTGCTGTAAATTCTTAGAATAAAAAGGTTCCTACTAAAACGATATACCAAAAATTCAAAATGGCAGCTTTATCCCATTTCCTACATTTTCTCAGCAACCAAACAGACCCAAGTTCCAAAAACAAACAACAAAGGCAATGACAGAGAAAATGAAAAGTAATACATGGTTTCTTAGCAACTTGTGTCTGATGGGTTTCAGCATTTTTGGGTTTGAAGAGCTTCCCCAAGTCCATCTTCCACATAAAATTAGACTATAGACAGAGAAAGCTGCGGAAGAAAAAGAGATAGTTCAATAGACAGAGCGGTACCTAGATTTATGGGGCGACCAACACCGATACCAACACCGCAGCCTATGCCAAAGCCTGTAAATACTTGACCCACTTTCAAAGTAAACGGATTCTCTATTCGGATTCCCCCACTTGGCCTTCTCTCATTGGCCACCACCAAGCCACTCTTGCTACTAGTATTGCTGCTGCTGGCCTCCATTTCTGAACAAGCTTCTCCCTCTTTTCAAAAGCCAAAAGCTTAAAGCTGAACTCTCTCTCTCTCTCTCTCTCTCTCTCTCTAAAAGCCCAAGCCTCACACTTCTCTCTCACTCCCCCTGAAATCTTTTCTCTCCTGAAATTTCCTACCTTGCTCGCTTGCTCTAAACCGCAAATCTAAAACATTAGGTACAAGGCAAAGTGATGAGCCATACTTCTCTGCTAACCAGAAATTGTGTAAACTTAGGCCTGCAATCGGCTACCCGCTAGAAACATGCCCACTTCAACCTAGGAAGTGTTGTTCAAAGTCTTGACATGCTTAAATTACCAAGTTCCTCTGAGCTTTGTGGACAATCAGTAATGGATGGATTTAAATTTCATTGATGGATCCGTGCAGTCGTTTCATAGGATTCTGACTGCGGAGGGGAGGAGTGTTGTGGTACATAAAGCGAGGTAACCGAGTATCGAATAAAACAGGTAGCTGTTGTTACCAAAAAATAAAAAAATAAACAGGTAGGTAAGCTCTATGGGCTTGAAAAGGTGAGGCAAGTCCACAGGATCCTTGAATTGGTCTGAAGTGTATTGCTCACAAGTTGCCCAAGTCCGAAAGTATGAACAATACATACGCTATCCGAGGCATCTACTTTCTTTTTTTTTGGTTACATGGCGGGGCAAGCCCCAGGAGAAAAGAAATTAACGAAGAACGCTTCGAGGCAAAGCCCGACTTAAGCTATCATCATGCAAAATATGCCCTAGAGAAGAAGGCATATCATCAAAACTATGCCAACCCAAAGATAATTAGTGACCCATAGCAGCAAGGTGATCAACATGATTCTGTTCGCTGTCCGAGGCATCTACTTTTCTCACCAAATGTGTATGGAATATGTTTGTAGCATGTTAGAGTCTTGATAAAAATAAATAAGGTTTAAAGTGAAAAATAAATTGATTCATCATTTGGTGAGCAAAACGTAATAAAGAAATTTGGTGTGACGGACATAATTTGGTCTCACCAATTTTTAGCATAAACTAGCGTCGAAAAGCAAACTTTTGGAAATGGGTTGCTACGTAAAGCATCTATCAAAACAGGTTGGTCCACGGAGTAATCAGTTTTGGTTGGTCAATTTAATCGATCATTTTCGATGACATGGAAGCATGAGAAGTGCGAACAAACTATGGCACCTCTTCCGTTTTTTCGAGAGCGAGATATTATAGTGTTTGAATTTTATACTATACTTTACGTTTTCATTTGGGCATGACGCTATTACGTCTCTATTTTGAAGCATAACAATGTGTTGAAGTTTTTTGGCTCACCATGACGCAGGATAAGGAAGAGGAACCAAAGGTTGCAAGAGGAGCAGCGAGAGGAGAAGAAGAAGTCATGGAAAGGAGCGGCAGTGTGCCAGTAACCAGTCGCTTTATACAAAGAGCTAAGATTGTGTCTTCAACTCCATGTGACTGGTCGTCCTGACGATCAGTTGGCATGTGAACAGTGCCGTGTGTGATTTCGACATTTTGGTGTGTTTGACTTGGGTTTTCTATTATTTTTGGGGTTTTCTAGCCTAATTTAATAGGATTTTGGTTTACTATTCCTAGTTAACTTGTAGCAATAGTTCTATGCATCATAAATAGGACTTTCAGGGCTCGATTACTAAGAAGAGAGAGACACAAGGGAATTCGAGGGTGCTTTCAAAAGCATCAAAAGGTTTGAGCAAAGGGTGAGAGAAAAAAGAGTTACGCCCCGTTTAGTTCACGGAACGAATTTGAGGGGAAATCAATTCCCATGTCATTTCCCAAGGGATGGGAAATGAAAGATTCCTTTCCCACGTTTGGTAATGCTAGGAAAGTAACCGAGAGATATCACTTTATTTCCTTTCCCATGTTTGTTTTGAGTTGAAATGGAAAACAAAGTTTGTATAAATTTTCAATTATACCCATATTAAATCAAATAAAAAAAATAAAGCATTTAATAATATATTGTAATTCTAAATTGTTAATGGGCACAAAATGGTCATGAAAAATATTTATTTAATATTGGCTCATTTTCCCAAACTTTCACATGAGGAGGGAAAACAAAACCCAAGTTGGGAGAATGCTTTACTTTCCCCCTTACTGTCCCATGGGACATGCAACGATTTCCCATGCCTGGACTTACCAAACATAGGTAAACAATTGATTTCCCATTCCTAAGTCTCCTTTTCCATGAACCAAATGAGGCTTTAGGGTTCTTGTGAGAACTAAGGGGGTTTAAGTTGTGACCAAAATTGTTCTTACATACTAGTAAATTTCTTTGGTGGATCACCAAGAGGACGTAGGCATAAGGCCGAACCTCTATAAATCTTTGTGTTCTTGTGTGTTTGCTTTCTCTATTCGGTGTGTGTGTATATGTGTGTTTTATTGGCAAAAGGGTTTGTGTGTGTGATGTTGCATCAACGACAAAGTCTTGGAGTGTTTCCGCACAACAAGTGGTATCTAAGCCTAGTTCGGCAGCATGTATTGGTTTATGCCCAAGTGCTCTTACAATTTTAAGAGCGGCGGTGTGTTGATAATGACAAGCAATAAGAAGACACCACAACTGATGTCTAGTATGAAGGTTGAGTTGAAGTTGTTCACCGGCAAGGAGAACTTTATGCTTTGGCAATGGAGGATGAAGTATGTCCTTAAGCAGCAGGGTCTCTGCGTAGTCTTGGCAGGCAAAGAAAAGAAGCAGGACACTATGACGGATGTGGGGTGGGACAACCTAGACGAGCTTGCTAAAGGGTCCATCGAACAACATCTCACCAATGAAGTGTTGTGTAATGTGATAAAAGACATCGTGATGTAGACATAGGAGAAACTCGAAGAGATGTTTGAGTCAAAATCATTTTCCAACAAGGTCTTCTTGAAGGAAGAGTTTCACTCTTTGAAGATGGAGGAAGGCGTAAGTATGATGGAGCATGTAAGCACCTTTAATAGGTGTATTACGGATTTGCAAAGAATGGATGAGGTTTATAAGTTGGAAGATAAGGCCGTGATATTTTTGACATTTCTGCCTCTGTCTTATAAGCACTTTCGCATGCCGCTTATGTTCGGCAAGGGAACTCTAAAGTATGAAGACGTGATGCAAGACATCCTGACGCATCACAGGATAGTTCCACGTTTTGGTGATGGCTCTCAAGGTGAAGGCCTCGTGGCGAGGATCGGAGGGCGTGATCATTCAAGCAAGCGTAGGGGCAAGTCAAGCAATGGTGAAAATTATAGATCTGAGGACAATAAAGGGTGCTTGAAGTGTGGATTAAAGGACCATTGGAAGCGGAATTATCAAACATGATGTGGGAGAAGGAAGAGGAACCAAAGGCTGCAAAAGGAGCAGTGAGATAAGAAGAATAAGGCTAAGAAATGGGCAGTAACGTGCCAGCGACCGGTCACCGTTGGACAGGTGACTGGTCCCTTTATATTGAGAGCTCAGGTTGTCTCTTCAACTCCATGCAACTGATCGCCCAATCTCGATGATCGATCGCCATGTGAACAGTGCCGCACGTGATTTTGAAGTTTTGAGGTGTTTGACTTGGTTTTCCTATTATTTTATTTAATAGGGTTTTGGTTTACTATTCCTAGTTAACTTGTAGCAAAAGTCTTATGCATTATAAATAGGAATTTCAGGGCTAGGTTAATAAGAACAGAGAGACACAAGGGAATTCAAGAGGGAATTTAATGGTGTTTTCCAGAGCATCAAAGGGTTTGAGCAAATGGTGAGAGAAAAGAGAGCTAGGGTTCTTGTGAGAGCTAAGGGGGTTTAAGTTGTGTTGGATATCTAGTTGTATGGATATGGCTATGGTAGGATGAAAGATGCTTCAAGACACATATAAATACGCTATCTTTTAGACTTTATTTGACCCCACAACTTGTGTGCAGATGAGTTGAGTAAATAAGCCATGTGGATACAATAAAGCCTTAGCTTTTATAGCTATGTGGATACAAGGACGCTCAAGAATATCTAGGAGTTAATATTGCAGGATATAACTTCTAGATGGTTTGCTTTTAGAGAATTAGATGGAGAAGAGCATTGGTTGAATTGTATATCCCTTTGGCAGAGAACCCTTCTCTATTTATAGAGGAGTTTGTGTCTTTTATGAATTGGTGTTATTCAAATTCAGAAATCCATGTAACTCTTGGATTGCACCACTTTATGTACCACTTCAATGAGAACACATCTTTTCATGTTAGAGTGTGGCTTTATTTTTGAAATATGTATATGAAGTGTTTCTAAAGAGCAAGCAAACAGTACCTCACATGGTGTAGATGTAGAGATTACAATTATTGAGAGTGAAGTTGTACGTTAAACGTCCCCTCTCCACACTTCAATGCTTGATATCAAAAATTGACTCACCCATTGAGATTTAGTGCACGTCCCATGCATATTGAGAAACTTCACATCAAATTTTATCCCATTATATATCTCCATCCGTCTTTGAAAAAGACGTTATGAATTCATCACTTTTTTTTTCTTCTGCGTGTACACAATTGACTTCCTTTTTATCAATTATAAAAAGGGACTTGTTTTTCAGTATACATGTACATTTTAAACATAATTCAGTTTTTATTATTAGGGTCATGAGATGATATAATTTCACTTATACACATCCAACCTGATATGTATATACAGAGATTTGAGAAAATGGGTTATGGCCTACAAAAAGACGAAGTGGGTTAACTTATGGGTGGGATTCTAACCAGGTATTGTATAGAATATAGCTAGCATTTTTATTTATTTATTATTCTCTTATTGGCCAATATTATATGTAAAAGCAGTACTGACCCTTCTGATTTTCTTTTTCATCACATTTACAACATTTTTTTTTCTTTTACAGGATCATATTTTGTTATCACTTTTGTTGATATTTTCGTATTTTCAAATTCAAGATGATGCTTGGAACTGCACTCCTTTGTATACGTCAGGAGTCCATTGATGAGAAGGGACTGGGGAAAGCTTGAACCCAATTCCTACAGTGATGAATATAAGTGCAATTGAAATTCTTGGGGAGTTATACATTTGTGTATTGATAAGACCTTTCACTATTTCTTGAAGCTTGAGTCACCATAAGCTCAAGTCATAATTTGGGATTTTTCCCAATATCTATAATTTATTTATTTATTTTTCTGGTAAGCAGTTTGCCCAATTTTTTGAGTAAGCATTGTGGAATTCTGAGAGTGAAGAGTTAAGATGATGTGCTGACGAAAGAGAGAACCATGGCACACTTTGCTCCACAAGTTTTCTGTGAGATAGTTAAAGAGCCCTTGCTGTTACTAAATGCAAAGTTGCTCAATTGGGAGACTTGCATTTTCAGGCATGGCTCAATAATTAAATAACCATGGCCCATTATCGAATTAACTTCAATAGGAGAAAGATTTCCATGAGACGGGAATAGCACTACATACGTGATAACACTTTTACGTGGCTTAACATTATTGTCCGGAAATAGCAACCAATGCTATCCTCCCATTGCAACTAAGTTTTACTCCGTTAATACAAAGCTGCCCTTTTAATTACTTTGCTCATTGATTCATCAAATGTGACTGGTCACAGACACAGAGGGATAGTGTTAATTTTCTTACCCCACTACCCAACAACTTAGCAAGTACAAAAGGACCAATTTGCTTGTTAAAATATCATTTAGGATGCAGCTCAATTTTGTTTCTGATATACCATAAAAAACACATGCACTTTTTATATCTTTGAATCTCATTGCACTAAATCATACATGATTTTGATGGATTAAATTAAATAGAGACACATTTCTTAGATAGAATACAAATTTGCCAGAAACTGTGATTTTGAAGACTGCTAGAATTCATCCTGATAAGGAACTGTGACAATCACTTTCACTTCATCAGGGCAACCCTTTTGATCAGCTGATGGCATTGCCATGACGAGTCCACCGGAAACGAATCCGATCCAATACGAAACAAGAGCAGGCTTTTTCCCTTTGCGAAATTCGACGTCATTTGTGCCAAAATCATCCCAGATTGCTGCTGCAATTTGACTCTGAAGGCCTGATTTCGGCTTAATAAGTCCATCTTTTGGAAAGTTCTCAACCTTGATTGAATTGCAGGACTTGGTCTTCAAAAACAAGGACCACTTGGAAGCCATTTTGGTACCAAACTTGCGCTCTGCTTCTTCAACACAAAATTGCAATGCATAATCATTCTCCGAATTCACATGCTCCCCCGGGATAGTGAAAATCATAGTTTGGCTAGACTTTTCGCTAGTATTAGAGCTAAATATGCTAGTGGGGGAGCTATCAGTACATTTTTTAGTGTTAGGGAAATAATACATTGGTGCTGCAGGCAGATCATCTTTTGAAAGCATATTGTTGTGGATGTCAGCCCATTTCTTGATGAAGTTTTCCTTCAACAAAATGTCTGCCAGAAGAAGGCTGCAGCTAATTCCTATTGAGCATCCTCCACACTGGAAATTGGTCACCTAAGAAACACAACAGTATTATAAATAAATAAATAAGAGCTTGATCCATAAATTCAACACCAAGCTCCTACGTATGATTTCTTAATTAATTAATTACCTGAACATAAACAAGTGGGGAGTACTGAGGATTTTGTTCATCAATATCTTTCCAAAACACAAGCTCAGCTTCTGCATCCTTTCTGCCTCTGCTGCCCCTGAAATCAAGAAACTCAGACAAGGAAGTTGGGATCCTTGTCTCAAGAAGTCTAATGCCACTGTCATTTGACACAATCTCCATCAATTCATCTCCTTCTCGAAACCGACCAGCTAATATTGGTTGCTCCAACAAGGCCCTTGCCAGTGACTCCTTGAGCCATCCAACATGAAACCAACGAGCATCATCTTGGCTTGCCTTTGCGTGGTAAAGAAGGATGTGCAGGCAATGCCTGAATATTCCCGAACCGATAGGGTCTGCCGTCAACACTTGGCGTGCTTGTCGTGGCTCCGTTATTCTCAACGGTGTCACAGTCTGCACAGATTCCATGTTTATTTCTGGGATAAGCTCGCCTTTGGACATTGCCATCTTGCACAAAAGGGAATGGAGTTACTACTCTCATATATATATATAAATTACAAAATATGCTTATTGCTTTTTATCATAAATATTCTCTTTTTCGTCAAACAGTCTGTCACCATGTGATGCTAAATTCTAAATATAAACCATTTTAGGGCAAAGACACCCTTTATAAGTCTTCAAATAAGTCTTGGTATACTCTAGTATTGGAATGAGACAACCTCCACTCCCTCTAACTTTTCGAAACAGTGAATATAAACCATTCTAAATCACGAAAAATAATAAATACGTATGATTGCGGTAGCGTAATTAATAATGCGTTAGATATTTAGGGAAACAAAGTTCCTTGTTTCACAATTAATGGAAAGAATTATGGTTACGCTAATAATTAATAATGACTTTTTATGCAGCTGAGTTAGACGCGCAGGTGGTGGGTATGCTCCACCGTCGTCATCACATAAATATATGGTTAGTTGATACCATTTTTCGTTTTCTAATAAATACACCGTTCATATAACGCGATCAATCAAAACAAATATTAATTGAGCCTAAAAATCCGATTATAGTAGGGCAAACTACCCTCTCCAAGCTGGTCTTGCCCCTCTCGTTTTGGCTGTGTCATTCAAGGCAAAATGACAAAGGCCTAGGACCCTACAAGTTAATGACAAATGTGATATGGGCATAGTGTTACGTATCCCTAGCACATGTTGGGTTTAGCATTTATATTTGTGTTAATGGTTGTACACGTATTATACATATACATATTTCTTCGTACAATTGACAGTTGGTAGGTGAAAACATTTGTGTTTGTTGATTTTGGTTTGAAGATGCTGTTGGGATTCAACATCTTTATGAGAAATAAATCTTTGTACGAGTAAATTTTTTTTTTACAAGATGATGATTACAGATCATCAAATATAGGCACAATAATGTGTATATATGTATCTATACATATTTCATGGTCTAGCAGAACATAGGCCCAAAACATACTTGTGATGGGGTATTTAAAGACAATAAAGTTGTAAGGCTTATTTGTTGACATGTCCCTTGTGGTTTCCAAATAGTCTCAGTTTGCTCCCTGACGTTTCAAATGACTCAATTTCCCCCCTGAACTTCTATTACGTGACCAAGGTTGCCCCATTCCGTTAGTTTTCAGATCAAACCGTTAAATAAGCTGAATTGGCACGGGTATTTTGATAAATTTAACTATTCAAAATTCAAAATAAATATAAAAAATGCTTGGAATTATTTAAAATAGAGTTAAGATAAAAATATCTCCTTTTTTTTTCTCCCCCAATCGTTAGCCCCCACCACTTTCTCCCTAATCTCAACCAACCCCAGCAACCACCTTTCCCATCCCCATTCCTTTGTCAAAATAAAGGTACCCAAAAAACTTAGCAACCTCTCTCTCTCTCTCTCTCTCTCTCTGCCAAAAAAATCCGCTTTCCACTCTCTTCGACATCATCAAACCCTAACTAACAATTCACCCTATGTCTCTCTCCTCTAAATTCTCTCTCTTTCTTTGGCAGCCACCAAAGGAGATCTGGATTGCCACATATGCAAAATCTAAAGTCAATTTAGTGGTTTTGTTTGTGAGTTTTGAGCCTTTTGACAATTGGAGAGAGAGAGAGAGAGAGAGAGAGAGAGAGAGAGAGAGGAGAGAGAGAGAGAGAGAGAGAGAGAGAGAGAGAGAGAGAGAGAGAGAGAAGGGAGAAGGTGGGGTGGGTTTTTTCTAGGTGTGGGTTGGTTTGGCAGTGGGGCTGGTTGAGATGAGGGAGAATGTGGTGGGAGTTGACGATTAGGGATAAAAAAGGACATTTTATCTTTATTTATTTGTACCTATTTTAAATAATTTCAAGCATTTTTATATATATTTAATTTGAATCTTTTAATTTTTTAATAGTTAAATTTACCAAAATACCTATGCCACTTCAACTGATTTAACGGTTTTTATATGAAAACTAATAGAATGGGGTAACCTTGGTCACATAATGGAAGTTCAAGGGGGAGATTGAGTCATTTGAAATATTAGAGAGCAAACTGAGACTATTTGGAAACCATATGGGGCATTTCAATAAATAAACCAAGTTGTAACGCTTCAAGTACTTGTATAAATAAACACAATGATTTCCGACCCTCTCCCTAAACTGTCAGTGGGAATCTTCAAGAATCATAATGTGCCATCGTTTATAAGGTGTCCATGAGGAGATAAAACTGTCATGTTTTAACAAATCATAAAGGCTTTCTATATTGAATCATAAAGCAGCTATAAAAAAGGAATAAGGTTGCCTAGTTTTTTTATTAGGTATAAGCCTAAGGGCTTATAATAATGGAATATTATGATGGTAACCTGGGGTGGACGCACAGAGGGACAAATGGGGTTAGGCGACCCCATGGTAGTTGGAAAAATAGGGGTGAAGTTCTCTCATGCTACCCCATGCTTGCTGGAGTGCGACCCTAAGGCGCACACACCATCTATTTGACGAAATGAGTAAGAGGGACCTTGTGCAGCGCATGCGAGGCTATCTTTTTTATTTTTTATTTTTTATAAATGCCTGGCCAAAACGACGTTGTTTTGGTTTAGGCGTGTTTATTATTATTTTTTTAAAATTACATGGCTTCAAAACGGCGTCATTTTGAGCCATAAAAGAAAGAAAAAGGAAGAACCAGATCCTTACTCGACTCCAGCAGCCTCCAAATCCCCAAAACCCAATTTCTTTCACATTTTCCCTGTAACATCCCACATCGACCAACAGAGAGGGGGTGATGTGCCTTATATGTATATGCCCGCCTCCATCTAGTACAAGGCCTTTTGAGAGCTCACTGGCTTCGGAGTCATGGGAACTCCGATGTTAAGCGAGTTGGGGCTAGAGCAATCCCAGGATGGGTGACCTATTGGGAAGTTGCTTGTGAGTTCCCAGAAACAAAACCGTGATGGTAGAGAGGGGGGCCCGAAGCAGGGATGTGACATTCCTTATCCTATCTCAAACCATAATCCTTAACCTCCAGACCAGCGCCGACCACCCCCTTGCCGCCGGCGCTATCTCCTCTCATAAATTCAAGTGAGTAGGACTCCTACATAATCATTTTAAGTGTTAAATTTTTTCTTAAAAAAATTTGGAGACTTTTACACTATGACCCTATGAACCATTATGACCCTATGACCATATGAGATCACAATCTTGCATCCGCCATTGATGGTAACCAGGTGTCTTTGGTGATGTTGTGCCAAACTAGTCCCCCTAAATTATAATACGTGTACAATCAGTTATGTTTATATATCATATTTAGACCTAAAAAGTGAACCCTATAAGGAAAGAAAGGACCGATATATGCATGTAAGAACCATCTTAACATAACTTCAATACATAACAATGTTAACGTTCCAGGAAACACAAAAATAAATTTTCAGATCTTGAGGCTCTCTATGTAGGATTTTTCATCTTTGAAGGAGAGAAACTTCATATATTCATCCAAGCTACTTGCCCTATATCTTTTTGGATGGTCTTCATCAACAAGCTCTGTGGCAGGCTCCGCCATATCTTTCATGGCTAGGCTAAGAAAGCTGCCTACAGAAACCCTACTCATTAGAGGGCTTGGGGTCACCGTGTGGAAAACACTCTTGTACAATCAATTGCTGAGAACTTCAAGATGATTCCCTATCAGGACCTTAAGGGCACCATTGGTTGTTGGGACAGACTTCTAAGTGAAGGAAGTTGAGGTTCCACCCCAAAACCAATTGGCAATGGGGGGAGTAGCCCAACTCCTTATAAGCCCTTGCTAGGTTTCTCAACTTTCCAATGTGGGACTCTTTACCTTCACATTCTCACACGCCCCGGCATGTGTGGCGAATTTTCAAGCCTAACACGTGGACAACACATTTTGGGTGACGTGGAGCACGTGTGGCCGTTGGGCTTTCACACGTGGGTAACCCACTCTGATACCATGAATGAAGTTGAGGTTCCACCCCAAAATCAATTGGCAATGGGGGGAGTAGCCTAACTCCTTATAAGCCCGTGCTAGGTTTCTCAACTTTTCAATGTGGGACTCTTTACCTTCACATTATCACACCAAGCATTGTCATTTGTGAAATCCATGATCTCAAGGCCTGACATGTTTTCAAGAAGAATGGTGATGAAACTGTGGTCTGTATGTGATGAAAGTCCGAACATATTGCTTGATGGGGAAGATTGTGGGTATTTGTTGGCTATTATTATATGCACTCCTTGCTCAAGCTTGTTCCTCAAATAAGTTGGACTCAGACCTAAGCTCTCCACAATGGCTCCCATTATTTCATTGCTTAATCTCCTCACCTCTGCTGCATAATTTCCCAAGTTTTCTCTAACAAAAACATCAAATTAATTTCCTAATTATTTGGAAATTCCTTAGTTACTTTAATTTCCTAATTATTGTGGTGATTTCCTTTAGAATTTTTGTATGCAATTAATTATCCCTTTTTTATTTATTAAAATTCATTAATAGATATAGTCAACAATGAGTTAGCCGGAAAGGTTGTTCAGTTTTTCCTTATTTTTGCACCTACCTTTTGATTTTGTTGTTTTTTTTTTTTTTTTTTGTTTGGGTAAATACCACGAGGTGCCCCCAACCTGAAGGGTAAGATTAATCCCCACTTGAGGTTCGGCTTGCCCTAGTCATAAAGTGATTCTAACGGATTTCGAACCATTGCCATTGAGGTGCCAGGTATCTTGCCAGTTGGATGTGGCAGTTTGCTAACCATACCACATTTTTTCCTTTCTACACATGCTCTCGTTTTTTGGTTCAATATAAGTGCCTCATGGTTGATTATAAATAATTAAAAAAAAAGTGCCGCAGGGGATTTTATTTTAAAAAAAAAAAAAAAAAAATTTTGGATTTTATTTATTAAAGTTTTATTGTACCTAGTTTTTCAGGGATAATAATCTACCTATTATTTTTTAAAATAATAATGTACCTATTTCATGACAGTAATTTACCTATTATTTAAAAAGATTTACCTATTATTTTAATAATCTACCTATTGTCTTTTATATATGGACAGTAATTTACCTATTATCTTTTATGAGTAATAATTTATCTATTATTTTCTCCTATGAGTCATATGATGTAATATATGTAGGCATGAAAATGTTAACGTACATAATATCATCTAATTAACTTACCTTTTTTAATTTTTTAATTTTTTTTAATTTTTTAATTTATATCCATATGAAATCAAAGTTTGTTTAGCCGCCCTCTCCCTCTGTGAGTCCTAAAGGAAAATTCCACAGAGGGGGGAGGAGGAAGAAGGGTCACTGCCCTCCTCCCCCTCTTATCTTCTCGTCTTTTTCATTTAGGTTAGTGAATAAGTCCACTTGGGCGGTTTGAATAAAAAAAGCCTCTTGTGGTGGTTTCTTCTAAGCCATGGTTAGATTGAAGTTTCCCATCACTCCTTTTGGTCTATGTTCTCAATCAACTCCTACTCCCAAAACCCGCTCCCTAATGCCGCTCATGTTTTTTAAATTTGATTTTACATCGTCTTTGACGGAGGTTACTGCAAATCACCTAATTGTTCTTTGGCAAAGTTATTGTTTTGGTTTATTATTTGTTCTCTCTTATGCCTAGGTAGATCGCTGGAAATCATATTTTCCCCAGATCTGTTACGGATGCGGCGGTGGGAGTGGCCACGACTACGCTTCTTCAGGTGGTGGTGGTAGGGTTTGTTTAGATTCATGGGTTGATTTAGGGTTTTGGTTATGTTGGGTTTCTGGGCTTTGTTTGAGTTTATGGCTAATTGTGGTGATGTGAGCTATTAGTTTTAGTGCGGCTTTTGTCCGCGTTAGTTTTGCTTTTAGCAAGTTAGTTTGTTGCCCTATTGGGATTAGTATTTTAGATGTCTTATTGATGTCTTTGATTGTAACGTTGAAGTTTATCTAATGAAGTTTCTATTTGATTTTTTTTTATAAAAACATACTTTTTTTTCTTTCTATGGCATTGTACCTATTAGAATATATATTATATAGACATATATAATTGAAGGATATTAAGTAATATATATAATTGGCTCTTTTTCTTTTTCTAATTGTTTTATTTATTTATAATTTTTTTTAGCTTCCACTGCTGTTTTAGGATTTGATCTAATTTACCAACTAATTTTCATTATAGTCCTTCAACTCTTCATTTGGTATCAAAACAGTCCAATTGTCAAAGTCTGTCAATTGTTCCGTGAAATCAAGGGGTAAAATCGTCATTATGGATTAACATATTAATAAAATAATATAAAATAATTGAAAAATATGGTATAAATAAAAATCATTTATCCGACTTGTAGGAGGTTAAGAGGGAGTATTTGAACTAATTTGATTGTAAGCCATTATTACATGAGTGCAAACATAAATGTGCAGTGAGAGGTATTATTCATTTGCACAAACGTAGGGGATGAAAAATGATCAGCTACCAAATGAAGATCTAGTGGCATGATTTGTAAATAAATCAACTTACATGGACACATTGTCATCCAGTTTTAAAATTAGATTTTACTTAAACGTTTTATTATTGGTGGGTTATGGTCTATGTTATTTGAGTTACAAAGGCCTATTTTAGCATATGAAGGAACCAGTTGCAAACAAATTGGGATTGCGAGGACATAAGTTGAAAATGAGAGTCCAAATTAAATGTGCCCCATGATCAAAATCAACTTCTTGTGACACATATAAGAACTTTCAAGAATAAAGAGTTTCAAATACCTGAAATCTGTGGGATTATGAGCCCATGAACTAATCCAATCTTCAGCAGGGTAGGCGTAAAGCTTGATCATGTCCCTCGAATTAGTCACAAATCTCACTGGCTTTCTTACATCATCAGACAAGAATATATTCTTCTGATCCATTGGCAAATTGAAGAATTTTGACAATGAGCCAAGAGCATTTTCAGTGACTTCTTTGCTTATCCCGTGATTGATAACCAACAAGTACAAGGATACATACATGAGTTACAACAATAATAAAATTTATTTATTAATATAAATAAAAAGCAACCTGAAATTAACATGTAATTCTATCATGTTTGGTACCTGAAAAAAAACCCATTTTTTGGCAAGCATCGTGAATACTTTTGACCACAAGAGGCTTCGTATGAGAGTCATGGTGCAGCTGAGTAACGTCAATGCTTGTGAAGAATGTAAAATTGGCACCAAAGAATTCATCTCTTCTTCCTCCTGCAAGTAGAAGCTAGCAGAGAGAGAGAGAGAGAGAGATGAGAGAGAGAGACGAGAGAGAGAGAGAGAAGCAATTCACATGACATACAGGTTTGGTTTTAGGACATTATTTACTCTACTAAAGCCATGCATACCTACGTTGTAGTATGAGTTTTCCAAATGTCAATAGAGCATCAAAGAAATATCGGCAACATACCAAGTGCTAGTACTAGCACACGTATCAAAAACTCTTCTTAGAAATAAAATTACTCTCTAACGCTAAACTCTACTACTTATAGCATAAATGCTCAAGCGCTAACTAATTAGTGAGTCAATATGACGCTAGTTACTTGTTTGAACCCATATGATATGATTTTATAATATGAACTGTTTATTAGACATCATTTGGCAATTATATCTCCGTTCAAATTTAGTAAAAAATGAAACAGCTTGGATCATGAAATTATATTATGGAGTAGGACCCCATCGAATGATTAGTGTGCCATATTACGTAACTAATAGCTCTTAAGCGTTGGTGTTATGGTTCCCAAAGAATTAAGCTCTAGTATATACCTTTACATCAAGTCTGCTGCTTTACTATAACATATCAAAGGGCAAGGAAAACATAAATTTTTATTCAAATCTTAAGGCACTCTAGGTAGGGTTTCTGTTCTTTAGAGGAGTGATGTTTGAAAAATTCATGTAAGCTAGTTGCCCTGTATCTTTTGGGTTGCTCTTCATCAACCAGCTCCATTGCAGGCCCCACTAGTATCTCTCCCATGGTTAGGCTTAGAAAGCTGGCTATCGAGGCCCTACTCGTTTGAGGACTTGGAGTCACTCTGTGGAAAATACCCTTGTGCAATCTATTCTGAGCACTTAAATATGATTTCCTACTAAGACCTTAAGGGTACCCTTTGTTGCTGGGACAATCTTCCAAACATTATTGTCTGTGAAGTCCATGACCTCATGGCCTGAAATACTTTCAAGAAGGATGGTGATGACACTGTGGCTGGTATGTAGCCTGAGAATGTTGCTTGTTGGGGAGCATTGCGGGTAGCTATAGGCTATAGCTACAAGTATGTGGGATCCCTTAAATAAGGAATCCCACAATAGAAGGGGACTCTATATATATATATATATATTCCTGCAAAAAATCAGAAAAATTGAAAATTATTAAGGCGTCTAATTGCAAACAACAAAATAGACGAATATTGTGCTTTAAGAAAAGACTAAAATAACAATCAGCTAATTGAATGGTCAAATAATTTCGGATTCAAGTTGCATACTTTTACTCATTGGATTTCAGAAAAAAAAACTCACCAAATGACTTCTCCCAATATATTATGATGTTGCCCAAGTTTTGGGCTCGACCTGAAATCAATTGGTCAAAGAAGTTGGTCACTTAAAGTTCATACTGTAAAGGAAATGGTTGGAACATTGCATAGTTTTCATTTCTAACCTCTAAGTGTTCTTCTACATTTCATGGCATTTATATAGTTTATTGCTTTGTATGGAAACAGCATAATCTCAAATCCATTCATATAGTTAAATTACTATACTTTTATACCAGCTTGTGTACCATCTTTCTAGTAGAGGTGGAGCCCACCAATACAATGGGTCCCACGCTCTATTAGAGAGATGATACACAAGTTGATATCTAAAGTTGGTCTCCTTAATGTCATTGACGTTTGCCAGCTTTTGTCTTGTTAGAGAAAAAAAGCTCCCAACCCTAGCCCCCCTATCTTCTAGTGCCGCCAGGGGAGAAGTGGTCACCGACCCTTCTTCCCCTCCCCTTCTTGCCTCCTTGCTCCTCCTATCCTCCCTTCCCCCCTCTCTCCCTCTTTTTTTTTCTTTTTTTTTTTTTTTTTTTTTTTTTTTTTTTTTTTAGCTTTTTCTCCATCTTCTCCCCCTTTCCTTTTTCTCTGGTTTCCTCTCCCCCTCTCTCCTTCATCCCCTTCCTTCGTCCCTTCTCTGTTCTCTTTTCCAGACCTCTACCTTCACTTTTTTCTGTTGTTTTTTTTATTTTGCTTTTGCTTTCTGTTCTTTTACTCCCATCTCCTTTTTAATTTCTTTTCTGATTTTCTCCTTTACCCCCCCCTTTTTTTTCCCTACCTTCTCCTCCCTCTTCCATTCCCCCTCCCCCCCCTAAAATTTATCCTCCACGGGTTGCTGCTCTGTTTTTGCAGAGCGAGTTCCTTTTCGTTCTTCTTTTTTTGTTTCCTTTTTCCTTTTATTTAAGTTTAATTTGTTTCGTCTTTTAGGCTGTGAAGGCTTCGGTTTTATTTTTCTGGTGTTCTTTACAGGTTCTGCAATGCATTTTCTCTCCTCAGTGTTGGAGGCTGCGTCACATTGGTTGGTCTTAACCACTATCATCGGCTCCTTGACTCCACGGATGTTTCTTCCGTTGTCTATCCTCGGTGGCACTGTTGGAGTTTGGGCTGCCCTTAAAGTGCAAATCACACTTATTGCTTGGATTATGGTAGTGCTACTCCTACTTGGTGTAGCTTTGGTGGCTTGCCCACCACCATTTTCTGTTGGTTACTGGTTTCTCCTTGGTGGTTGTTGGCTTGCTATGGTGGCGTGGCTTGTGACTGTAGGATTGTGCGGCATATGTCTGTTAATGGTGTTAGGGTCTCCTAATGTTGTGTTGTGCTTTGTGGGCTTTTGCTTTTTGTGGGTTTTCTGCCGTTATGTGGGCCCTTCGCCTTTATGTGGGCTTAATGTCTTTATGTATGCTTTATGCATTTTGTTAGTTTTATTTGTAGTGGGCTATGTCTGTTTGCATTGCGTTTTGTGTGAACTCAATTATTTGAGTTAATTTTTGATGTAATATAGCGTTTTTTTGATGAACAAAAAAAAAAATTTTGTGCATTTGTTCCTCAAAAAAAAAAAAAAAAAAAAAAAAAAAAAAAAAAAAGGTCTCCTTAGCATTTTCCTGTAATTTTGTAATTTTATATATCTTTAATTTTTTCTTTTTCTTCTTCTTCCCCCCGGGTTGAATTTTAAATTTTTTCAGTTTTCTTTTTAATTTTTAATTTTTGTTAATTCTTAATGAGTGAAATGGGTCCTGTCTTGTTATTCGTTATTATAATGAGTCATGTTCTTATTCGGTATTTTCCACTCATTAACTTAACAGCTCGTGTTGTGTCAACTTGTTAAGAAAAGCAGGTTGACACAAACACAGCAAACACAACTTGTTTGCCAAGTTAGTATATATAAAATTCAAAGAGTCAATGAATCTTCTGGGGTTACGATTAATTATTTTTCGTTTCTAACCTCTAAGTACCACCGGCCGTTCTTCTACCTTTCATAGCATCTATATAGCTTATTGCTTTGTATGGAAACAGCATAATCTCAAATCCATTCACAACGAAGAGTTAAATACTCTTCCTAGTTCCTCTATCCATCTTTATTAGGCTGATCAAAACTACAGAGAAAATGGCAGCTTAAAGGGCCTAACATGTCAAAACATTAGGCCCAAACTATTGCCCAGACGGAAATCAAATAATGGACCCAACATCTATTAGGCCCAAACAACAAACTTCCAAAATGACAACATTGGCATTAGATAGAGGGAGTTTCACTAAAACACCCAAAATGGAGGTTGAAATTATAAAAAAACCCAACACCCAAAACACTTTATAAACACACCCAAAACCCATCATTACACACACACTCAAAACCCATTTATAAACACACCCAAAAAGTTGACTTTGTGGTTGATTTTGGGTGTGTTTCTATGTTTAAATAGTGCTTGGGTTTTTTTATAAATACATGTCTAAGATTGGGTTTATTTATAAATTTGTAATAGATTAATTGCTTGTTTATAGTAGATGCCGGTTAGGCGAGTTAGTCAGGGCGGTTTGTCTGCAAAGTTGCATTTGAAGTTTGAGTCACCTTCTTTGCAAATTAAATTAATTTAGAGTAATTTTAGACTATTGTTTGTATTTAAAAAAGTACTTGATTATATCTAACACTTTCATATTCACTATCAATAAATAAAGTTTAGCACAATACAGAAAACAAATAAAACAATGCCACATTAGTTGGTATCTAATGGTTTACAAATTTCTTTTTTCGTTCCTAAATCATGCATTTCATAGCATTATTATTGATCACAGAGACTATTCGAGTTTCATTAATTCCAATTGGAGGAACACCAATAGAAGCCATATGCCGCTTTTATTTTTTGTACAACAAAGTAGTAGAAGATGACGATACATTTGTTAGAGTTTGAGTGGGAAAAGAGTTTCCTACACTCTTTATAAGAGTAGGAATATTTCACTATAATAAACACAATTGAGTTTTTCTGAAGTGGGCTTTGAAATTGTTGGCCTTATTTAAATTAATTATATAATTTTATATATTTAAGTTTTTAATTTCAGATAACTTCAGTTAGTTTGAATTTCAAAATTCAGACATATCTGTTTGAACAGATATGTCCAAGGGGTGTCTTAGGCTTATTTAAATAGCCAAACGTACAAAGAAGAAAACTAACTTTGAAACCCAATACATCTCACACAACACTGAAAAACCATTGAAAGTATCCATATTGTAGTTCGCCAGATACCAAAATTCAAGTGCTAGAATTTTGGTTTTGATAGTTGTATCCTGGTGGACAGTCGTCTGCAGAACCACAAGCACAAGAGTGAGGGCGAAATACTATCTGAGGGCATAGCAAATCTGCTAGCCTCTATTATCTCTGCAAGTTAGTATTTCTGATTTAATACAAACTGTTGTATTTGTAATTTTTCTGTTGTTATATATTGATTCATTCAAAAGCCTTATATACATATATATATATTTTCTGTTATATTATACAACTTACTGATTGTTTTCCAACAACATTTTGAAACAACTTGTTAGAGGAAGAACTCTACAACATAGATAACATGATGGAAGCACATAGCCATCGAACTTTATGAAGGAATCTACATAACATAATGCTAATGTTATAGTTCAGAAACATAAATACGTTATTCAGATCTTCAGGCTCTCAATGTAGGACTTATCTGCTTTGGAGGAGAGAAACTTGATATACTCTTCTAAGCTACTTGCCTTGTATCTTTTTGGGTGCTCTTCATCGACAAGCTCCATGGCAGGCTCCACCATCTGTGCCATGGGAAAGCTAAGACAGCTGCCTATGGAGACCCTACTCTTTTGAGCGTTTGAAGTCACCCTGTGGAACACACTCTTGTACAATCCATTGCTGAGGACCTCAAGATGGTTCCCTATTAGGACCTTAAGGGTACCGCCTGCTGCCGGGACAGACTTCCAAGCATTGTTGTCATTGGAATCCATGATCTCAAGGCCTGACATACTTTCAAGAAGGATGGTGATGATGGTGTGGTCTGTATGTGATGCTAGTCCAAGTATGTTGCTTGATGGGGAGCATTGTGGGTATTTATTACCTACTATCATGTGCATGCCTTTCTCAAGACTGCTCCTCGAGTAGGTTGGAGGCAAGCCTAAGCTCTCCACTATGGCCTCCATTATTTCAAGGCTTAATCTCCTTACCTCAATTGCGTACTTTCCCAAGTTTTCTCTAGACAAAAACATCATATTAAAATTGTGAGATCGCATTAAAAAAAAAAAAAAGTATATAGTGGAACAATTATTAAAACCGAATTCATAAAATATGTATACTGAAAAAAGAATCAAACAGTAGCTATTTTCTTTTTCATTTTTAAAATCAAGTCTTTTCAAGCAAGTCCTCTGAATTAAGGACAAATCAGAGTTTCTATCGCTATATGGGGGGAATGTGCAGAATGATGCTGGCTTGCAAGGCAGTTTAGAGCTTAATAAGTCCCTCTCCCGAGGTTAAATACAATTACAATATTGGGGATTGAAGAATTATGAGTATAATGATAGGGGGCACAAACTACAACTGATCCAGCTAAGAAGGATTTTGTCTTTGTCTTTTTCTTTTGGAGAAATAATATTAAGGGAGCGGGGTTCGAAAATAAGACCTTGAGATCTCTAATTTATCTTTAATTGCCTTAAATTAGCCCTCGATGCACATAGATCTCAACACACTAGAAAGGGTTAAAGCCGGTGCATGCCAAGGGAGGGGTTATTCATATACAATTTACAAAGTAAAGAAAAAATAGAAAAAAGTGATAGAAGTAGGGATTACGTGAAATCTGTGGGATTATGAGGCCATGAGCCAATCCAGTCTTCAATAGGGTAAGCATAAAGCTTGATGAGCTCTCTCGAAACCCTACTCACGTTGTCTACCCGAAACTTCTCTAATCTTACTGGCTTCTTTACATCATTTGACAAGAATATTGTCTTTTGATCCATTGGCAAATCGAAGAATTTGGACAATGAGCCAAGAGCATTTTCAGTGACTTCTGTGCTTATTCCATGATTGATAACCTACAAGTACAAGGATATACACAACAAATATATTGTACATGATCGTAACGACAATAAAACAGTTTTATTTTTATTTTTTTGACTAATTAACAACAAAGTTATTGCGTACCAAACCCAAAAATCACCTGAAAAAATCCCATTTTTTGGCAAGCATCGTGAATACTTTTGAGCACAAGAGGCTTCGTATGAGAGTCATGGTGCAGTTGAGAAACGTCGATGGTGGTTACTTGTGAAGGATGTAAAGTTGATACCAAAGAATTCATCTCTTCCTCTGTAAGTAGAAGCTAGTTGAGAAGAGAAAGAGAAGAGAAAGAGAAGAGAAGAGGGAGAGAGGTACTATCAAGATAAGAGGAAAGGCAGTTCACGTGACAGTTTTTAGGACAACATGTACTCTACTAAAAGCCTTGCATACCATACCTATATGTCATTGTACAACACTAGAGCGAAGTGATTGATTAGTATTGATAGGTAACAACCTATCTGTAGACATGGAAATTTTGGTGAATTAAATTCCACTAAGTAAGAAAATAATTAGGGTTTGATTGATTAAATTGTGGGCTCCATAATTTACCCATGTGGAGTATGACTCATCAAAATTGGATTAGTTGTCAAAGGTGACACATGTCGACATCCGACGGAGTGCATCAAACAGTTTAAAGTGAAGACAAAATTAAAAGAAGGAATCTTCTGTGATTGACTTTGATTTAAATCAAATATTAATCAAGTCAATCAATCGAAGATAATTTGGTTAAATTGCCAAATTATTGGAATTGATTTTCTTAAATCAAATCAGAATTCCACAAAGGAAGGTTTTAAAGAGGGAAAGTTATTTAGGTCAAGCATCCTGCAGGAGCCTATAAATAGGAGGCATCAAGATGAAAGAAAAAAAGGAGAAGGGCTTAGACAAAAAAAGGCATTCAGAAGAAACAGAAAACCTTCTGCATTCTTGACCCCACTTTGGAAGAGCCACCAAGCACAACAAATACGTGTCGGTTCCTCCCCCATAGAAAAATCCCAAACACCAAACAAGCTTCGTGCTACCCGTTTGATCAAGATCAAGTCTGTACGACCCTTGTATCAAACACAATTTTTCTTTAAACACTTTGGAAATCGAATCAGAGGATTCAATACAGAGATTGTAATCCTAAATTTCATCATTACAAATATTATTTTGTATACGTGTTCTTGTCTCATTTGTCGCAGGAAATTCGTGTTTATCATCTACATTGTCCATATGCGATCACAGAATTGTTAAGACCTAAATTTTTTTCATACCTATTATCAAATATGAATAATGAACGATTTTGTGTGTATGGCCAAAGTTAGAAATGGTGATAGGGGAAACTCACACACACGCGTACCGTAGAGATTTGAATTCAGGACCACTTTGGTGGAGAATTGTCCTTATTTCGACATGTATCATTTTTGCATTAAGTCATAGGCTGTAAAGTGGTGCCGTGTACATTTGGTGGGTTTCCTATTCTTTCATTTTCCTGGAATAAGGATATTCCCCTTTTCAGTTGTCTCAGCAATTATAGATCAGAATGAATGACATTGAGAAAAGCGCATTTGAATGTCTAATTTGTTTTTAATTTTCATATCATTTGGAGTGCTACAACTACAAGGAAGTCTGATGTATATGTAACACATTTGTCATCGTTTGAATTTCGAAGCACCAGAGAGAAAGCAATTTCGTATGGTGGTTTTTGTAAACTTCATGATCCGAACAGTTTATTGATCATCATTCAACCGTTTTTTTGCCAAAATTTAGCCTACACGGAAATCATTTAGTCATTTGATTTTCTTATTGCAATTATTTTCATATTGTTCATGAAAAATATTGTATTTGTATATTTCTTCGATCACAGTTATAAAACTTAACCTTTTTTTTTTTTGGTTGAATTTTTTTATTTGTATGTGAGGGTAGCCCGAGTCTGCTGTTTTGCTTGTTAGCTAGCTACTATCGGGAGCATTGAGGGTAGGTGTTACCTGCTAAACGTGCATTAGCTCAAGACTGTTTCTCAAGTAGGATGGAAGCCTATGCTCAGTGCCTAGCCTCCTTACCTCCTATGCATACTTCCCTACATTATCTCTAGCAAAAAACAACAAATTTCCAAATTGATATTCGGAATTAAAATTTATATATGACGACGATGTTCTTATTATCACGCACAATAATTTCTCCAAGTTCGAATTCGCCGATGCAGAACATGAAAAGAAAGGTTCATGCAAAAACATCTCACTAACATTAATACATTACATTACATGCTCTCTATGTTTATTCAGATCTTCCGGCTCTCTATGTAGGACTTTTCTGCTTTGGTGGAGATATATACTCATCTAAGCTACTTGCTCTGTATGCTTTGGGGTGCTCTTCATCAACAAGCTCCATGACAGGCTCCACCATCTCTTCCATGGGAAGGCTAAGAAAGCTGCCTTAGAAACCCTACTAATTTGATCGCTTGGAGTGACCCTGTGGAAAACACTCCTGTACAATCCATTGCTGAGGACCTCAAGATGGTTCCCTACGAGGACCTTAAGGGTACCCTCAATTTCCGGGACAGACTTCCAAGCATTGTTGTCGGCGAAATCCATGATCTCAAGGCCTGACATGCTTTCAAGAAGGATTGTGATGATCGTGTGGTCTGTATATGCGATGCTATTCCGAGTATATTGCTTGATGGGGAGCATTGTGGGTATCTGTTACCTACTGTCATGTGCATGCCTTGCTCAAGACTAGGGGTGGTTGCGGTTCGATAACTGCGAATTTTTGCCCAAACCGCAAACCGACCGACTATTTGCGGTATGGTGATTTTTGAAACCTAGCGATTTAAAATTGCAAGTTCTTTTTGTGTCATAAAAATCCAATCTTCCACATTTTAGGCCTAATTTTGATGCTTCTTTTGAAGCCTTTTGAGTTCAAGCATACTTTAACCCATAAATATAAATTCACAACCTAAATAAATAAATTCACAACCTCAACTTCTCAAGCATATATTATAAATTCACAACCTCCTCAACTTCTCAAACATTCACAACCTAAAGAAAATTAAAGTTACAATTCCAAGCATTCCAATTAAAGTTAAACTTCTCAAGCATTCACAACCTCAACTTCTCAAGCATTCCAATTCCAAATCCTTTAAAGTTACAAACCAAAAGGAAAATGCAATGCAAAATGAATTAAAGTTACAACCCAAAGGAAAAATCCAATTCAAAGTTAATTAAGTTACAAACTAGAAGGAAAATGCAATGCACAAATGTTACAAACTCAAGTGTTGGTGGTGGTGATTGGATTTGAAGGACCTTGTTGTGTTGTTTGAGAACCAATGCTATCTACAAAATGCAATTTTGTTTTAAATATAGTCGCGGTTTGCGGTAACCGCAAGTTTTGAAAATCAAATACCGCAAATGCGGTTCGGTTTCCTGCGATTGCGGTTCCATTGCGGTAAATTGTCGGTTGATTTTTACGGTTTTTCGGTCTAAAATGTCACCCCTACTCAAGACTGCTCCTCAAGTAGGTTGGACTGAGGCCTAAGCTCTCCATTATGGCCCCCATTATTTCAAGGAATAATCTCTTTACCTCCATTGCATACTTTCCCAAGTTTTCTCTGGACAAATACATCAAATTAAATTTCTCCTAACTCCAAATAAATTTCAATTAATTTACCAACTTATCTGACAAAATAAGTTCAATTTACCTGAAATTCATGGGATTATGAGGCCATGAACCAATCCAATCGTCAATAGGGTAGGCATAAATCTTGATGAACTCCCTTGAAACCCCATCCAAGTTGTCTATTGGGAAAGTCCCAAATCTTACTGGCTTGTTTGCATCATCGGACAAGAATATTGTCTTCTGATCCATTGGCAAATCGAAGAACTTTGACAATGAGCCAAGAGCATTTTCAGTGACTTCTTTGCTTACTCCTTGATTCTTAACCTACAACAAAAGGCACATATTTATATAAATGTTGTAAGTACACTACATAACGTCCACGATCAATATACTGAGCAATCTGAAATTATTGTTACCTGAAGAAGCCCATTTTTTGGCAAGCATCGTGAATAGTTTTGATCACAACAGACCTTGTATGAGAGTCATGATGCAGCTGAGTAACGTCAATGGTGGTCACTTGTGAAGGATGTAAAACTGGGAAGAGAGAGAGAGAGAGAGAGAGAGAGAGAGAGAGTGTGCGCACTGGTGGACCCAAGAATTTTTCAGAGAAAGGGCAATATTCGATTGAAGATTACTAGTAATGTTTCATAACTTTATAATTAAAAAATACAGAGAGAGCCACATCAAAAAAAATATATATTATAAAAAAAATAGAAATAAAACATCAGAAGAAAAAAAGACCAAAAGGGGGAAAAAAAAACACAGACCTTGAGATTTGGGTTTGTTGGCTTCTTCAATTCAATTTAGGACTCTCTTTATATTAAATTATTTATAATATTAATTGTACTTTGGCATTGGTTCCTATCCGCAGAATATAAGGCTTTATCCTTATTTTTTTTCATTGCCCTGGTCCAAAACGAGTCGTTTTGGCCAGGGACTTTTTTTTAAAAAAAGCATGCGGCTGTGCTGCGTGCAACAGCCCACCAACAACGCAACACCACAGCAAACAAAAAGCAATTTCGCAGAGGCATTTCTTCGAGCAGATTGTGGGCACTTTCATGGCAGAGCTGAGGGGCAAATTCCACAACCTCCAGAGCTCTTTCCGCCTCTGTGTGTGTGTGTGTGTGTGTTTTGAACAGTTACCTATAATTAATCAGTTTATCAGAAAAATAAAAAAAACACAGTTACCTAACCGTAGTGTAAAGACAAAGGGGCAGTTCACAAATCTCATGTGCAGGCCCGAACAAAAAGAAACTAAAATGGCCCAACAAACTAAGCCCACAAGAAAAAGAAGGGCATGCCCGAAATCAATAACACGGTGTCAGCACAAAACCACAACAATTAAAAATGAACTTGTAATTGTCACTCCGAAAAGAACACTACTTCTTTATTGCAAATCATAGTTTGACATAGACAAAAATAATTTATCAAAAACACAACAACAAAAATCTCAACATACATATCAAACTGTGATTAACATGAAAGGAACTTCTAATGAAGGATACAAGTATTTTCCCTTCGAAAAAGTCATTATCAACTTTTTGTACTGCAATTTATCCCTTTTTTCTTTAAATAAAAGAATACAATATGACTTTATTGGGGTGTGAAAATATTTCATCTTGCTTAGGAGATGTATGTGTACAAGCCGAAAGCCCTGGACCAGTTCCAACTCCAAGTCACCAGGCCCAAAACCCATAAGATATGTTTTCCCGGGTAAAATCTGATCCAAATACCACTAGCCCATTTCATCATAGCCACTAATTTTCCATGGCTGATTGGCTGACCAACACCCTCTCTCTCTCTCTCTCTCTCTATCAGAGCACAAAACTCTACAATGTTGTTGCATAAACACAACTGACCAACCATGGCTACAGTGTCTATGTCCCTGGTCTTTCAAAACCCACTTATTTCACCATACCATTCTAAAACTAGGCCACTTCCTCGCAACCAATCTAATTGGTTTCAAGCTCCAACCAGTACCAGAACCAAACCCACTTCTTCTTTTTCAAGCATCCGAGCTCAATCTGGTACGGCTGCTCGCAAGGAGGATATTGTCATAGTTGGCGCTGGAATTGCTGGTCTTGCCACTGCACTCTCTCTTCACAGGTTGTTTAATTTGAACATGGTCATTTCTCAAACGTTTTGAATATTTACCACCCACGTTACTGACTTTTTTTTTACCTGGTGTTAATCATTATGAACGGTAAAACTGGTCGTTTGACATGTTGTCATAACTTGCCTTGGTCAAATCATGGTTTGTTGGCAGATTTTCCGTGCATTTCAATAAGAAAAATCCCTTGAATTATGGTTTAAATTGATAAGAGAATTTTCAATATTGTATGTACTGGACAAGATGTATTATAGAACATTTAAAAGAGATCTTGCTCATTGGAAAAGGACCTTGATTTGCAGACTAATAGTCTCAAGTTCGAACCCCCATGACATCTTGATAATGTGTATGTGTGTGAGAAAACCTCCATTCCTCTTGTAGTTTAGACTATCGCTTGCATTAAATAAATAAATAAATAATAACGTATGCTTTTTAGAGCAAAAGAACTCTAAATATCTATTAATTTTGATGAACAGGCTTGGAGTTGGGTCCTTGGTGCTTGAGCAAGCAGAATCACTTCGTACGGGTGGAACTTCACTCACCCTTTTCAAAAATGGGTGGCGAGTTTTGGATGCAATTGGAGTTGGAAATGATCTCAGAACCCAATTTCTTGAAATTCAAGGGTATATATGTTATTGTTTCTTTCTTTATGCTTAATCTTACAACTAAAATTATAAGTTTTGGACACTAAGTTAAAAGCTTTGCATTGTGCAAAAGCTACCCAATTTTCTCTGATCTGGTTCATGCAATCAGCTGTGCAGGATGGTGGTAAAGACAGAAGATGGAAGGGAGCTACGCTCCTTCAAGTTCAAAGATGAAGATGAAAGGTAATGAACTTACTCATGATCTTCCATGTTTTCTGAGAACATGCAATTCTTTTCTTTCTTCTTACTCAATCATGTACTCAAGTTTACTAAGTTTCATGGCACAGCCAAGAGGTGCGTCCTGTGGAGAGGGGAATACTGCTGGAGACTCTTGCCAATCAACTGCCAGCGGGCGCGGTTCGGTTCTCATCAAAGCTGGAGAAGATTCAAAAAACAGAAAATGGTGAAACTTGGTTGGAACTAGTAGATGGTACTCAGCTATCAGCAAAGGTTACCCTTAATCTACTTTCTGAATTTTCTATCGATCTTTCTCTAGGCAGATGGCTCAATCTTGTTATGTGTCACATCAATTGGTATTAAACTATCACATTACATATAATAGTTGGTGCATGTAGTACCACTCGTTCTCATTTTCTTGTCTTGATGAATTCCAACAGATTGTAATTGGATGTGATGGGATTCGGTCTCCTATAGCTAAGTGGATGGGTTTTCCTGAGCCCAAGTATGTTGGTCATTGTGCTTTTCGTGGCCTTGCATATTACCCTGGTGGGCAGCCATTTGAACCAAAACTGAATCAAATCTATGGAAGGGGCCAACGTGCAGGATTTCTTCCTGTTTCTCCAACAAAAGTCTACTGGTTTGTCTGCTTCAACAGACAATCTCCAGGTAAATTTCTAAATTTGAAGTCTCCTAAGCCTAAGACTTGTTATGCACGAGTTAATTATAAAACACCAAGAAGGATCTGTAGCTTCTTTTTTTTTTCTTTTTTTTACGATGGTAGGGCATCTTATTGCAGGTCCAAAAATTACTGATCCGTCCGTGTTAAAGAAGCAAGCTACAGAACTAGTCAGAGACTGGCCTTCAGACCTAGTGAACATCATAGACAATACCCCGGATGACTTGATCATTCGAACACCACTCGTAGACCGGTGGCTGTGGCCGAACATCAGCCCTCCAGTTTCAGCAGGAAGTGTTGTGCTGGTAGGAGATGCATGGCATCCAATGACCCCCAATCTTGGTCAAGGTGCTTGTTGTGCTCTCGAAGATGCAGTAGTTCTGGCAAGAAAGCTTGCAGGTGCTATCAAGTCACGACCAGATACCATTGGAGATGCTCTCAGCTCATATGGAAGTGAGAGATGGCCTCGCATCTTTCCGCTAACGGTTCGTGCAAATCTTGTAGGGTCACTCTTGCAGTGGGAGAACCCTGTTGTGTGTTCTGTTCGGAACAATGTCATCTTCCCCAAGCTTGTTAGGTTAGGACCATTGTTGGAGCATACAAATTTTGAATGTGAGCCTCTACAAGCTCCAGTTGGGTAATGTTGGGGGCAATGTCAGCATCCCCTAAACTAATTAGGTTAGAAAGAGTGGGGAGAAGAAAGGATCTTACCATACTAATTGTATATTCCACATTATACTGTCTATAAGTTTTTTCCAAATGAGTAGGCACAAACAAAAGAAATAAATCACAATGCTAAGAACCAATACAATTCTGCAATTCCCAAACGAATACCATTTTAATAGCTTGTTTCTGATTATGATATAAATTTCAACGAAGCTTCTATGCATATGTGCAATCAAGGTGTCTAATAAGACGGAACTAGGTCTACATTATCTCACATTCATATAAATTGCTTACAAGAACTTCTCGAGTAAGAGGGAGCCAGCTAGTTTTTCTTCTCCAATAGTCTTCTGGGTCTAGTGATGCATAAATTATGAATTCATATAAGCTGCTCCTCCACCAACACTCAGTATTGCCCTCAATCTCGATAATCTTCATTCTAGAAAAAGGTGAATCACTGAAATAGAAGCAACCAATTAACAAAAAAACCTCCAAACACGAATTATCCTAAACTACAAGCATCCCACATTGTTGCCTGCACTTCGGATGTACCGAGAAAGGAATACCCGCCACGGTTTATAAGATAGGAGGCAGTGGAACCACATGAAGAAACACAAGTGTAGCCCAAGCAAACAAAATAGTTTCAATCATGAAGCTGACTGATAAAGCCAAAATTGCAGTTTATAACTGCCTCAACAGTACAAGCTATGGCACCACAGCAGAAAATAAATACGAAAACATGTGATCATTCTAAAGTTGTAATCTTTAACCAAAAGCAAGCAAACTACTAATCCATTTCCTTTATAATCGGTTAAATTTTCTCTTAGATGACTTCACTCAATCAAATTGTCACCAGACTTAACAAGTAAAATCCATCCAACTGAATAAGAAAACAAAGCAAAATCCCAATCACAACCCATAAAGGCAAATACTTATATGAGTTGTTCACTGTCAGATTCAATGGAAAATAACAATCTGTGAGACAAATGGGCAAGTGGGTACTGTTGTATTGTACCTGGATTGGAAAAGAACCAGAGGATGATGGCGCAGAGGACGAGCAAGAGAGGTATGATGTGAATGGCGTTCTCTGCGGACCTGATACGACGCCGTTCCCTCTTTGCGACATGAGAGAGGGGATCGTACGTGGGTAGATGTAGATGCTGGTCTGAAGAGTCGTCTGTGGTTGGTTTGAAGGTTGAAGGTGGCGGTGAAGTTGATGAGGAGGTCACAACCAAGTCCTCTGAGACTCTGGAAGCACTTGCAGATCTGTGCATCTTTGAGTTATCAGAATCTTGGTTGTGATTGGAACGGAAGATGTTTTCGATTCTACTTCATTGCTCTCTGGTTGGGTCAACAACAATAAGACGCCTTTCTTGAATCTTGACTAATCAAAATAAAATAAAAAAGAGAGATTTCCTGTGTTTTGTGACGAAAATAGTTTGCTATTTCTTTAAGGGCTTTTAAGGACATGTAGGCTGCGCCTCTAAATAAAAACAATTTGGTTCAGTTATTACCATGGGTGCATTTCGTTGTTAAAATGATTTTCTTTAATGGAGTTTTTTATTCACATTTGTGCTCTTAACATAAAATGAAAAAATGGGAGGAAAAATATAAAATAAAATGAAATAACAAAACATGGATAGCTTGTCCAACGGTAACATCCAATAGGTTATTGCTTAAGAGTGACATCCATAAATGTTACGTTTAAAATGTACTAGTATAACATTTTTTTTCCTTCCGCTCCAACCGGAAGAGGAAAACTTTAATTGTTTGAACTAATTAGATAGTTTAAGGCTTGAAGTGGACTTTTAAATCATTTTTATTATAAATACATAGATGGTGTGTTTATTAATCAGGAATTGGAATTCTCATCAGGAATTGAATTCTATTCATGGAGGATTCTTGCGTTTACTTCATATCAAAGAATTAAAAAGTAAATGAGATCCACACAAAATTAGGAATTGAATTCTTGGATCGCCATAAAATGATGAATAAAGTCTTCATTGCCCCTTTTTTCTGAGTTAGCAAGAATTAAGCTCAAAGCATCCGGAATGAGAAGCAAGTCCTAAGGGAGTACTCTATTGTTCTTCCAATGACTGCGTGTTTTGTGTTAATATTTCCGGCAGCTCTGAACATGGGTGGAGATGATTTGCTTATGTTAAATAGAGATTGTAGGAGCTTGGCATAAGAGCTTGGAGTGTAGGAGCTAAAGACCCACAGTTTAGCAAATGAGAATTAATGCACGTGTTTGGCTTGATGTTGGATATGCTTGAGTTTGGGAATGATGGTTTTATTGTTTGAGGCTTTGACTTTGGTGGTTTGATTGTCTGCTTGTGATGGTTGCTAGGATGCGTATAGTAGTCAAATAAAGAGGGTTTCAAAGAGCATAGCTGAGGATAGAAAAGCTTAAGACTTTAAAGGCTATGGTGTTTGTGGCTATGATTCTAGAGAGATTTATGAGTTCTAGAGGTGGGAGCAAGGATTGAAATATCGGCCGATACACCGATATATCTGCCGATATATCGGTATTTTCAACTATCGACATCGATACTGGGGGGTAAGGTCATATCTTCCCCTATATCAACGATATATCCCCGATAAGTGTGATATCCTCGATATTTTGCCGATATCCCCGATATTTCCCGATACCCATAACAAAACCCAAAAAAAATTCAGAAGTTTTGAAGGCAATTGAAGCAAATTGAAACCCAAAAATAGCTAATCCTTGCCCAGAACCCTATAATTTATTAATATGATCGAAGAATCTATGCACAATCCACTGTCCATATACCTCCAATCCATATGAGGCGATCAGTTGATCTATGAGCATAGGAACTAGACCTAGTACTAACTCAAATGAATTTTATAATGGCTATGGTTATGTCATGTCTGATTATAAGGGAACTAGTTATGGAGCTCAAGATGATAAAAAAAAGATTATAGACCTACTAGTTGGTTAATCATAACTATCCTATATATGGGAGGACAATAGGGAGCTCAAGAGAGATCTATGTGCATCATGTTCAAACATGGCTTACAAACTGCTCAGGTTACATGACTTGATATGACTATTATATGAATCTAGATGGTTGTTCCTCATAGGAGCTCTTCATTTATGTAAATGGACACTTATCTAAATTGTAATCCAATGTTTAAACAACTTATGGATTTATGCATGATTTATTCATTCTAATTAACATTTTATTTTCGAACTTTTCATTAACGCGCATTACATATTACTTATATTTCATCATATGTATATCTTATTATTAGTAAATTTTGAGTTTTATTTGTTCAATACATTCATTGATAATGTACATAACATCTATGAAAGTTTTACACCAATATTATGTGTTTCAAAGCCTATATCTGTCATTTTTGTTGATTTTTTCCCGATACCTAAAACGATAACGATATATCCCCCGAAATATCCGTAAATTGGAGGCCCGATATTATCTGCACGGCCGATATTTTAATCCTTGGGTGGGAGGATCAAGGAGTTGCTTGGACTTATGCTTGAGGTGAGGCTTTATAGAAAAGATTAAGGATTTCAAGGATGAGTAAGTATGAGACAAGGTTGTGATGACTACTTAGATTTTTGGAGCAGTCAAGAGAATGGGTTGATGGCTGCTGAGATGCTTGCAGTAGCCCCAGAGAAGTTTTCGGCCAAGAGGAGAGGGGTGATAGCCAAGGGAAGAGGTCGATGGTTGGTTGGGAAACTTGCAACCGCTATGAGAAGAGGGGTTCTCATGGTTGCTGAGAGGTTTCCAGCGACCAAGAGAAGTTGGTTTCTCCTTGGGTCATGGGTTCTAATTTATATAAGGTAAAGGCTTTCCTTTATTTCCAATGGGTAAAAAAAAGTGATGAAATCATCCTATTTCCAACGTGTAAAAGGGAGAATTGAGACATTCTTATATCCAGCATGTAAAGCTAGGTATCGGAAAATGATTATTTCCTATAGATAAAAGGAAGTATCAGAATTGGCTTGTTGCCAGTGGATAATAGGGAGTGATTGAAGAATATCTCATTTGTACACTCACATTGGAGAACTTTAAGTAATGGGCTTTGACTTTGGGGCTATGCTCCCAAGTAGCCCCAAAGTCTCCATTATCTAAGAGCTTCTGTGGGCCTTGTGGAACTTTATAACCATCCACATCACAACCCCTCGTGCAAGCCCCGTAAACCACATAACTTGGGTTCATGTAAGCTTGGTAGATGTTTGGCATAAGAAAAATGTATTAACCTTGCATTGAGTTATTTGGCATGTGCTTGGAATGCTTGGGCATGTGTTAGAGTGGCTTGGGCTTTTGTGACCGAGCTTAGTGACATATCAAATTTAAAGGAATATGTTTTTTGGCATGGCAATGATACTACTAGAATTTGTATAAAAGCTTACATACATATTTATTTTGTCAAACTAGTTCCCAAAAAATATAATTGGAATTAATACAAGACCTATTTATCCCTTATTTCGTACGTCATATTGGGTTTTAAATGCTTTTGGACTTGTCGTGACTTTTTGGGCCTCAAAAAAATCGTTTCGTCATTGCTCTAGAATGTTTGTTGTACTTCATCACGTTTTTCTCCCTCTTCTTTACAATTTTTTTTATTATGCTGTAGAAATTTTTGTGAATTAATATTTATTGGTGTCTATTGCTGAATACAAGTCATGATATATAAGTCTCAAATTGGAGAAGACAATAATGATCTACAGTTCAAATATAGGTTGTACACTCCCAAGTGTATCAAGACCTGTTAAACTAAAATCTCATACTTAGAGGTCCATAGGGGCCTAAACCCAAGGTATTGGACGTAGATTATACACGCTAGGGAAAAACCAAAAGATCCATGAATATTTCATCAAAAGCAATATCATTATTAAGGTCCAGTATTGAATGCAATAATAAGTCATTATTTGGCTTCCATTTTACCTAATACTTTCCATATAAATGGTCAGCGGCAGGTACATCAAATTATTTTCCCTTTTATCCAATATTTTCATATGAAATTCACTATAAATGGTAACTAGTTTAGATTATGCATGTTAGGATAAAACCAATATGCATGAGTATTTCATAAACTGCAATGTCATTAAACACAATATTGAACGCCAATGCCATAATATGTCATTCTATCTTTTCTTACCAATACTTTCCATATAAAATTCAGAATAAATGTTTCTCTCCAAAAAGAAATTCAATATAAATGTTAAACAACTTAGATTCTAAAACCAATTATTTTCCCTTTTACCAAATAATTCCCATTTAAAAATCACTATAAATGATAATGCAAGCCAGCGAAAAATTACGACGCATGAACATTTCATAAACAAAATGTCATTAAGGAGAAAAACTTAGTAGCAATGGGGATATCACTATTTTGCTATCTCCGACTAGTAATACTATGCCAGTGTACCACGTGGAAGTGTTGTCATGCGTGTCAAAACGTCTTGATTGGAGATAACAAAATAGTGTTATCCCTGTTTCATGTAAGTCTTTCTCGTCATTAAGGCATCCTTTCTATCTTTTCCATTACCAATACTGTCCATATAAGATTCAGATAAATAGTATCTGGTAAGAACAACCAACTCTTTTTCCTTTTACCCAGTATTTTCCATATGATGTTCAATGTAAACAGCAACCAATTATGTTTTACAAGTTAAGGAAAAACCAAGATGCATGAACACTTAATCAAAAGCAATGTCATGAAGGCCCAATATCGAATGCCATAAAAAGTCGTTCTTTGATTTCCCATTTTGCATAGTGCTTTCCATATAAAATTCCATATAGATGGTGAGTGGTAGGTACACCAAATTATTTTCCTTTTATCCAATATTTTATATATATATATATCACTATAAATGGTAACTATTTTTTCTACAAGTTAGGGCAAAACCAAGATGCATGAGAATCTTATTAACTACAATGTCATTATCTTTTCTTACCATTATCTATATAAAATTAAATATAAATATTTCTCACCAAAAGAAATCCAATATAAGTGTAAACCAACTTAGATTCTAAATCCAATTATTTTCCCTTTTACCAAATGATTCCTATATAAAAATCACCATCAATGGTATGCAAAGCTAGCAATGCATGAACATTTTGTAAAACACAATGTCATTAAGGCAAACGATTCTATCTTTTCCATTTTACCAATACTTTCCATATTAGATTTTATCTTCGAGATAACAATTTATGTGTGACATCGTAATTTAATTCCTTATATTTCATCTCACTTGCTTTTAACTGAACTTGACCGGTTTTTTTTTCATCATACTTATTGTATTAGTTGAAACGTAATCGTCATTACAGCTTCTCGTACATTCTATTTGTGTTAGTTTACGTAAAGAAATAATAGAAAAATAATAAGAATCGCATGCATATTTAAAAAACATAAGCAAAGTGATGACGAGACCTAACTCATAATCTTTAGTAGATATGTTTGGATTCACTTTTAATACTCACTATTTAGATTTTGGCACTCCAAACTAAGTATTTAAATTTTTAAACGTTCGCTACGGGATTTACGTAAGCTAAACTGAGAGTACCAAAATTGCTTCCACTTCTATATATAGCCCATGCAAAAATCTCAACCTCATTCCCACTTCCATTATAATCTTCTCCTCAATCACAGTATTCATCCATATTGTGTGTACTTTTGTCGGGGGAGAGTTTAAACTAAACGAGGTTTTGTATGGAGGGTAGGCCAAAAGACAGATTCAACACCTACAACATGAATGGAAGAAAGTCCAAGGAGAAACTTTTGGTTCAAAATCAGACTTCATTGAGTTTTTATCGGATCCTTGATTTACCAGAAAAAGGTATTACTTACTTATGACATCAACGTTAATTATCTTTGTATTAATTTTGTATGTGATCACGATGATTATTCCAGTGACAAGATTCTTTTAACATGTTTTTCTTTTTGGAATTACAAAAGCAGGAACATTGTTGAACCAAAACAATGGTGTACAAGCTCAGAGATAGAAAGAACAAGCTGGTACATCAAAGTAACTGGAGCAGTTCAGTGTTTTCGAGTGAAAACATGTAGTTTCTGACCTGATGATCCAGATGATGTTGCTCAAACGGCTGAAGTGGGGGCTACAACCTCATATGGGAATTTGGAATTGATAAGGCCAAAATGGGGTTGCTCTCGAAAGAGTACAAAGTGCATGAGGAAAAACACTAGCTCGATTTTCATATAGCAACCCTTGCTGGATTGTGAACCAAACAAAGACTTTCTAAGATAAAAGAACAATATTGTGTAATTTATTGCATTTGTGTATAATGACATCGTGGTTGTATTACATTAGTGTAATTTAGGGCTATTCATGTTTTATGTTGTGCTTGTGTTGGTCCATTAAATATTTAGTAACATGTTTGTGCTTACTCAAATAGCCAACGGGGTTTAGTCAAGTGAAAAAGGCATTGACTTGCAGACCAATTATCTTAAATTTGAACTCCCACGACACCTTGACAGTGTATATGAGAAAACCTCATTCATAATTTCACTTGTTTAAAAAAATAATAATAATAATAAAAGCCAAGTGCTATGGCGTACACAACCTAGGACCCATTCGTTCTAGTGGCATGCGTTAAACAACTCCAGCCCAAGAACCTGTTTTTCTTATCTCACTTTATTACTAGTTTTAGTTATTAAATATTAAATTATTTTTGTTTGATAATATGAATTGTCGAGAAAAATTGAAAAGGAGCACGGTCAATGTTACGAGTCATTCCTTTAAGCACATTTTGTGCATGAGCCATTCTAGCTAATACAACCAGACAAATTTAAGCAAAACACAAATGAAAATGTAGTTTAGATAGGATTAAATTTCGTATTAGGCAATTTTGAAACAAATGTCATGCACAACATTCTTGGTTGTGGGACTCGTTTGAGACTGCTTCTCTAATATGTACTTCTATTCAAAAGCACTAAAGTGTTTTTATTATAAAAACATTGATATTTTCATAAGAAATTGAAGTGTTTCCTGGAAAACCACTTGGGAGCAAGGACTAAAATATCGATAATATCGACGAAATATCGAAGATATTATCATTTTTTCGGGTCTTGGATATTTTAGAACATATTCATACACATATCTTATAAGTATCGATAATATCGGAAAATATCGACGTCAATAATTTCTCTCACACTTCAGCAACATTTGGCCAAAATATCACTATAATATCGATAATATCGATATTATGAAGATAGTGAAAATTTTGAAGAGTTATTTACACTAACACCCCCTAAGGTTTCTTATGTTTTCACAAAATCCCCTAAGATCTCAAAAATTATACGAACACCTCTTGAGGTTTCAATTTGTTTTACAAAACCCATTTTCATTGATTGTTTTCCAAAAATTGATGATTTCATAAAAACAAACTTATGCAAATGACAAAATTAACCTCAATGAAGTATATGCAATCTAATCTCAAAGGCCAACTTTGTCATTTGGAGAATTTTTTTTGTATAAAATCATGAGTCTTTGAATGAAAAATCAATGAAAAAGAGTTTTGTGAAAATAATTTAAAACATCAGGGGGTGTTCTTGTAATTTATAAAACCTCAAGGAATTTTGTGAAAAAACTGAAACTTCTGGGGTGTTAATGTAAATAATTTGAATTTGAACCTTATAGGAATTCTATGTGGTACTAAGTCACTCATGTATCTTACCATGCAATGTATAAAGTGTAAAATATTATACTAAATCATTATAAATAAATGATTATGGTGTGTTTAATCTTTTTTCATTAATTACTACATATTTTCTACACTCACAATGTTTGTCAACTCGCTATATAATCAACTTAAATTAGTTAAACCCATCATGCAATGCATTTCCTTCACTTTTTGTGATAAAGTGATAATTGACTAAAACATCCTCCAAAGTTTCAAGAAAACTTTCCAAGTTTTTCTTACATGTTCCATGATTTTTATTCATTTTTTGTCAAAAATCGAAAATTTCCCGATATTTACATCGAAATTTTTGTGTTTTTGGACCACTAATATTTCCGAAACCATCGATATTTTAGACCTTGCTTAGGAGTGCTTCTCCAGAAAATGCTTCTTCAGAAAGTGCTTCTATGACCTAGAAGCACTTTTAAATTTTACTGCCAAACGTTGTCAAAAACACTTTTAGTTGTTAGAAAGTGCTTTAGTCCTTACAGAAACACTCCCAAACATACCTACTCTCTTTATCTTAGTTGTATTATATCTTTGTTTAATTTACATTATAGGTTATTCTGGTTACCCGTTAACTAAGAAATTTTCCTTCAAATAATTTGTCCCTTTCATGTTTGTGATAGCACATTTGCTTCAACAAAGTTAAGTTCATCAATTTAAAACAGCAAACCTCCTCCATTTTATATATACATAAGAAAGAGTGGTGTAATTCATCATGCAAAATTTTGCCGCTCTAACATATGTTCACAAATTACCAGAGTCCTTTTAAGCATCAAGACACTTTGCCTTGGGAAGCATGGAGTATGAAATCGCACTGTGTAAGGGGATTTCCTATGGGTATGAAATTGCACATGACTTATGGGTATGTGAGGGGAATTTCATACTCTCTCTCTCTCTCTCTCTCTCTCTCTCTCTCTCTCTCTCCACACACCACTTGAGAAAGCATTTAATACACTTTTTTTGGACTAAACAACCCATTTCTAATTTAATAACTTTAAATATAAAAAATAAAGGGTATTATGGGAAAAGTAAACAATTTTCATTCCTAATACGACATAAACCAAACATGAGAATGTGAGAAATTGATACTTCCTGGTCTTCATTTCCCAACATTTCCAAATATGGGAATAAACATATTTCATTCCCATTTCCTAAGATTATACATGGGAGTTCATTCCCAAGAAGTTCATTCCGTGAACCAAACAGACCCTTAGCGAGATAAGGTTTCAGCAGTTTCATATTGCTGACCAGTGTCTTGCTACTCCCTGCCATCATAATTTTGTCACTTTTATATACCTGTAGCCGTTTCAATAGCTCCTCTAGTACCTTGCCTACCTACTACCACACTTAAGTGCAGTTTACCTTGTTTGTTCAGTGCTTACTTTCATCAAGCTTCAAATCTTAGGATTTATCGAATCGCATGATCCTTGCTATCGGTGCTTGATAACGGAAGAAAAGCGAGAAGGATAGCATTGGGGATCTAGAGTGACGATTTCTCAAAAGATATTCAAGGTAATTCTTTCTGCCTGGTTACATTTGCGATACAAATCTTCTAAGAACAATATGATTAATTATTCCCTAGTTTGGCTAGATCTTGAATTTTGATTTACACAATACACATATCACATAAGTAGTGACTCATTAAGGTAAAAAGAATTCTCTTTATACTCATTTTCTATGTGATCTTGAAGATTATTCTACTGGCGAGATTTTCTTAACACATTTCTTGTTTGTTAAATCATAAATTAACTTTTCATTTATTTTTTCTTCTGAAAATGACACCCAATTAATTTGTTATATAGTTCATTTAATTGGTATAATTTGAAAATAATTTATTGTTGAAAATATGCTTTTACTTTCATCTTAATAAGTTAACCATCAAAATTAATTATTAGATTTTTGGTGTATAAATATAAATATTCTTTGGGTTCACACCAATAATTTTTTTTTCTTTCAACTTTTGGGATTTCAGCATGGCAAGTGGAATCGCATTCTCCACATGCATGTGCATATGGATTAGATTGACCTGTATCCACTTTCAGATCTCATTCGGTTTGAAGTTAGATTAAAATGTGGATCCATTTTTTATACTTTTTTTAACTTGAATTTGTATGGGCAATTAAACAATTTATTCTCCATAAAAATTTAAAATGCTCATGTTGATGAGGAATTCTTCAAATAATTTTATTTTAGGTACACCTTTAGGGTCCCCTATGATTTTTTTAACAACCCAAACTGTCTATTTTTCAAGTCTTCATCCTTGCAAAAAAATCATGCAAACTGAAAATCATTAAAGCATCTAATTGGGACTAACAAAATATAGAGGAACACAATTCTTCAAGAAAAGACTTATAATAACAACTATCTAATTGAGTGATCAAATGGTTTCGAATTCAAGTGAATTAAATATCTAAAAAATAGATGGTTCGGATCATTGAAATACAAGGCGTGGTGGACCCTACAAAGGTGTCTCTCAACTAAGAATTTGAGGAATCCCTCTACTAAAGATATATATATATAAAAACGTTAAATATAAAAATGAATCAGTTGTATATCATATTAAGTTGGATTGGATTAGTCTTTATTTATACTTGAATTGTTAAGTTAACGGGTTAATAGATTGAAATGAAGGTGGGATCTAGAACCGGATTGTAACTTGAATGGAGGATTGCTTACACACTGATGTAATCTTTAAGCAGAGCTTTAACTACTATATATACGAGGAGCTTAAACGGACCAGTCCTTTCTCACTTTTCAGTTACTGAAATGTACCACTTAAAAGCTAGCTGTTAAGATTTATGCTAATTCAATTACAAATGTGTCAAATGTGAATGAAAATTGAGGAGAAAATGGCGACAAATAATAAGAATGGAAACAAATCAAAATGATCTTTGCTATGAGAAAAAATAAACACTGCATGATTATGATTATCCTATTGGATCATTATTATTTTTTTTTTCTTAACTTTTAACTTTTTTTTTTTTTTTTTTTTTTTTTTTTTTTTTTTTTCCAGACCAAAACTACAAAGCAGGAATATTGTTGGACCAAGACAATGGCTTACGAGCTCAGAGATAGAAAGAACAAGCTGCAGGTATATCAAAGTAACTGGAGCAGTTCAGTGTTTTCGAGTGACGAAACAGATAGTTCTGATCCTGAGTATACAAGGAGGCCCCCAAGAAGGCAAGCAAAGAACTACAACCTCAGTATTGCTCAAATGGCTGAAGCGGGGCCAGCTACAACCTCAGCTGGGAATTTGGAATCAGTAAGGCCAAAACGGGGTCGTCCTCGAAAGACTACCAAGCCTAGGAGGCAAACAAGAGCTCGATTTTCATATAGCAACCCTGCTGGATCGTCAAACCAGACAAAGAATCTCAAAGATAGCAGAACTATATTGTCATGGTTGATTGACCTCCATATAGTTGAGGATAACGCAGCAGTCTTTTATAACAATGAGATAATGCTGAAGGGGACAATAAAAAGGGCTGGAATTTTGTGCACTTGTTGTGAACAAATGTTTACAGTGTGGAATTTCGAGGTTCATGCTAAAAGCGAATTAAGAAGGCCGTACGAATATATTTTGGTCGAGAGCAATGGAAACTCCCTCCTCCAATGCCTGATGGATGCATGGGAGTGCCACATTGAATCTGCACCACAATTTGGATTCCATCGTAGCAGGCCCCGAACAGCACCAGCAGACCAGAATGACGATTCGTGTATGATATGCGCAGATGGAGGGGATTTGATGTGCTGTGACAAATGTCCTTCCGCGTTTCACCCTTCATGCATGAACATGGAGGTGAGAAGGTCCTTTCTTGCAAATTTTATGCTTTGTTAAATAACTCAACTTCGTAAAACATTTCTTCAACTTTTGAACTGCAGAGAGTTCCCGAAGGAGAATGGGGATGTTCCTACTGTGTCTGCATACATTGTGGACTTGTTCGTGGGAAGTTCCTTACATGTTCAGTATGTGAGAAGAAATGTATGCCTCTTCATTTCTAAAATGAATGTCATATTAGAAGTTTCTTAGGGGGCGTTTGATATCTTATTCAAATAGAGAAGTCAAAAACTTTGATTTTTCTTAAAAATAAGGAGTTGTTAAATCTATTTTTATGATTCAAAAACTTGTTTGGTATGCAACTTGAAAACTATTTTCAAATCTTAAAAATTTGAGAACTTGTGGGTTGTTAGAAAAAAAACTGAAAAAACATATATTTTTTGTTTAATAATTGGGGTGTTTTTCAGTTGTTCATGAGTTTGAGTTTTTTAAAAATAGGGCTATCAAACAGGTTTTCTTTGTTTTGAACTCAAATTTTGTTTTTGAATTTAAAAAGTTGGATTCAAGTTGAATATCAAACAGGCCCTTAGCTTTTGGATATTTGCTCCAATTTGAATCTTTCAAAATAAGGACAAAATTTATAGCCTGTGAGAAGAAATGTATTGCTAAAATATCAGTAACCTTTGTGTAGTTCATTGGAGTTGCCCTGCGCCAAATGAAATCGATCTCAATCTCTCAACTTCATCATTTTGCAGTAAGAGCTGTAGCGAGGTACATACTTTAGTACATTTTACTTACACAGAGATTTAATCGTTTTTATCAATTTTTTTTTTATGGTACAAAAATGTTGACATAAATGAACTTTTGTAATAGATTTTTGAGAAATTGGAGCCGATGGTTGGGGCCAAGAATGATTTAGACAACGGATATTCTTGGAGACTTCTCAGGAGAGAAGATATAAACTTAAGTGGCCATACTGAAAATTTGCACAAAAAATTAGAATGCAATTCCAAGATCGCAGTGGCAGGGGTCTTGATGCACCACTGCTTTGAGAACATCATCGACCGATTCACTGGAACAAATATTGTTCAGAGTGTAATACACAGTCAGGAGTAAGCACAAAGTTCTTAAATAGCTAATTTCTTTTGGGTTTTTTTTTCTTCAAGTTATTGAACGATGAAAAAGATGTTGATTTGGTAAATTAAATTTGAAAGCCCATTTGGTTGGTTTTCAGTAAGCCCATGAGGCCCATTTGTTCTAGTGGCTTAAGGTTTCGAGTCACCCACAATCACCTATATATACATCATCTTCTCATTGTGTTTAGTGTGCCTCCACATTTTAGTAAGAGAGAAAACTCTCTCTTTTGTTTTGGTAGGTGAATGGAGTGTGACTCACAACATTTGTAAGTGAAGAAAATCTTCTCTTTGTTTTGTGAGAGAAAAATACATTTTTTCTCTTTTGTTTGAGCTACTTCAGATATGGTTTTGTTCTCTAATTTGAGGTTTGTTCTTGACTTTGTGGGAGTGATTTGAGTGATTTTTTATTTATTTTTGGTTTGAGCTACTTCAGATCTGGTTTTGTTCTCAGATATGAAGTTTGTTATTGACTCATCTATGTGGGAGTGATTTTGATTTTTTTTTTACTTCCCTTTTTTGTTCGAGCTACTTCAGATCTGGCTTTGTTCTTTAATCTGAACTTTGTTCTTGACTCATCTTTGTGGGAGTGATTTGAGTGATTTTTTCCGTTTTTGGTTTGAGCTACTTCAAATCTGGTTTTGTTCTCAGATCTGAACTTTGTTATTAACTCATCTGTGTAGGAGTGATTTTGGTTTTTTTTCTTTTCCCTTTTTTGTTTAAGCTACTTCAGATTTGGTTTTGTTCTCTAATATGAACTTTGTTCTTGACTCATCTTTGTGGGAGTGATTTGAGTGATTTTTTTCCGTTTTTGGTTTGAGCTACTTCAGATATGGTTTTGTTCTCAGATCTGAACTTTGTTATTGACTCATTTGTGTGGGAGTGATTTTGGTTTTTTTTTCTTTTCCCATTTTTGTTTGAGCTACTTCAGATATGGTTTTGTTCTCTAATATGAACTTTGTTCCTGACTCATCTTTGTGGGAGTGATTTGAGTGATTTTTTTCCATTTTTGGTTTGAGCTACTTCAGATCTGATTTTGTTCTCATATATAAACTTTGTTATTGACTCATCTATGTGGAGTGATTTTGGTTTTTTTTCTTTCCCTTTTTCGTTTGAGCTATTTCAGATCTGGTTTTGTTTTCTTATTTAAACTTTGTTCTTGACTCATATGTGTGGGAGTGATTTGGGTGAATTTGGGATTTGTGTTTGTGAGAGTTAGACACTCCTCTATAATCTCCTTTTGTTACTAGTGAAATTTCCTTACCCTTTGTTAACTGCACAAAGGCTACAAAATCAAACTACTATAAACATCCGTGTGTTGTTGATTTATTTGTGTCATATTTTGCCTCTGTGTGACTAAATTGAAAATTGTTTGTAAAAAATCGTTTTTTTTTTCAGGTCAAATTTGGGTCGGTTAAATTTTAGAGATTTCTATACTGCCATCTTAGAGAAGGACGATGAAATCATCTCTGCAGCATCTATAAGGTAAAGGTCATGTGTGTGTCATAAAAGTTTAATAGGAAGATGAATAGGAGCATCATTCTTTAATTGCTTATCACATTATGCTTTTGCAGAATACATGGAAGAGAGATGGCAGAGATGCCATTTGTGGGAACCGAATCGAAGTGCAGGGGACAAGGATTTCTTCGAAAATTTCTAGTAGCTATTGAATCTGTAAGTTGTTGCATAAGTAGATATATAATAGTTCCTTACATGGTGATTGTCATTGGCCTAATTTTTTTTAAGCAATCCTCATACAATGATTTATTTTTCAGGCCCTTCACTTCTTAAATGTGGAAAATCTGATCATTCCAGCTTCAATAGAAATAGTTGGAATGTGGACTCAAAAATTTAAATTTTCCCACATTGAAAGTGCCATGATCAAAACAATAATCTCCTCAAACACATTGATGTTTCCGAAGGCTGTCAGGCTACAGAAAAGCTTGCTGGCAGATGATGCGGAAGCAGAAAATGCAGGTCTCTCTCTCTCTTATAAATACACAATATTTTCCCTGCTTATATACATGTGCTTAGCGAGTACTAATTCATTTCATCTTATAACTGTTTCTCCATTTCCTTTGCAGCTATGGAGGTTAATGAAGTTCAGAACAATGATCAAAATGAGGTCCAACAAAATAGAGATGAAAGACCGCCTTTCATTGATATAAATCTGGACCCTCCAGAAGAGGCTATTGATGCATAATGCCAAGGATTTGATGTCAGAAAGGTTCAACTACTATGGCATGGGAACAAGTTCTAATTAGACTCCAAAATATACTGAAAGGTTTAGAACTTCCTGTTAAATGTGCCAAGTAAACAATACCTGGACTGCACATCATCTTCTGGTGTTATTAAAGTCACTGTTCTAACTAAGTTTACAAAGAAAATGGCATGCGAATGTAGAAAGCAAGGGTTAGATATAGTGTTCTCTTTTTCTTTTTCTTCATCTCCTCTGCATTGGGATTTAGAAGTGCCTCAATTTTGTAACAAAAGCTTAGGATCTAGAAGTGCCTCAATGCTTGTAACAAAAGTGACGTCCTGTGTATTAGGATTTAGAAGTGCCTCAATGACTGTAACAAAAGCGATGTTCTTTGTTAAATGTATATAGTTTTATTTTATCTTCATATATTTATTCATGCTTGTTCCTCCTCCTTTATAATCAATTTTCTTATTACAATTATGAAAATAATTATATTATGCTATGTCAAGCTTAAGCTATCAAATTTTTAAGTTTTCCGTAAACTTTTAATTTCCTTTGTCCACGTCATAAATTTTAAAGGAAACTAGTTGCAAATAGTAGCCCCATTTCTGTCCAATAAATATGAAATGTAGGGATCTAGGGCCATTAATCTTTGCTTTGGGCTTGGAGCCACAAAACTCACCAAAAAGAGAGAGTAAAACCTCTATGGGTAATTGTGCCATTTCACCAATCTATTTATCTATGTATGTAATATTCATGCATCTTGGTTAGCATGAATCCAAATTAATTGTACTTGCCTTTATATTGAATTCTATATGGAAAACGTGAGGTAAACGGAAAAATAATTTGTTGCACCTTACTAGTTAAGAAACATGATTAATATTATATGGAAATTATTATGCATAAAAAGAAAAATAATCTTTTCCATTAACCTAATATCTTCTATATAAAACTCAATATAAATGGGTGCAACTAATTTGGATTTTGGGGGGCAATAGAGTAAACCCAAGATACATGAATATTTCATATCCCAAACTTATCGTGCAAAACAATAAAGTTCATACTATAAGTTTGGTTTTCATTTATTTATTTTCAAGTGTTTTTAGGAGTGATAGTTTTGAATTTGTACCCAGTTAGCTGTTGGTTTTGTCTTTGATGTAATTGAACTAGATTCAAGGCAACTATGACAATAAAAAGGAGTTATAAAAAAGTTATTTTTTAGAGTGATTCTCTCCAGATCGTTTCAGCTCTTTGGAGTACTTGTATTAATAGATCCAGAATGGGACATGTGGTGGAGGATGCAAAGAATCTGATGGCTGAGGTTACTTGGGAAGGTTTTTACTCATGTCCACCATATTGCGAATGGGATGGCTCCTTCTACAGTCTTTGTCCTTTGCTCTCTCTCTTTTCCCGTTAGGTAACAAATTTATATCTCCTTTTATTCAATGTTAAACAAAATGTAGTACTCCTAGTATTTTTCATAATAAAAATAAATTGTCGAACTATTTGATGTGAACAAAAATAGAAAAAGATGAACATATTCAATTGGTTGACATCACTTCTGAATTTTGATGACATACCAAAATATCTACCATATCATAAAAAACTGAATTTTGATGAACATATTCTTTCATTAAAAAAACTGGATCACTCTAGGAACGAGTGAAGTAGATGATAGTTTTCTTCCACGAAATGCACGATTGTGAGGGAGTCTCAAAAGTGGTCTTATATTCTTTCATGTAAACTTTTAACTTCCCCAATATCTCACATTTACTTCTTTCTTGTTCTTACTTAATGTCTATTGCATAATGATGTTGCTTGTAATGATATTATAAAGGGGAGAATCATGAGGTAAAGTGTATAAAATAAGGATCCTACAGCATACTTCCGTTTGCAACAATATATAAAATGTAAAATCACACAATACATGTAAGCATTTAAATAGTGAACTTTATATGTCAAGTTATAGCACAATTAGTATGACGATAAATATTTTTCCCTTTTTTTTATATATAAAAAAAAAAGGTTTATGGGGAGATTGGCTACTCTCACCACTGGTGCCAAGACATACCCACAATCTCGAGTCGAAAAAATTTATGCGTGGCACCCAACTACCAGCAACAAGAAAAGATATATTTTTTTTAATAGAGAGGAAAATGAATTTTCACGCGCATTTTAGGCCTTGGGGATTAAGTAACTAGGAAACCAAAGGCTTTCGTCTCTTGCCTGCCCTCTACTTTTTGTCCCAACTTTGGTCAATCTTTATGCACCTTGACGAAGCAACTAGGAAACCTCTAGTTTCAGGCTTTCAGAATTTTCAAAATAAATGAACTGGCTTTTCTCTTCTATAGCGTGCGAACACCAATTTGGTTTACGTCCTTGAAAAAGACTTAAATGCCCCCAATATTGCTCTTAAATTAATTTTCATGTCTGACTATTTCTTTTTCTTTTTTATTTCGAAGGGTAGAATCATTTTGCCCAAAATAAAGGGTAGAATCATTATCTATATTTAAAACAAAATTGTTTGGCGCTGGCCTTATAAGGAGGAGGTAGGTGTCCTTAACATGTCACGCCATGTCTAGGGCTCGTCAATGGGCCGGGCCGGGCTAGGCCTGGCCCAAATTTAACGGGCTTGGGCCGGGTCGGGCCGGGCTTTAAAGAGGAGAGAGAAAATATCGGGCCGGGCCGGGCCGGGTTTTTTTAGAAAATTCAAAGCCCAAGCCCGACTCATAGGTCGGGCTTGAGAAAGTCCATTGGGCCGGGCTGGGCTAAGCCCAACGGGCCGGGCCGAAACGGGCCTACTTCATTCGAAAAAAATCATAAACTTAATTATAAGGCATTTTAGGAAACAAAGTATTATTTTTGAGGTTATTACATAATTAGACCGTAATACGTTTTAAGAAATAATTTTAAAAAATAATAAGTATCAAAAAGATATTTTTTTTAAAGGATGGTATAAATAAATATGTAAATGTTTGGTGATGTGTTCAAGAAAAATATTATTATATTTGGTGGTAGTAGTACGATTATGTTTCGTGATATGATTATATTTAGTGATATGATATATTGTTCATCTTATTTATATATATATATATATATATATATATAATTGTTGTATAAATAATTGACACAAATTAATGTGCTAATCATCCAATTATAAATTAGGAATGAGTAAAGAAAAGTAAATGAAATGAAACAAATTATATATGTGATTTAAGTGATATAATCCTAATCCTAAACTCTTATTTATACATAATTATATATGTATGCGGGCCTAACGGGCCGGGCTTTTGTGTGGGTCGGGCCGGGCTTTCTTGGGCTTAATCGGGCCGGGCCTATGGGCCGGGCCGGGCTTCAAACACCCAAGCCCAAGCCTAGCCCAGCCCAAGGCGGGCCGGGCCATCTCAAAGCCCATAACGGGCCGGGCCGGGCTTTTTTCCAATGGGCCGGGCGGGCCCCCATCGGCCCATGAGCCCGCGGGCCAAATGATGAGGCCTAGCCATGTCATTACATTAAGTGCTCTTAATGAGGTATAAGACGATTAAGCAAAGGGTAATGAAATTCAATACCCTATAACCTAAGACCATGTGCATTAGGTGAGTGTTATTCAACCAAGGTTGGGGCGAACAAGGAAAAATTAGCATCAGTCGTCCACAGAAAACTCATAATCGTGTTCGAATAATAAGTGAAATTTATGAAACTAAGACATATTTCTTATTACAAAGAATCTATTTCTTTCTACTTGAAAAAGAAAAAAGGTATCTTAACATATCATTATTATACCCTCAACCCATTCCACGGTGTGTCCTGTGAGCATGATTTTGTGGCCTTGGTTAACGCCTTTATTAAATAGCAAGGTGATTGGGAAGTAGTGCAATACACACGAAGATAAAAGGACTATCCAATGAAGATGGGCAATAATGGACCTTGACGCATTTGCCACAAATTTATTTATTTATTTTTTTTCAAATTGTTTCTTAAACTTTAGTATCTTTTATTTGGGCATATAAATATATAAGTAATTTTTGGGTATAATAGGCATATTCCCACATAATGTTATTAAATTCAACAATGTAATAACACGATTATACTAATGTATCAACCATGTCGTTCATCCATATTTTAATATGTGAATTAGTAATACAACGTGATAATGTGATCATCACACTAAAAAGTTTCTCCAAATATATAAAATGCAAGTGCTAAATATCAAAATTTTGATGTTCTCACCCAAATTAGCACAAAGTTTACCTATATTTTTTGTACTTGTACTCGACTTATGACCCAAATTGCATATTTTAAACAAAATTAACAATGTAATTTTGGAGTTAAGATTTAGAAATTAAAATTTTATTTTAGAAATTGATTAAACAAAAACCTAATTATAATTTTTTTTTAAACAATAATATATTATATTTTAATACATCACAACGCTAATCAAACATGAAAATTATGAAAATGCCCTTTGGTAAAATCGATCAGAAAGAGGACACGTGGCGGAATATAGTCCCTGTTACTACGTCACAGGCACTATACACAAAATTCCGACATTATAGGGTGCTTTTATAATACAATACAAACAATCACCTTCTTCATTCCCTCCTCGGTTTCTCCTTCTTCTTCTTCACAATCTCCACTTCGTCTTCTTCTTGCCGTTCCCTTTCTCCCTCTGTCTCTCCGGCAAAGATCTTACTTCTCGCTGCAATTTCTCGCCGGAACAAGCATATCTATCCAATTTCTCGCGATTCATTCTGAGTCCCAGCCATGAATCCCGAATAGTAAGTTCAATCCGATGATTCTTCTAATTATATTTTTTTTATTCCGCCGATTGAATTTGATTGTATATGCGATGCGATGATTTTAGAACCGCAATTATATTGTAGGCTGTAATTTAAATTTAATTTAGTTTAATTTTCTGCTTTTTTTTTTCGTTTGAATTGAGGGCTTTTGAGTATAGATCTAGATGCCTGGCAATCAGATCCGTTGAAATTTTTTCTTAGATTCATAATTTATGTGAATTTTAGGGCTCGTAATTTGAAAGAATTCATACCCGAAGTGGTTGGATCGGTGCTGTTTATGTTTGATTTTGATTGCTGTATAGAGTATAGTAATTCCGATCAGTTAATTACTGTGAATTTTATGCAGTGACTATTTGTTCAAGCTTTTGTTGATTGGAGATTCTGGTGTCGGCAAGTCATGTCTACTTCTGCGGTTTGCTGTAAGTGGGAGACAATTAGGCATCGAATTCTTCTTCTTTTTTTTCCCGGTGTTTGTTAGTCATAAAGATAATTGAGATTTGGGGTTCCTGATTGATATATTTTGTTTTTGCAAACCAGGATGATTCATACTTGGATAGCTACATCAGCACAATTGGAGTTGACTTTGTAAGCATTTCTTGCGCTGGGTTTCTACACCGTTGTTTCACTTGATAAACTCTCACTAATATATGTGATCTCTATTTTGTATTTTAGAAAATTCGCACTGTGGAGCAGGATGGGAAGACTATCAAACTCCAAATTGTGAGTATATATGAATTGGCTTACTAGATTTTTGCGTGGTAGATTGAGATCCGTTCTAGAAAAGCTGTGTGGATGTAGTTGGTAGCTCTTTTGAACTAGTTCACATGAATTTTTAAACATGTAAACCTGTCGCATCTTGCCTTTTTCTGTTCTTAATTGCTAATTGATGTTGCTTTTGGGATGTGCAGTGGGACACTGCTGGCCAAGAACGTTTTAGGACAATCACTAGCAGCTACTACCGTGGGGCTCATGGAATCATTGTAAGTGTGTTGTTCCCTATTTATTTGTTGTGCCTGTTATTTTTCCTGAGTTTTCCTCTTGATGTAAGATATAAGTCTCATGCCCTTGGGTTTCTTGCAGGTTGTTTATGATGTCACAGACCAAGAGAGCTTTAACAATGTTAAGCAATGGTTGAATGAAATCGACCGATATGCAAGTGAAAATGTGAACAAGCTTCTAGTGGGAAACAAGTGCGATCTCACGGCAAATAAAGTTGTGTCCTACGAGACCGCCAAGGTGAATATTGATGAACCTGTTCTAGTTTTTTGGCATTGTATATCTTGGAGATGCAAGGTATAATGATGGAATTTGTTGTTTCTTTTTAGGCATTTGCTGATGAAATCGGAATCCCTTTCATGGAAACCAGTGCTAAGAGTTCCACTAATGTGGAGCAAGCCTTCATGGCCATGGCTGCTGAGATCAAGAACAGGTACTTTCTTGCATTTGTGTTTTTGTGTCGTTGTGTGGTATTAATTGCACCATTCTAGATGATCAGCTTCTCACACATGTTTTGAATTTTATCTGCAGGATGGCAAGCCAACCGATGAACAATGCCAGGCCTCCAACAGTGCAGATTCGGGGACAGCCTGTCAACCAAAAGTCTGGTTGCTGCTCTTCTTAGATGGGGAAAAATAATTGTTGGGGGGCAATGATGTTTATCGGTGTTGTTCTTCGTGGCATGTAAAACTAGTTGTTTTATCTTAACGCTTTGATATGAAGATGATTGTTGGTCACGCTCCTTTGTTGTCGGTTATCAGCTCAGCACTTTGTTAAAGATTCCATTCTTTTCAATGTATTTGTTTTCAAAAACTTTGTACAAATTAGGAATACTGGTGAATAGCAGTATTTGCCTTGTTCTGTTCCCCTAATTCTTGTCGGATGCAGGATGTCCTATTCCACTGTTTCAACCACTACTGTGCGATGGATATAAGTTTAGTAGGTCATTGAATAATTTGGGATCTATCTTAATTCTCACCTCTGTTGTTCACAAAATATTTTATATGCCATAATGAATTCTTAAAAAGTGCTTCCAGGGAAAGCACTGATTTGCATGCTTCCTAGCTAGCCAGGTATGAAGTGGCCCTCCCACTCTTTTAAAACCTTTTTAATACTTGTGGAAAAATATGATACCATACCCAAAAAAAATTACACAGTATAGTGTTGGCTCCCCATTTAAGATGATTAATCTATTTACAATTAAGTTTAGATTTTGGCCCCTTCCCCCTAAATCTCAGAATCGTAGCTCCACCACTGATCGGAACACTGCCGGGAAAGTTTTGAATGGAGATCGTGTTTTGCATATTCACCAGTAATCTCCACAAGAACAAACCCCACCTTTGAAATGATGGAACCTTGTAGTATCTCTAACAATGATTTCCCTTTTCTCAATAGCTGATATGTACTTGGTAGCATGATGGCAATCCCCGCAAACTCTCAAGTTTTTGAAAATGCGAATCGGGGTCCCTACCGGCACTTTTATAAGCCCGAAAGCAATTGCTAGTTTTTCACTGTGCCATAACAAAAGCTGCTGTTTCTGCTCTTCTCCAACATCATGTAAGGCAAAATTAAGATCTGGAACATAGCCTGCCAACTTCATTTTTCGATCCAGTTCAAACAGTTTTTCATGTATAGATGCCAATTCTGGGTGAGCCCTGTCACCTGATCTGAATTCATGCACCACACTCTTCACCTCAATCCAACTGTACCCTGGTGTCTTCACTACCCGGTTTTTTTTCATCGATTGCCTTACCTTCGCAACATGGTCCCATCTGTTGGTTGCAGCATAAACATTAGCAAGTTGAACATAACCAGCTGCACTCGTTGGATCAAGATCAAGCAATTTCTTGGCAGCAAACTCAGCTAGCTCTAAGTTCTTGTGGATCCGGCAGGCACCCAAAAGAGTTCCAAATATGGCAGAATGTGGTTCGAACGGCATTTCCTTTATCAAATTCGCAGCTTCAACTAGCCTACCAGCTCGACCAAGAAGGTCTACCATACACGTATAGTGGTCCGGCTTAGCTGCAACTCCATAATCCCTTGCCATTGAATTAAAATACTGTACTCCAAGATCTACCAACCCTGCATGGTTGCAAGCCATTAAGACTGCCACAAATGTGATCCAATCTGGCTTTGCTCCCTCATTCCTCATCCGGTCAAACAAATCGAGAGCTTTGAGACCTGCTCCATGTTGAGCATAACCAGCAATCATAGCATTCCAAGTAACAACGTCTTTTCGTGCCATCTCAATAAACAACTTCCAAGCATCCCCCAAATTCCCACACTTACAATACATGCTAACCAAAGAGGTCGCTGCAGTTGTATCATTATATAATTCAAATTTATAAATCAGTTGATGTACCTGTTTACCCATCTGCAATGCAGAGAGGTTACTGCAACCCAGTAGAACACTACACAAACTTGACGGGTTCGGTCTAACCCCATATCCGACCATTGACCTAAAAAGCTTTAAACCCTCTTCAGCTTGACAATTTTCAACATAACCAGAAATCATAGTATTCCAAGTTACTAAATTTTTCATAGGCATCTCTCTGAATAATTTCTCGGCTAATTCAATCTTCCCAAACTTCATGTACCCTGTAACCATAGCAGTCCATGCCACGACACTCTTAACCGGTGCCACCTCAAACAACTCCACGGCCATGTCCAAATCCCCACATTTCACATAACCGGAAATCATTGCACTCCATGAGACACTATTCTTCTCTGGCATCACCAAAAATAACTCATGTGCTTCTCTCATCTTCCCATTTTGAGCAAACCCTGATAACATAGTATTCCAAGAAGCCGTGTCCTTGACAGGCATCTTGCGAAAGAATTCCAAAGCAGCATCAACATCAAAATTGTGTAAATAACAAGCCAACATAATATTATATGAACAAGAGTCTGGTTCAGGACATTTCTCAAACACCTCGCAGGCTTCTTTCATCTTCCCAGGCATTTTCGCATACCCGGATAAAATTGAATTCCAAGTAACTGTTGTCCTAACTGTCATCTTTTCAAACACCCTACGAGCAGAATCTAAATCCCCGGCTCGAATATAACTTGTGATCAACTTATTTGACTTAATGATATTGCCAAATTCACGTTGATCAAACGGTTTAGATTCATTGCAAAATTGAGTGGGTGTGCTCTTCAAGGCCATGTTACCGGTGGAAACCAAGTGAGTTTCTTGTTGTGGGCGAGAGGGAAAGTTGACGGGAACAGCTTCTCTGTTTTGATTGGCATATGGGGTTTGGATTGTGAAGGAGGAGAGGGCAGAGTTTTGGTGTGTGGAATGTGGGAAAATTTTAAGCACCAATGTTGGTGGTTTTCTTGTATTTCTAAGATTTGTCATGGATGGTGGAGAGAGAAGCAAAAATTCAATTTGTTACAGCTTCTCCAAGATTTTAAGCTGAGCATGATTTCATATGCAAGAAGTTCAATTTCTAGTTCTCCTAGGAATTTGAATTCCGGAGAGTCGATGCTTTGATTCAGAAGAGAGAAGAGAGAAGAGAGGAGAGAGAGAGGAAAAACAAAACAAAAAAATATTAGAAATTCCGTTGCCGGGACTTGAACCCGGGTCTTTCGGGTGAGAGCCGAATATCCTGACCAACTAGACTACAACGGATTTGTGTTAATTTTGTAATGCCTTTCTTATTTAACAAATAAATTATGTAGGAAACTAAAACTTAAATGTTAAGATGACAAAAAATCTTGCTCCAACAGCTTTATCTATATCATATATTCCCTCAAACTATCACATAAAAATGAGATCTTAATAGATAATTAGATAATAATATTTATCAATAATTAAATTATCGTAGGTGTAATTTTATGTTACATTCAATGAATCGGTGCGTTTTTTTATCAAGGGTTGGATTTTGTTTTATTAATCTTTTAATTCAATGGCTAAAAACTGCAATATACCGGTGAAAGAGAAAGAAAAAGAGAATCATACATATATAGATTACATCGATACGATGACTGTATTAAATAAGTACTGCGTGCCACCAACTACAACGTATTAGCCAATTACAGCTTATTATCATATTGCGTGTGCCTTAGCATACATGTGCCCAATATTGGGTCAACTATGTTTCCAAAAGTACCAATATTTAAGAGCTTGATTAATACTCGAAAAGGTTGGAACTATCAAAACTCAAAACAAAATCATGTGACAAATAAGCTTTGTTTGCCTCATTCAAATCTTGGAGTTGGACTTATGGGGCAATTTCTTAACAAAAATGATAGAATTGTACCATTCTTAACTAGTGTTTGTTGCTTCTTGGTGTTCACTTGATTTCTATCAAAACCAAATAAAAGGCCGAAATAAAAAGTAAACAATATTTATTATTTTGGCTTCCTCCAACATTTCTATGCACAAGGATGTGTGTCATTTTCGTGTGGAAATAAAGGCCCCCTATGTATTGGCTAATTACTCAACACATATTAAGATTAAAGTTCGTGCAAAAATCATACTTTATTGTTAAAGAGTTTGGGCATTGAACGATTTGTTCAGTTTGGAATTTCACATTTGATTTCACTTCAGTATTCGGCATTTAGTATAAAAAAGGAAATGACACAAATTATTCATTTCAATTACACGCCATGCGAGAATTGTGATTAGTAGCAAAACTGTGAATCATATAATAAGGGCTTATTTATTGAAATACGTCAATGATTTTCAAATAGTTTCAATTTGCCCCCTAACGTTTTAAATGACTCAATCTTCCGATGAACTTCCATTTCATGACCAAGGTTATCCCATTTCATTAGTTTTCTCGTATAAAATCGTTAAATCAGCTGACGTGACATGCGTAATTTTAAAATAAATATTTTATCTTTGAAGAAATTATTTTACTTGTTTAAAAATAAATTAACTTTTTTAAAATTTAAAATAAAATAAAACTTAAAAACCCAGCATCCCCTTCCAACCCCTTTCTCTTCCCGATCGTTGCTACTCGCCACAGCAGTCGGTCTTGGCATCAACGTCGACCACTATCCTCCATCCTCCACGTCACCTTCCCCTCCATCTTCATCGGCATCGTCTCTGTCCTTCTCACTAGCTCTCTCCTCCATTCCCTGTTCTCTCTCCAATCACTCCTCCTCTATCATCATCATCACCCACACATCCCTTCCTCTTTTCCTCTTCAATCACTCATCCTTCATCACCCACGCACTAGGTATTGATTTCTCTCCCTTTTTATTTTTAATTTTATTGAGTAATTGAATGGGGAGTTCTAGATTTTTTGGGAATGGTGGACTTCGGGTTGGCTTCAGTTATGTGGAAGAAAAGAGTACAGTTTTGGATTGGCTTAGGTGTTCAGAGGGAAAAAAAAACTTACTTGTAACGGGATAGCACTATTTTGCTATATTCAGCCAGTAACATAATAACACGTGGAAAAAATATCTAACATGTTAACTCCTCAAAATATCATAGTGAGCCGAGCCCATCACAAGTCACCACGTGGCCATAACTCGTCTCGATGAACTAGGCACCGACCCGACCAAAGCGATGAAGGTTTCCCATGTTTTAAATGATGAACGGTAAATCAGTGCTTGGGCCGAACAACTACCAAGCTGACCATTGTAGAGCCATGTGTGACCCGAAGTACTAAAGCAAAACCTGACTATATACTTGTCAGATCAGTCACTCTATCTGCTTAGTAAAACAGCCCGGCAAGTGAGGGGATCATTTAATACACCTCCCATTCAACGCCAGGTGTCGCCATACCTTTCATTCTCCATTCTTATACGCTGATGATGGGAAGGGATCATTTAATACACCTCTCATCCTCGTTCACCCGTCACCTCGCCACCAGATCCCTATCCCAGAAGCATGGTAGCCATTTAATGACGCCCAGGCATGAGGATAAGGGAAAAAGATCTCCTCAAAATATCTTGGTCTCTCCCCTTATAAATACCCCACACCAATCTCTGGACAAAGGTAATAACAATTCTCACCAAGTAAACCCTACATACTTTATCTTCATCCTGGGACCTTACCTAATTTCACCATCGGAGGGGGCACTTCTGGGATTACCCCCAGTTCGCTCTAAGTGTGCAGATTCTCCACGGGATACATCCTAGTCCTTAGAGGAACGACACATCGCCTGGAGAAGGATACTTGGTTTACATAATATGTCATATGTTATTGGTCGGGAATAACAAAAAATGTTATCCCCGTTACATGTCGTTGGGAGGGGCTGCTCGGTGTTGTTGAAAATTTATTCCTTGTTTATTTTTATTTTATATATTTTTAACATTTTAATTAATTTCGAGTATTTTTTATTTTTTAATAGTTAAATTTAGAAAATTATCCATGCCATGTCAGCTGATTTAACAATTTTTATCTAAAAATTAATAAATAGGGAAACTTTGGTCATGGAATGAAAGTTCTGAGGGGAGATTAATTCATTCAAAACATCAGGCAAACTGAGACTATTTAGAAAATCAAGGGGCATTTCAATAAATATCAAGATCAGGAATCGTCACTCGTCAGGCCTAAATATCAAGAATGAAAATCTTATATTCATCTTTCGGTTTGCAATACAATAAATAAGTGGATTTTTAAATCAAATACTGCAGGAAACATTTGATGCTATGTAGTGTTTTAAATAAATAAAAAGTACCAGAGACATGAGAATTGATCTCCCATAAATTATTCTTTTGCAAACCAAACACTTACAAGTCGACTACCAGAAAATGAAAATTTCATTGCTTCGGCAAAACTTGTTGAATCTCATTCAGAGTTAAATATGCAATAGATTGACCTTAGGTATACCATTAATAAAAAGGAGATTCACTATTATACCTAATATAGAAGCTCAAATTATATAAAAATACCATATATGAAATGAACTTTAGAAACATACCCAAAATTCATTTGCAATATAACAAAAAGTCTTTTAACTTCTTTTAAATTACAAAACTACCATTAATTTCTTAAAACAAACCCAATTCAAAACCCTCATAAAAAAAAACCCAAAACACTCAATAGACCATCAAAATAATTTAATAATCAAAATTAAATTCAATATGGTCAGCTGTCATTTTTGAGATTTTTTTTTATGAGTTTGTTTATAGAAATTAAATGATATAAGGTTTATTTATAATTTTAATGCTAAGAATGAATATGACTAAATATCTCTTAACAAAACTGTAAATTCTCGTATTGATCTTAGATCACAAACCATCTAATTCTTAGTCAAGTGGAAGGGCAAGGTACTCAAAAGTGCTTCCGGAAAAAGAACTTCGAACTGTAAGTGCAAGTTAAAGCACATTTATGGTATAAAGCACTTTTAAAAATTTTAGCAGTTCCAGAGGTAATCTCAAAAGAGAACCTGTTAGCAGTTAAGAGGACTAGTCATTTTTAGGTCAAAACAGCCGGAAATACTAGTTACATAACACTCACCTAGTTGATGCCATTTGAGGCTTTGACAAGCAGGCAGTCAACGCATCCTTCGCTCTTTTAAGGAAGAAAAACAAATAAACAATCCTTCTGACAAGACTTACAAATATTTAAAGACTAAAGAAAGACTAATTAATAATCAAGTAAAGCCAACAGTAGAATTCAAAAACACTTGACTCTGTTCCAACCTATTCCAACTCAAAACTGATGCATGATTCGTTTGTCCAAGTCATAAAAATTTACACTCCAAAAAAGCATAGATAATCAAAATAGTTCTTAATATTCCTGTGGACAGCCTGCCACTCACTAATGATATCACATAAAACCCACATGGATTAAATGGATAGAGCTGGAAGAAGTGGAGACTATCATTTACCACCCAGAGTCGGGAACTGCCCAGGGTCTTCAATGGAGGGTGCTGCACTGCCTGAGTAACCTCCGGGTCCACCACCGTATCCACCTCGTGGACCACGGCCACGGCCTCGACCACGACCACCATAGTACCTCTCCCCTTCAGCTGGCTTCAGAAACTCATTTATGCTAACAGACTGCACAAAAATATGAATCACTCAGTCGAACAATCTCATCTCATCATAACATGTAGGATTAATAGAAATCCAAGAAATTATATCCGTTTAAATTATTACAAAACCATAAGAGGTTACTCCGAAAATAAGATAAATAAAAAAGATAACCAAGTACTGAGGAAGCATTAAAAGTTTCAGGACAAAGCAAGTGTAAGAGAACTAATATGTCCAAATTGACACAACGAAAAATGGATTGACTCTCCAATACCATTAAAATGAAAGCAGTAATCACCATTTAAAAATTCACTATAACCAGAAAAAAAGGTTAAAGATAAATCAGGTATACAAAGAAAAGGCAACCTTCTTGGCTCTCTCTTCTTTCTCAGCCGCCTCTTTGCGCTTATCCTTTTCAGAACCCTGACAATCAATGGCAAAGTAATTATACTAGCAAAATAAAATGAAATAGGATTAGTATATTCAAAGTGTGTCAGGACCCACCAGTTTGATAAAGATGTCATTGTTTTCCTTCTTGTTTGAAAGCTGCTGCATGGACTTCAAGTCTTTGTCCAAATCAACCTTTCTTTCCTCAGTCTTCAATGCAAGCAGAGCCTTCCTCTTCTCTTCAAGCACCTTCTCATACTCTTCTAAAGTCATCTCCTATAATAATGTGAAACAATGACATCATTTTATGTAAGGATGAGCAGAAAATCCAATCTCATCAGTTAACTATATGGTATCGGGAAAAATCACAGTAATTATGTGAAAACAATATAATTCACCTTCTCCTCCAGCTCCTTCTCTTCCGACTCATTCACAGTATTCTCCTTGTTGGCATCAGCAGCCTCATTCTCTCCCAATTGCTTCTCAGCACCAACATTCTTCTCAATTTCAGTTCCAGGCTCTTCAGTCTCCCTTAATATAGCAAAAAAGTGTATATCAGTAAGCCTTATACCAGATAATGATAAATAAATGTGTCACAAAGTTCAAGACTGAAAATCAAAGAGGGATTAGAACATAATTACTTACTGAGCAATGTCATCGGTGGGTGTTCCCCAATTCCCACGACCAGCCCCATCACGTTTAAACTCACTTCTGATATTACAAATATTATCAATAACAGAAAGAAAACAGGAAGATTCCAGTGGTGAAAGCACATGAATATAAGGTGAATTAAATAACAAAAAGACTGAAGACTACTAACCCATGTCCTGTACCACTGCGGCGATCAAATACCCTCCGAGGGCGTTCCCCTTCTGCATCATCCCCATTGTTAAAACCACCACGACGCCCACCACGGAAGGAACCACGAGGCCCACCGTAGCCACCACGTCTTTCAGAAGGTTTCCCTGTATCTCCCTCTTCTGGTGCTCTGTACCCACCATAAACACCATTAGTGTTCTCATTGCTGATTGGATCTCGAGGAAATCCACCACCACCTCCACCACGTCCACGGCCAAACCCGCGTCCACCACCACGGCCCCCTCCACGGCCAGTTTCATACTTCCCTTCCCTCACTGCACATGATAACACCGATTGTTTGATACACATATTATATACAACATAAAATGTATAACATAACTTATGAGAAGACCAGAAAATCATACCAGCACCTTGACCAACCATCTTTCATTGACAAGAAAATCACATCAACATTATACATTGAAAATCTTATAAGTACTAAACTTCTGAATGTCTAATCATTAGAGATTAACATTATATATATATATATTTAAATTTCATCAACATTATATATCTAGTTCAAATATGAAAGCTGACACATCTAGAGCATAACTCTCCACAGATTTATTAGATTTCTTTTCACCAGTTCCACTGATTCAATCTCATTTGGTTCATGAAAAGTTACTGGAATTAAAAAAGAAAAAAGACAAAAAAGCTCTGATAGTGCATACGTATCATTCAGTTCCAAAAATAGATATCAAATTGTATAACCCCAAAAAACCAAACTGTAAGAATATGCACCACCACACACAGTGAACACTTAACACCAAATCTGATCAAATATACTCAATAGTAGTACCAAATACACCAAAAAGCAATAACTTATCCAAATAACATCTTCCAACTTCAACACAAAACATAATGAATAAACAGCAAGTCATAAAGATTTTCTTGACGGTACCCAACCAAGAAATGAAACTCAGACAACAGATACAATGATGCCCAAATTTTCATTTTCATTTCCAGAAAACCCAACAGGTATTTCAGCAGACAAAATCAAGAAATGAACTGTAGAAGCAAAGAAATGAATCGAAAACTCACCAGCTTGAGTAGGAGGAAGTGGCTTGGAAGGAAGCTTAGCGGGCTGAGCAGGTTGGGCCTGCTGGGGCTTCTTGGGCTGAGGCGGAGGCAGCTTCTGCCGCTGAGCAGCGAGAAGTTGACTTGGGTCCTCGTTGTCGTCATCACCCAAGAGATCGAAAGGGTTCGCGGTTGCCATTTCTGCAGCTCCGAAAAGTCCGATTCAATACCCTAGAAATACACCGACTTTGAAAAGCAACCACGAAACCCTTCACAGATTATTCGACGCCATGAATCAGAGATTGGTGGGAGTTGGGTTTAGAGTACGTTTGGGGGCAGAGAAAATTGCAGAGAAAGTTTTGTGAAAGTGTTGCTGTTGTGGCTACTGAAAACCCTAACCAATGCGGCACAGAGAAATATAAGAGTGACAAAACCTGATCTTAAAAACCCTAATGGGGAATGTTAGGCTGTGGCCGGGTGTATTATAAGCCGCGTGTGATGGGTAAGTTGCCTTGTTTGGGAGCTTGGGGAATTTGGACATATTTGGAGATGAGGCAAATGAAGAAAGGGCCCAATGGCAATGACCAGCGTCCACTTTCAACATTTGTAGAAATTTCATGGACTTGAGTTGGTTTGGAGCGGTGATGATGGGCGGTTCAATCCAACATAAGGATATAGTCATTTACGCCTTAATCTGGTTTGATATGGTTTAGGGTTCAACCTTGCACCAATTTCATCTTTGGGTTCAAATGGTCAAAGCATAAATTACCAACAAAAATAAATGGTCAAAGCATAAGCGAGTATCATGATACTTCTCTTCCTAAAATTGAAAATTCAACTCATACTTTGTTGTTGATTAAAACATATAATTGCGAATATCATCTCACATTTCATTCAAATTTAATTTAAAAATATATGTAAACTGTTGTCATCTAGTAATTGTGTCATATAAGTTGTATCTTTTTTCTGCCATTTACAACTTGTGATTTTACAATATATATAGTTGTAAAAAGAAATGTTTTATTTCGTGCTTGCTGCTAGTTCCTTCAAACATATATATGTATGCCAACCAAGTACAAATCAAATAAGCAACCAAAAAGAAAGGCAATCCGTTTTTTGGGGATTTGCATTTAGAGCCTCATTCAACTTTGCTAATTTTGTGAGATATTGAAGCAAATTAAAATGTTACACCAAATAAATTGTTGTTGTTTATATTCATTCTTGAGAATATGCTATATGTATTGAAGCAAATTGTTGTAACCAATCGTATGTATTTGATGCCCCTTATGTTAAAGAAGATCACACAAAATAAGCAGTCAATATTGCAGATTGATTCTTTGTTATTTAATTACTTGTTTTGTATTTGGTTAGTCATAATGGTAGGAAATAGAATAGAAAATTCATGTACAATTCTATTATAAAGCTGTAACTCTTGTTTTGTGAATAAACAATGAAATTAATTCTTCCACATTTGGTTTCTCTTGATGGTATCAGAGCAACGATCTGAATAAACCTAACCAAACACAAACATCACCCTAGCAACATAGCCATGGGTGACAACACCGAAAAGAAGTCAACCGACACAGGCATGCCTTCAAAGCCAAAATGGGAAAACCCCAACCACCCACTCTACCTTCATCATACTTACCAACCCAGCGTAATCCTTGTCCTGCAGCCTTTGGTAGAAGATAACTACATCACATGGGTTCAGTCCATGAGCATAGCCTTAACGGTCAAGAACAAGATTGACTTCGTTGATGGGTCAATCAAAGAACCAAGTGGGGATAAACCTGATGAATTGCAGCAATGAAAGCGCTGCAACAATTTAGCCAAGACATGGCTATTGGGGTCGATGTCGAAGGAAATTGCTGGCAGCGTCATTCACTGCAAAGACGTGAGCCAGATGTGGCTTGATCTCCAAGAGAGATTTTCTCATGTGAATAGCGTTAAGCTTTTCCATATCGAGAATGAAATCCATGATTGCGTACAAGGCAGCATGACTGTGAGTTCCTATTTTACTAAACTTAAGAGCCTTTGGGATGAACGAGACGCGTTGTGCTCAATTCCGGCGTGTAGCTACAGAACAACCAAGGAGATTGCTTCATACATAGAGACTCAAAAAACAATGAAATTTCTCATGGGTCTAAACGACTCATATGTCACTGTTCGTAGTAACACACTCTTATTGGAACCATTACCCATGGTAAACAAAGCGTATTCGCTGGTCCTTCGACATGAAAGGCAGGCAGAGATTTCTAATGAGAAAACCTCTACCCAACCAGAAGTAGCCGTGTTTGCCGTAAATAACCCAAGTCGTGAGTCTGAATCAGAAGAGAGGGGCCTTCGGTGTGCAAAGTGCAACTAGACGAATCACAGCACCAAGAATTGTCGTGCTCATCTCAAAAGCACCTTTTGTGGCTCGAAAGGTCCAAGAAAGCTGCGGCATTAGAGGTTGATGAGTAAGGTAGTCTTTCAAAGGGCAACCAAGTTGCATCCTATGCATCTGACACAAATGGGACAATGTCCAATTTCCCTTTTTCATAGGAGGAATGTAAACAGATTCTCCACATGTTGAGCAAGAAAAAATTCTCTACGGCCAATCAAGTTGGTAATTCTTCCAATCACAAAGAACTTTCAGGTAAAGCTTTTTCCCTCACTTATAATGGCAAGAAGAACACTTGGATTTTGGATAGTGATGCTACGGATCATATGGTTTGTAGCCCTGATTTGCTTACACACTCAAAGATGGTTGAAAATCATACTGTTGAATTACCAAATGGTTCCTTTGCTCAAGTCACCCATATTGGACAGATTGTTTTCTCTCCCAATTTCATTCTAAATAACGTCTTATGCGTACCACTTTTTCGACTTAATCTAATTTCCATTAGCAAGTTAGCTTCAGATTCCTCTTGTATCACAGTGTTTCTAAGCCAATTTTGTGTTATACAGGACCTGCGCTCGGGGAAGATGATTGGGACGAGATTTGAGCAGGAGGGACTCTACTATCTCGATCAAGCAAAGAAATGAACATGCAACTCCGTTCAAACTCTAGCCTCTGGTCTTTGGCATCAACGCCTCGGACATCCTTCAAAGAAAGTTTTTCAATTATTTTCCTTTTCCAAAAATAAATCTTGTGATACAGACAAGTGCCTAATTTGCCCATTAGCCAAACAAACAAGGTCACCGTTTCCATTAAGTTTCATTTTCCAGTAAAGTATGTTTTGATTTGATACATGTTGATATTTAGAGTGGTTATAAAATTGCTTCTCTTTCTGGTGCAAAATATTTTCTCACTATCGTAGATGATTTTACTCTGAGCACATGGGTTTATTTGATGAAACATAAATTTGATACAAGGGATCTTCTAGTTAAATTCATTCACATGGTTGAGACTCAATTCAATTCTAAGGTCAAAATAGTGCGTAGTGACAATGGTCCTGAGTTCAAACATGAAAATTTTTATGCCCTCAAAGGCATTGTTCATCAATCTAGTTGTGTCAACACACCACAACAATGGTGTTGCTAAGTGCAAACATAGGCATTTGCTCAATGTGGCACGAGCCTTGCTTATTCAAGCCGGGCTTCCTAGACAGTTTTTGGGAGATGCAATTCTTGCTTCAGCATATCTCATAAATAGAACACCAACCCCTCTTCTTCATGGTAAAACATCATATGAGAAATTGTTTCATCAAGCTCCTAATTATTCTCACTTAAGAGTATTTGGTTGTTTATGTTTTGTCTCCACCAACACACAAAAACCTTCAAATTTTGACCCTCGTGCCACTCGTTGTATTTTTTTTTTTGATACCCTTATGGTCAGAAAGGGTATTATGTGTTTGATCCCATCCTCAAAAAGGTTTTTATCTCACGAGATGTTACTTTCTTTGAAGAAATATTCCCATTTCAAAATCATGCTCATTTCGCTGCACCACATTCATTTTCACAACCTCATGCCCCCCTTTTGACGTTTGATGTTGACTCTTTCCCAGAGGCACATCTTCAGCCCACATATTAGAAGAGATTTCCTCTTGCCCAACACCACAAGAAGACATGATCACCACCCCCACCTTCCGTAACCCCATCATCTGATACTACAAACAATGTCATCACTTCATCTTCACCGTCACTCACATCTTCTTCTTCTTCAATATCACCACCATTACGACGTGGTGTAAGTCAAACCAAGCCACCATCATTTTTGCAGGACTTTCATGTCGAGGCAGCCTTCCCATACAGACCCGTACCTTCATCTTCTACGAACGTGGTCAACTCTTCAGGTACTGCTCATTCTCTTTCACAATTTTTGTCCTATGATCGGCTTTCTTCTGCTCATAAATCTTTCACCATTCACCTCACTCTTCTTAAAGAACTCACAAGTTTTTCACAAGCAATTACAGATCCAAAGTGGTAAGATGCCATGCAACATGAAATTGCAGCTCTCCAAGCCAACAAAACGTGGACTCCCATGCCCTTGCCATCTCATAAATGCCCTATTGGATGCAAGTGGGTTTACAAAATCAAGTTAAAACCAAACGAGACTGTCGAGCAGTACAAAGCTCAGTTAGTGGCGAAAAGGTATAGTCAATAGAAGGTGTTGATTACAGAGAAACATTTGCCCCTGTGGCGAAATTGGTGACCGTTCGTGTGCTTCTTAGCATTGCAGCCTTACAAGGATGGCACTTACACCAGCTAGACGTAAACAATGCGTTCTTGCACGGTGATCTTGATGAGGATGTCTACATGACCTTGCCTCTTAGTTTCGGATGAAAGGGGGAGACTCGTGTGTGTAAATTAAACAAATCCTTGGATGGACAAAAGCAAGCCTCGAGACAATGGTTTCTCAAACTGTCAACTGCTCTCAAAGCTGCTGGATTTCATCAATCATTGTCAGACTACTCATTGTTCATCAGAAATCGTCAAGGTAGCTTCATAGCGTTACTTGTTTATGTTGATGATGTGATATTGGCAGGCAACAACTTGCAGGACATTGAGGACACTAAGCAATTTCTTTCCAAGAGATTTAAGCTCAAAAACTTGAGTCAACTTAAATATTTCTTGGGGATTGTGCAAGGTCAAAACATGGTATTACTTTGTGTCAACGAAAATATGCGTTGGAAATATTGGATGATGTCGGGTTCCTAGGTGCTAAACCTTCACGGTTTCCTGTGGAACAAAATTTGTCATTAACACAGACAAATGGGAGGCTACTGAATGATCCATCTTCATACAAAAGGCTTGTAGGTAAGTTAATTTATTTGACCATCACAAGACCTGATCTAGTTTATGCAGTTCATGTATTAAGTCAATTCATGGATAAACCCCGGCAACCACACCTTGAAGCAGCGCATAAGGTTCTTAGATACACCAAGCAAACGCTTAGGCAAGGAATTCTCTTACCCTCCACAGGTTTATTACAATTACATGCATTTTGTGATGCCGATTTGGCTCGATGTGCTGATACAAGAAGGTCGATGACTGGTTATTGCATTATACTAGGCCAAGCACCAATTTCTTGGAAAACGAAGAAGCAAAGCACTGTATCTCGATCAAGTACAGAGGCGCAGTATCATTCTATGGCTACCACTTATTGTGAGATTACATGGTTGAAGAACATCTTAAAGGATTTGAGAGTAAATCACACACAACCAATTATACTCTTATGTGACAATCAAGCTGTTATGCATATTGCTTCCAATCCGGTATTCCATGAATGAACGAAGCATATAGAGATAGATTGTCACCTAGTGCGTGATAAGATTCAAGAAGGGATGATACGAACAGCTTACATATGAATCATGAATCAACCGACTGATTTGTTCACTAAGCCATTGAGTTCAACACAATTTGAAGTATTGCTTATTAAGTTGGGTGTCATAAACATACACTCCAATTTGAGGGGGAGTGTTAAAGAAGATCACACAAAATAAGCAGTCAATATTGCAAATTGATTCTTTGTTATTTACTTACTTGTTTTGTATTTGGTTAGTCGTAATTGTAAGAAATAGAATAGGAATGTCATGTACAATTCTATTATAAAGTTGTAACTCTTGTTCTATGAATAAACAATGAAATCAATTCTTCCACATTTGGTTTCTCTTGACCTTATTCATATCTAGATACTGATTATGGTACACAACTTTCATTATTCACACATCACATGTCGATTGGTGGATTTCTCAAAGTTGGTGTTGTTGAGCGTGCAACTTTATGGTAAAAGACTATGATCCAATTACTTGATACAAATCTATTAGATCGTGTCCTAAGGCTTCACAATGCAATCATATCACATCTCAACTGGGCATGTATATTCTTAGGCTTTCACAGTTTTGGTTCGTACATTCATAATGATATGCTATGAGCGCTAGAATTGATTCCTAACATTTGAGGATGGTGGCAAGCATATTGTGCAAGGCTGAAATCAATTGAAACCCCAACATAAATTATCTCAACTGAACCACGATTCGAAAACGCCACCAATAAAGATTGAAGCCTTAACTCTTGTATGCCCCAAACATATCCAAAACTGTTGTATGGAAAAATAAGACGACTATGTTTAGACAATTCATCATCTATTTGGTGTAATTTATGACAATTATTGTTGTAGTAGCACACATTCTCAGTACTGGAGGCTTTACCATAACTGATGGTACAAGTGAGTGTTGTTTTATTTTCTTGAAATCTTCTGATGATGACAGCAAAATAATTTTAGATAGATTCTAGTCTATCACGTCATGTATTTGCTATACAATAGAATTCTTATAATATGATATATATATATTTATTTATCAATACACGCAATCTCAATATTTGAGGCTTTACCATGACTATTTGTATCTCATCATATACTTCAGTGATGATTTTGCCTTGAGGAGGCAATGAACTTATAAGGTGAAGAGGTCTGGACCTTTAAGGCTATGGGGGAAAAAATCATAGGGGAAAAGGTGCGAATGGGTTTGGGTTTGTGGGAAGGGATAGGGTTTTCTTTGATTTTTTTGGATGTAGGGTGGGTTGCGGGTGAGGAAGAGTCTGGGTCACTGGCTGTTGTGATTTCAATTGAGGATTGGAGTGGTTGAGCTTAGGGATGGGGAGGAGTTGTTTTAGGTAGGTGAGATAAAGGGACTGGCTGTGGTGATGAGGAGAGGTGTGATGGCGATGGTGGGGAAGAAAGGTGACGGCTGTGAGGAGGGGTTTGTTTTTTTTAATTAAAAAAAACTCTATTTTCTTTAATTTTTTTTCCCAAAAAAATAATAATTTATTTTTAATCATTTAACTAAAAATTGGATGAAATGTTGAGAATTTGGATGGAGGTGTGAAATTGAGAATAAAATTTAGTTCGAGTCTTTAATGTTCTATAAAAAAGAAGAAGTTAAGGAGTAAATTGATAATTAGGTACAAGTTCAAGGGCAGTTTTGGCACGTTTACCCGCATATAAACTAGCGAAAACAAAAAAAAAAAAAAAAAAAAAACAAAAAACAAAAAAAAGCAAAGAATCATTTATAGCGACAAATAGACATATAGAAAAATTTAGAAGAAGATGCACTAAGAATAGAATAAATTAGAAGACATAAAGATTACAGTATTGTTGGGTAATGATGATATCATTTGGAGAATCAAATGGAAATGGAAGTTAGAATCATACGGTGTTTAGTCAACAAAGTTCAAGGAAATCCATATCTCATTAAGAAAAAACAAAGGTTATGATTGTAGAAATCAATGGCGATATGTGAAACATACAAAGCTCATGCCTACCCAAACACATCAAAAATTAAGAGCAACCCACAAATCAAAGCCCTGCCCACTCAACCTTTAAAAGAAAAGAAAAAAACAATATAAGAAATATAAGCAGCCAGTGCATAGGCATAGCCGACAGTCCCCACCTCATCTTTTCCTTGGCAGCTTTGGCAGTAACTTCTCTATTTGGGCTGACAGTAACTTCTCTTTTGGCATCATCTTCTCCTATCTATGCAACAAGTATTCTTCTCATTCTCTCCTTTTTAATTATCTTCTCTTTGGGCTGACAATGACTTCTCTCTTGGCAACATCTTCTCCTATTTAGGCAACTAGTATTCTTCTCATTCTCTCCTCTTTAATTATCTTCTACTATTAGATTTTTCCTAAAATAAATGCATACATTGTAATTTTAATTTTAATTTGAAATTGAGTATTCTATGTTTTTATTCTATGGTCAAGATTTTTTTTTGTTAAACTTTTATTTATGTATACAGATGCATATTTGAGGATAAAACTTTTATTTATTCTATGGTCAAGCTCTATTTTAATACACAATTATGTACGTAGTTATTTTCTGCATTTTATTTTTGTTGAATATCATAGTCTAAATTACAACGGAAATGAGTTTCTCACATGCACACTATCAATGTGCTATAGCGATTTGAATATGAGATCAATAGTCTGGAAGTTAAGGTTTTTTTTTCAACTGGACTAGACCCATTGATAATGAGATATTGTTAATGGTAAAAACAAATTGAAATTTTCTTTAAACTTGTGTTTTTTGGTTAGAGCCCACCACAAATAAGATGCTAACTTGTCACTCCTTAAAATCTCTTCCGCCATTGAGTAGTACCACTAAACAAAAAACTATATTTAAAAAAAAAATAGTAATTCCATTAAGAAAAAGGGCAAAATACTGACATGAAAAAGAAAAAGGACTATGCGAGAGATCAAAACTCTCTACCAACTCGGGGATAGGAAACTTCCACCATGACACTTCATGGAAGTCCAATGCGTCTGCCATTCACCTCATTACCTCGAAGCACCATTTAACAGTAGATTCAACAAAATCAAATTGCTACACCCCTCAGTAGGGCTCGTCAATGGGCCGGGCCGGGCTAGCCCGGCCCAAATTTAACGGGCTTGGGCCGGGCCGGGCCGGGTTTTAAAGAGGAGAGAGAAAATATTGGGCCGGGCCGGGCCGGGTTTTTTTAGAAAATTCAAAGCCCAAGCCCGACCCATAGGTCGGGCTTGAGAAAGCCCATTGGGCCGAGCTGGGCTAAGCCCAACGGGCCGGGCCGAAACGGGCCTACTTCATTCGAAAAAAATCATAAACTTAATTATAAGGGCATTTTAGTCTAAATTTGAGATTAAACTCACTTAATTCCAATATTTTCACATCAAACCAAATTCATAAAATACCCAATAAAGTCACACAACTTAATAAGATTTTCCACAAAAATAATAAAACAAAGTATTATTTTTGAGGTTATTACATAATTAGACCGTAATACATTTTAAGAAATAATTTTAAAAAATAATAAGTATCAAAAAGATATTTTTTTTAAAGGATGGTATAAATAAATATGTAAATGTTTGGTGATGTGTTCAAGAAAAACATGATTATATTTGGTGGTAGTAGTACGATTATGTTTCGTGATATGATTATATTTAGTGATATGATATATTGTTCATCTTATTTATATATATATATATATATAATTGTTGTATTAATAATTGACACAAATTAATGTGCTAATCATCCAATTATAAATTAGGAATGAGTAAAGAAAAGTAAATGAAATGAAACAAATTATATATGTGATTTAAGTGATATAATCCTAATCCTAAACTCTTATTTATACATAATTATATATGTATGCGGGCCTAACGGGCCGGGCTTTTGTGGGTGGGCCGGGCCGGGCTTTCTTGGGCTTAATCGGGCCGGGCCTATGGGCCGGGCCGGGCTTCAGACACCCAAGCCCAAGCCTAGCCCGGCCCAAGGCGGGCCGAGCCATCTCAAAGCCCATAACGGGCCGGGCCGGGCTTTTTTCCAATGGGCCGGGCGGGCCCCCATCGGCCCATGAGCCCGCGGGCCAAATGATGAGGCCTACCCCTCAGCACAAATATCTGATAGATGCCCATCTCATCAACCCTACCAAGAAAACACGGCTAGGAGTAGAAGAGGACAGGCCTGAATGATTCTTCCCTAGAACTGAAATGTTGCTCTAGTCCTTAAACAAGATTCTCTTGAATTGAATTGGACCGTTGAAAAAGTCCGGCGAGGGTTACCATAGCGGTTGTGGCCCGTCCCTTCCTAATGTAACTAAAATAATTGAATTGTTTTGCACCTAACAATAAAGTTTTAAAATGAACATTTTTATTCAAGCACTCCTACAAAGGAAAAGAACAATTGATATTCAATTTCACCATTCGACCAACAATTGATATTTATATATAAAGATTCAGAAGTTCCCCTTATTCCTAGAAAAAAGAAAAAGAAAAAGAAAAGAAGAATTGGTCAGGCGATGTTTCAAGTTTTATCAAAGCAATTCTTAGCGCTGCCTTTAATACTAGTAGTGATTGTAATCCCTCTCTACTTCTCCGTCAATTTTAGAGGACCCAAACCAGGAGAAATCAGTTCTTCTCAGTCTGAAGAAACCCCAATGGCCACCAACGCTTTCGGTGTGAAGGTTGAAAAAAATCCCGCTCAATCCAAACTCACTGAGCTTGGAGTCACAGCATGGCCCAAGTATGTTGCTCTTCACCTTCCCTTTCTCTCATCTTTACTCTAAGTTTATAGGGTTTCAAATTGATGTATATTTTGATGGCAACAAATCTTTGTTTCTATTATATGATTTTCGTTATTTACCAAGACTTGAAAAATGATGCCTTTAGATGTTTTCCCTGAGGATTGGGTGATGGGTATGTTTGGTTTTACTGGTGAGAAAATCGTTTGTGGTTTTCCGGGATGTTTGTAGAAAATTAGACCCTTCAGTTACTTGGTAAAGCCATGGGTCATAACAAGAGTCTATGAATGTGATAGATCCAGAGATGGATGGTGGAAGATGCACATTTGAGATCACCCTATCAAATTATTTGATCGGTTTCTCAGGAGCATAGAGAGTAGGAGTGAAATTCCACTTCCCACAGTCTATGTAATCTTGTTATTGCTTTATTTTCGTGTTGTTTGTGGACAAGAAGCATGATATATCACATCCCAGCTGTTTGCCGGACAAAGTCAGGGTATAATCAATTCCAAATATAATTCAATAGAGAAGAGTGCAGAGGAAAGTTTGATGAACAGAGGGAAAGTTGAGAGAGAATTTTTGTTGTTTAGAACTGATTTATTTCATTCACAAATAAATCAATAACAATGCAAGGCTTTTATACATAGGTAACTAAAACTAAAAAAGACTAGCAATTGATACCTAAGCATTGACTAGTCCTGAATTAGAGGCTTTCCTTTACCGAGGCTCCTCATGAATCTATGTATGGATGAGCAGCTGATTTGGCAGCACCTTAGTTTCCTTATTTACTAGTACTGTAAGCAGCTCTAGTTTTGTCAGTGATCTTGTTAATGCTTTGTTTTTTTATGTTGTTTGTGGACAAGAAGCATGGTAGATCAATCCTAGCAATAGATCCTTAAAGTGGTGGGTTATACTCTTTTCCCCGAGAAGGTCATAGATCAAATAAGAAAATATAGGTTGATCGTGAGTTTATCTAAGAAGCTAATGAGTGCCAAGATTCTCTTTTCTTGATGAGGTACATGGCATGACTGCAAGTACGTGGATTTGGTTAGTGCTCTGAGGACAGCCTTCTTCATTGTGTCTCAACTCTTGTTCCTCAATCTGGAGGACTCCGTACAAGCTTTTTCTTCTTTCTTGTTTTTCATTTGTTTAAAATGCATGGATACTTCGTTGCACTGGTGTACTGTGTTTTTCTTGAATAAAACTTCTTATTCATCACGTTAATTTCTTAAACAGAAAAAAAAGTGTGGGAATTCACGAATTGATGTGACTTATTACGGAAAAAGAATAGGAGCCCGGTACCTGCAAAATTTATATTTAGTTTGTATTCATTTTATATGGATGTTCAGATAGATGTTGATTAGAGGAGATTTTCTTGTTTATGTTCTAGACCCTGTTATTCTTTTGCAATGATCTTATTGTGAATTCATTAACAGGTGGTCATGTGGTCCAAGCAAATTCCCATGGTCATTTACTGCCACAGAGACTATGTATCTGCTGGAGGGCAAAGTGATTGTTCAAGTTGATGGGCATGAAGGATCTTTCACAATTGGGGCTGGCGATTTGGCTGTGTTCCCAAAAGGCATGAAGGTCACTTGGGATGTCATTGAAGCTGTAAACAAGCACTATAGCTTGGAAAAGTAAAGGGTCTTATCTTCCAATTGCTGCTGGTTAAGCATGCTATCTATCAGCCAGATTGTACTATTATTTTTACCTTGGACGACCGAATATTAGTAATATATGTCGTATTCGCACGTGTTTTGCACCTTGTAACGCTGAATTTATAGATACTCTAGTGTTACTGCAGGGAACTAAATTAAAATTAACCCTTTAATGAAAAACTCATGAATTTATACAAGTTTTGCTTCGAGTCGCATCATGGCCCAAGTATGTACTCTCTCTCTACCTTCCCTTTCTCTCACCTTTACTTTAAATTTATAGGGTTCAACGTAAATTTTTGACGGCAACAAATCTTTGTTTCTATAATATCTCATTTTCATGCATATCCACCAATACATGAAAATGATGCCTTTAGTTATACTGCTGAGAAAATTGTATATGATTTTCAGGGATGGTTATATAGAATCAGACCCTTCAGTTACTTGGTAGGTTTTATCAGTTCATTGATTGGGTTTGCTGCACTTTTCTCCCTGAGATCATCGTTGCTAAGAACTTGAAGCAAATGGCTATAAATAATAACAATTTTACTTGTCATGCCTTTTTTCATACAAAGACAAAGATTAACGCCCTCAAGATATGGCTGCTGTGGGTGCCGTATTCGTACGTGTTATGTACCGTGATTCGATCTTATTGAAGACAAAGGCAAAGAGTAGCTTGGACAAATAGTCTGTTAAAGACAAACAAACAGTTGTTCTGTTTCATTGAGTTTCTGCATCCCAGAATGTCTTGAAGCTCTGCACAAATCTGTCCATTTTGGAGCACATAACTGGACTTCAAATATCCCTATGGTGGCAGACATTTGTGGTAACCACCACAAAACGTCAGCTGCCAGTGGGAGGCTTTGGAATCAGATAGAGATGAAAATGGAATGACTCAATATTCCATTCAGCAAGTGATGTTCGATGGCATTGGTCCAGTTCCTCTGGTGCTGTTAGCTCATTTGGAATTTACTTGCTGCCAGTTAGTCTTTTTCTTTTTTCTTTTTTCCTTTTGTGGGTTTTGGATTTATCATATTCTATTTAGATTGTAAGTGGAGCAATCCCATTAATGTTCGAATAATTTTTTTATTTTTTTATTTTTTTATTTTTTTATTTTTTTATTTTAATGTTTTGAGAAAGACAATTTGGAACAAGAAATGAAATCCAATTCACCACAAAATTGAAAACATACATGGAGCTTTTGACAAGTTGAGCCAGAAGTATACATATGTCCAAAGTTTTATTGATCTCGATTTAAGATGAAGGACTAGGCAAACAAGAAGCCATTTGCAGTCCCTCTCTTTCAAGTTTTAACCTAGTCAAGTTATTTGCCTTGCTTGTATACAATTTTTTCACATTAGATCCTTGATCTTGAAGCAACCTCACTAAACTTCTCTTTGCATTCTCTCTAAATGGGCAGTTAGATGCCAAGAACCCATCCACCAAATGCAAGTATGCCTCCAAGTCATGGCAGCAAGCCACGTCTGCATTTGGCTTCAAATAAGGTGACATTTTTGTGTCAACCCTTAATTCTGTCCCAACATGTGAGTATGCCAAAGGCATGTTCCTGTCAATCATGTCGACGAATCCTCCAACCTTTGCGCTCTTCAGCTTCTCCTCGAGCACTCCTTCACCGATGAATATGCCGGGAACCCTTGTGATCACGTCTTGGGAGTTCACAATCCTTAGAACCTTCACGTTCTTGTCATCCATTCGCTTTGTGAAGCCCCGGTTGCCCACCCGGGGTCCACCGAAGGAGAACACCGCCACCGACGGCATCTCCTCCGCGCATGTCTTGAGCTCGTCGCCTACTAACAAGGCTATGGCAGCGCCAAGGCTGTGTCCTGTCACAGTTATGCTTAGTGTCTCCCCTTTGTATTGCTCCATCAGCCTCTTGACCTCTTCCACCACTGACTCGGAAAGGCTGGGCACGTGCTCCCCGCGTGTTTTGTAAAGACTCAGAAATCCGCATTCCACTTTTGCTTGTGCTTGCTCTCCACCTTCGGTCGAGGGCATCTGAATGAGTTGGGCCCTCATATTCTCAACCCACTCGAGACACGTGGAGGTCCCACGGAGGGCAATGACGATATCCCGTCTTCCCATCCGTGAGATCTCCCGCTTGTCATCACAGACCGCAACATACCCGATCCAGCTCGATCGCTGAGTCATCCAACCGAGATCTGGTGCCACGTCATCGACCCAATCGGGCAGCCCGATAGATGACGTAGCGTAAAGGCTCTTGGTCACCTTATAAGATCTATCCGGCAACGCCACGTGGCGAGGCAGTTGAGCCTCCTCTGCTGACATAGCCGGATTCGAATGAAACGAATGATAAGCCGCCTGAATAAACTCGCCATATCTGACGACCTCTCGCCTGAGATTCTGGTCGAGCGGGTCGAGCAGCCCGGCCCAGTTATTTGACCCGTGATACTCACGCCACCGGGTGCCCAGGTTGTTCCTCGGAGAGTACTCTCCGGTTTTGGACAAGAGGCGCTGGAGGCGGTTGAGGTGCCTCGGCGACATTTCTTCAGCTGCCTTCACTTGCGGCCATAGCCTGGCCAAATTGAGCCCTTCAAGGAGCCCCTTTCCCCCCCTGTTTTCCACCGACCCAGTATTCTGATCCTTGTAATTCTCAAGATCGGGTTGTGGGTCGAGCTGAGTTTTGGGTGGGGGTTGGGTCTGGAGGAGCTTGTCGAGGTTGGCGAGGTGGAGCCGGGTCGCCTCGGTCGAGGTAGAAACGGCTTTGCGAGAAATGGTCTGTGAAGAAACGGAGGCTGCAGCAGAGTAAGAGCAAGAAGAAGGCGTTCTTGTTAATGGGTTCAATGGAGATGTGTAGTTTCTGAAGCTAGCTCTTCTGGCCAGAGACAGGTTCAGATTGTGAGCTGGAAGCGTTGATCCAACTTGCATCATGAAGAAGAAGAAGTCGTTTGCAGAGCAATTAAGAAGGGAGACAGAGAGAGAGAAGAGAGAAGAGAGAGCGAGAGGAGAGAGAGACAGTCGATTCACAATTAAGTGGGATTTGAAATGATCAAAGGAGGCATATATATACCGTCGGTTTACTAAATGCCCATAGTTTTTGGCCATTATTACGGAAATGGCATCTGACCTTGTACGAAAGAAATATTATTGACCTTTTCGCTGTTTATTGTTTTTGGACACACAAGGCAGGATCGTTCGTAAAAGTCTGCGTCCAGCCTCGGACGCTGTCTGCGAGAGGAGGGCGTGGAGGGGCACCTGGGATTGGCATTGACTGAAATATCCTTCCCCCGATGACTTCAATTCAAACTTTTGAAGTGATCTGACGGCTTTGCCCTTACTTGGGCCACACAGCTTATCGGTGGTTGATTGACTAGACTATTTTTTGTTGTGGTGTGGACTTTCTCTCTGTGAAGAAAAATGGAGGAGGAGGAGCAAAATTTATTCACTCTGTCAAATGATTTAAATGGTAAACGCCGAAACGGTGTACGGACACGACTCAGAAGCAGCCATGAGAACAGAACAACAGTAGTGTGTACATATTTATTAATGAGTACCGGTATACGGGTATGTTGGTACGAAGACCGAATTTTATGGAAACTACTTGCCTCTTTCGTAAACGAAATATAAATTTTTTATTTTCTTCTCAATCACAGTTTGATATGTGCGCATAAATTTTTCTTTTTATGTTTTTGATGAATTATTTGTACATATGCATCAACAACAGTGATTTGCATGAAGTATGATTGAACGATACTATTTGAACGATTTAAATTCTAAGTAACTACGAATTTATTGACACATACACTAACATATTATTTAGTGAACACACTTGATAAATTTTACAATTTTACATTATCAATCACATCTAAGATGAAAGTCAATGTGATTAAATTTGTTTTAAATTGCAAATGAATTTTTTAAATTTTTTCTAATTCTTTAATTATAGTTATTAATGTTAATGTGTTGTGACCAATTAATTCTCAATTTCAGGTTTGTCTGTTCATTCTCGGGGCAAGCATCATTCATTTTAATATAAAAATATACGGATAATGAATGGAATAATACGGTACTGTTATTCACTCATTTCTTATTACAAGTAGTTAGGTTGTTGTGGTCATCATGATCAAAAAAAGAACTTATGAAAATCATATTATAATTCCATTATCTCCAAATCCAATACCTATATACTTATATATAAAATAGCAAGTGGGTGTTTCCTTGTCTGTGTTTGAACAGGAGGCACGTGATTTAAGCGTTAACTAGTTAGTAAATTAATACGGCGTTAATTATATATTTGTGTTTACTTGATAATATTTTCTTCGGGTCCAAATTACTTATCGTTCAATTATCGTCATTACAAAATTTTACCATATTAACGTACAAACTAATTAGCGCTTAAGTGCTCATCAGCACCATCAGGGGCGGAGCCACACTGGGACCAGTGTGGTCCCGGGTCCCCACTCAATTTTTTTTTATATTTTAAAAGTAATATACTGTTACGTATTTTTGTATGTATATTATTTCAAATACTTTACGTTTTGATATGTACCCACATGTGTTGTGGTGGACCTATTAAGGCACAAGGAGGTGCTTCAAATTGCCCCTTGTTCAGCTGTTGGTTATGCACTCCAGATGTACAGATTACCTTATTTCATTTTCAGCATTTAAGTAAATGTCTTTGTCCTTTTACTTTTGTTTATTTTTATTTTACTCAATTTACTTAAGTTTACAATGTAAATAAGGAAGTACCTCCTATTTGGATTCAAATAAAAATACTAAAAAAATCAAATTCTCACCAAATCAAAATATGAAAAATCGGTTTTAGTGCAAAATACGATTTATGCTAAAAATGATGGCTCATTAAGTCAATATATACTTCATACTAAAATCTCAAAAAATCAAGTTTTCTTATTTGATGTATAAGGAATAAAAGCCGCCAAAAATTATATTAAGAAAATAATTATTCCGAAAAACCATTTTTCATACTTAGTCAATATTTTTACATAAAACATTTTTTCATGTAGGATATGAATGCATGAAGGGACCTAAGGTTTTTTTTTAGTTTGTGAAATTTTGATTTTTTTCTTTCTATTGTGTTTAATGGGGAAAAAGCTTGAAAGATATTTGCTAAATCGCTACTCTTTGTCTATCTCTTGCAATTTTTCTTGCTTAGAATGTATTTGTCTATCCCTTTGTCGAGGACAATTATAATTGCAACCAATAAACAATATAATTCTTGACATATGATACTATTTTTCGTATGTATTGTGAATTCGAATTTTTTATTTTTTATAATTTATAAGAGGCCCCCACACACATGAAATTCTGGTTTCGCCACTGAGCACCATATTATCTTTTGTATACATATCATCAAAGTATGATCAGCAATTAGGTCACAAAAAATTTGGGCTTGGGGTTGTGGGGGTTGAATCTTGAACGAGTATTTTCCGATCAAAAGAACGAAGACCAGATACTATTCAAGTCAAATAGTTATGTCAAAAAGTTTCAAGGAGAGATTCTTCGTTATTGTGATAGGAAAACCAATTATCCAAACTACTTACATACAAATCAAACAAGAAAGAAAAATAAAATTATACTCAAAACACATAAGCCCTGACGTAGCATGCTCGTACGCTGGCTAGGTTTTAGTTTCTACGTAGCTTGGACAATAAGCAAACTATTTGTTTATTAGGGCTTCTACTTTAGACCGTAATCTAAGATTTGCATGGCCAGACGTTTGGTGCTTTATTAGCTTGTTTACTTTTTTATTTTATTTATTAAGATGTTAGCAGAAGATATAGGGAAATTACTATAGAGGAGAAGGGAAGTTTCTCACACACATACTACTATGATGTAATGGGGGTTCAAATATGAGATCACTAGTCTATTCTTTTTCACTAGACTAGACGCGTTGGCTTTTCTTACCAAATATATGACACGCTATCAGGTTGCTAGACTATCAAAATTGTAACGTGTTAATTACAAGATTTCAGCTCATCAATAATTTAGATTAGTGACCAAACATGCAAAAATTGTCTTGTAGGAGATGACTTCTGTTGAAATTATACTCGCTAATTGTACTGGAATATTCTCGTCTTGCTAAATACAAATTGGTATCCTTGTAGCAGCCCAATCGGTTGACATTTCTCCATTTGTCTCTCTCCCCACGATGTGACAATATAACAAACAATTAATTGGCCAATTCAGTTTCACTCCCAAGGGAAATGATGACAAAAGTTATGCAACACTATGCATAGATCAAAATACATTTCACATAATCATTAATTCTAGTTGATTATTACAAATCAGTTATAGTGCAAACCTCCACAACCCTAAATATTATGAGAATTTGCCCACCTGCATGCATTAGTCTTATGAATAATAATGGGTACTTATAATGGTAGATATAGTGTTGCGCACGAGTATTTTGTAGATATTTATTCAAAGATCATCTCTACAAAAAATCATTTAAATCCAATATCATTTGACCACTCAATTAAAATATTAAAATTTTAATACTTTCTTGAAGCACTGTGTTCATTGATTTTGTAAGACATAATTGAATGTCGAAATGGTTTCCAATTTGTCTTTTGTAAGATGATCTATGAATATAAACTTACAAATAAATTATTTGGATCATTTAAAAAAGATTCGTAAGAAACCCTAAATGATATTCGAAACTATATATATATAAATTATTTGAAGTCATTATTAGCAACAAAAAGAAGTTGGAGAAAATGTTTGGCCTTTATACTTTAATACTTGGTTACTATTTGGTCCAATAATGTGGTCTTAATTGAGTGTCTGCCAACTACCGTCCATGATACCCCACCAGATTCAACAAGAGGCCACTTAATTTCATCTTCCTATCCTTTTTTTTTTTTTTTTTGTTTTTTTTTTCTTGAAGTATAAAAGTAACACCAAAGCGATATATGCCTAGCACTTTATATGTAATAATGTAAATATAATTACAAATAAATTATAATTTGACACATATGTAAAAATAATTTTTTAAAATTATTATAAAAAAAAAGTTTTTACACATATACGAGACTGTGATTTGTAACATATATAATTTAGTAGTCTCGTTCACCTTGTCATCAGGGAATTTAGTGGTCATTAACCGTTAAATCTAATAAACACACCCAAAACCCATCATTACACATACTCAAAACCCATTTATAAACACACCCAAAAAGTTGACTTTGTGGTTGATTTTGGGTGTGTTTCTATGTTTAAATAGTGCTTGGGTTTTTTTATAAATACATGTCTAGGATTTGGTTTATTTATAAATTTGTATAAATCTAATCCAACGGTGAATAAGGATCCACCCCTCTATTAAAAACACTGGCTAAAAGTTCAATTATGAGACACACTACACAACATACTTGAGCCCTACTAATGGGTCTCCCTTCAACTTCTTCTGATTGCTCCAATCAGCTCATATAATTTTGGGCAAAAACTAATATATAGACCACACAATGACCTATTATAGGTGAATATTTTCAAGGGATGCTATATATGGCCTAAACTAACCTAACCTGTTTTTGTCCGAGTATTTTCCTCTTTCAACAGAATTATTTAACGACGCCGCTATGTGAGACTGCCTACGTCGATCATACGGAAGCAGCTGGTCGTAAGCTATACCTATACATGTTATGCAAAATATATAAAAAGAGTACATTTCCATAATGTTTTTTTATTTAGACACAAAACTAATGAATTTAAATCGGATATTTGGAATAAAGTTTATGACAAGTTTGTGAGAACTTGAGTACCTTCAAGGGATGGGGTATAATTTTGAGGGCAAAGTTGTATTTTCCTCTTAATTTATTCAAACCGTGCAAATTACCTCATGTTTTTTATTTTTATTTTAATCATTCGCTAGGGAGGGGGAGGAGGAGTATATTGGGTCCACTTTTCCACTGTGG